ACCATGACAGAAGATCTAACTAAAGAAAAGAAAATGTTGTGTGATTCATTTTTTATCTTTTTTTTTCTTTGTCTCTCCTATTGACAGGAATACACCAGTCATTCAGCACCAGTAAATCCCCTGAGGACTGTTCTAAGCACTTTTCACTTGCGAATCCCCAGACTGCTCTCTGTGTAGTTTCTATATTGTCAGCCTCAGTGATCATTCCAGTACAAGGCAAGCTTGACCGTATCAGTCTCTAAGGGCATCTATTATGCCCCTTTTACAAGATTTAAAATAAGATTTTGGTGTCTCCAGAATGCGTCTGTAAAGTTTTAGCTTAAAATAGCCGTCAGGTTATTTATAATAGCCTCCAGAATCTGCTCATTTTTGTGTCTGAGGACATTGTAGCTGTTTTTAAATTTAAATGAGCTGCTTCTCTCTGCCCACATTTCCCACGTGCATACCTGCTTCTCCTGGGTTACGTCAGATAAACAGCAGTCAGTGACTGAGGCAGACTCGGATAAAGCTGAAATACAGCTCATTAGTTAAAAATACAAAGCAAGTTTATTTGATGTATTTGTGGTGGAGTTTATTCAAGCCTTTCTGAAATGATGAGTCTCACACAAATGTCGTTTGCAGTACACACACACACACACACACTCACATACACATATATTAGCGTTTACTGACACCATGCGGCCATGGTGATTATACCGGATTGCATAGCCATTTTACTGTCTCTTTTACAAACATGCTCTGTTTTCAAAACTTTTTAAATTTACAAAACTTGTAAAAGTCACTAAGAGTTGTAAAACATATTTTAATCCTAGTTTCTTGCAAGAAAATGTTCTGTAGGCGTTTATACATGTTATTATAGAAACATGAAGACATCATCCTGAAAACTTAGGGCATCGACAACAACAACAACAAAAAACACAGTCCACAGATTTTATTCTGGATTTTGTTCTGGCCCTACACAGCTCCTTGTTCCTTTATTCTTTGAGTTTACACTAGTCCCAAACAGCTGACCATCTTTTTTTGTCCAACTGTGTTTCTACCGGTCCCCATCTCCTTTTTCACCATTACTCTCCACTGGTCCCACACAGCTACTTGTTTTCTCAATACCCTACATTTTCATTGGTCCTGCGCAGGTCTGTGTCCATGGTCACCTATAATAGGCGTCTGCTCCAAATGTGTCAGGTTTCTCCACCCCTCTACCTTCAATAGACTTCTTCCTGCTTTTTGCTCCAACTTGGTCTTCCACACCTGCAATGTCACCCTGTGTCACGATCACCAGCGATCTAGCCTCTAGTTCGCTGGAGAACTACACACACTACACATGAACTACAACTACCAGGATGCTTTGCACCAATCTCTCTTGCCTCGGTCATTTGGACACACACACAGCCGCTCTTCAATCCCACTTATTACTAGGACTATATATACCAGTTTGTGTCTACCTCTCGTTGTCTTTTGTTCTTTGTTGCTCCCATGATGCCAGTGTGTTTCCTGGTTTGTTTTGTTTTAGTTTTGTTTTGTGTTGCTCTTTCATTAAACATATGTTAAATGCTGCATTTGGGTCTGTACTTTGATTCTCTCCTCTGCACTGCACATCGGACCACAACAGAACTAACAAAACACAGACAGGGTTGTACTCCGGTAAGGCTAGGATGCATCTCTTCAGGAATGGAAACCATGCTATAAAGCTCTCTACACAGAGTACTTGAGCTAATTTAAAGGTCACGTGAAGTTTGGAGCTCTGTAGCTATTGACTCTGCAAAAAGTTGATGTCTTCTGCTCACTGTGATCCTCAACATGTGCTGACCCAGTTCCGTTTGGTTCCCTTTTATTATCCTACCACTAACGGTTGACCTTGAAATATTTAGTATTGAGGACATTTCTGAACAGGTGGCAACCCATGCTTGAATTCACTGAGCTCCTAAGAGTGACTCATTCTTTCACAGATGTTTGTAGAGATAGTCTGGATGCCTAGGTTCTTGATTTTATACACCTGTGGCCATAAAAGCTATTAGATTTTGAGGAGCATCCTAAACTGGTTAGTGTTATACACAGACATTGTCACTCACCATGGAGATATGAAAATATGTATGATAATTAGATAATCTATATTGTTAGCAAATATTTGAGAAACGTAGCAGAATTACAGCCGACTTTGTTTTTCTTCTTGACTTGAATTGTTTACTTGATACTTCACTTCTGTTTTTGACCTCATGCTTAGTTCTATTGCTGAATAAACAACCAGAGTTTAGCCAAAAGCCAACACCAAATCTACATGCTAAATCCGACATTAAGCAGAAGAGATGCGACATGTACAGTAGAACACACCAAACCAACTGCAGGACTGCAAACCGACACTGTCCAATGACCCAACGAAGGCCAATAGCCAACCATCAGATAGGTGTGTTAATCAACCCTTAGGGTTATGTGCTTCTAAATCCTAAATCATTGTTGTTATCCAACTATTGATCCCCTTTAATTTTGGGAATAATGGGGTAAGGTTTAGGGGTAGGAATTTGGTATGGATTACAATTTCAAACAGGAATGATGTTCCAAGATCAAAATAGATGTTAATCTAGGATTACCCCCCCCCCCCCCCCAAAAAAAAAGAAGCTTTTGTCAATTTTGTTTATCTACATTGCTCAAAACCAACATTTTCAAAGAAGGTGTAATCATTTATGCAGGACACTTTATATTAATAACTACATTTAGAATGTATTTGCATAATTTTAAACCAATGGCTAGACATGGTGTAAATCAGCATTCATAATCATTTATTAATTTTTTTTTTCAGCTTAGACCCTTTATTAATCAGGAGTCACCACAGCGGAATGAACCGCCAACTTATCCAGCATATGTTTTATGCAGTGGATGCCCTTCCAGCTGCAACCTATCACTGGGAAATACCCATACACTCTCATTCGCACACATACACTACAGACAATTCACCTATAGCGTACGTCTTTGGACTGTGGGGGAAACTGGAGCATCCAGAGGAAAACCACGCCAACACGGGGAGAACATGCAAACTCCACACAAAAAATGCCAACTGACCCACTTAAGGCTTGAACCACTGACCTTCTTGGTGTGAGGTGACAGCACTATCCACCACTGCCTTTGTAATTGTTTTTGAGATTTAAGATTCCCTGTAGTTGGCTTTAATGAGTCTTTTAGCTCTACCAGCTAAGAGCTGCCCCGAATCATCTTCAACACATCTTTTCTTTCGCTTAAGGTAATGAAGGTCAGCACAAAGACTCTCTGAATTAACCTGATGAATTAAGGTTTCACAGGTATCTGCATTTTATTTTGTTTTTAATGCAAATAGCTTGACAAAGTTCTCCAGTAGGGAACCTGCTGCTAGTGTACCGTTGACAATCTAGGCATGTGCTCCCAAGATTAATTATAATAGTTAAAATAATTAGTTTATCTTAACTCCCCCCTTTCAATCCATTTGAAAATGAAAAAATCTATCTTAGCTTTCTCTGTTTTTTTTTTTTTCAGTTGCATTCAGGGCCTAAAATTAACATCCAGTGCCAATGAATAAAGAAAAAGGCTGACTAGTATTTGAAACTACTACTCATCAGTTTCTTCTTCTTTTTAATTTTTCATGCATTTATTTTCTTTTTGGCTTAGTCCCTTTATTAATCTGGGGCCGCCACAGTGAAATGAACTGCCAATTTGTCCAGCAGATGTTTTACGCTGCAGATGCCCTTCCAGCTGCAACCCATCTCTGGGAAACCTTTTTTTTTATTTTTTGCAAATAAAAAATTCTAATAATGCCTGAGTGACACATGGATTATTAAATTACAATTATCAAATTACAAGGACTGTATTGCTATCATTAATATGCACTTTATTTAAAATGTATTCATTATTAGCATTAGTAGTAATTAAACGATATTTTTAAAATTGTTTGTTTAAATGTAAGCAGCACTTAATGACGGTCTCCAGATTGGATTACAGTATTACATACTGTAAACTGCATAACCATACTTATAACATATATTTGAAAATATTATATCCACCAAACATTTTTTTTAAGTTTACATTGAAAATTTTATTTAGTCAACAAAATATACTCAAAAAATTACTTTTACTGCTTGTTCAAACTACTTATTTAAAATGAATTGAAACAAAATAATTTTTGTGTTTTTTTTGTGACAACTTAATTGTTTTATGTTCAATCCATTTAAACTTGTAAAAACGATTAGGTTAATTTGATTAATTTGTTTTAAGACAACAAGTAATTGTTTGGAACCCAGCATGTGTTCTCTAAATAAATAAATATTAACTTATTATTCTATAAGAAAGTTATCAGAATTATCTATTATAATAATAACTAAAATCACCATCTTTTGGAAGGTTTAGCACATTGCTTGGTTAATATTCTTTACGTCAAGGATTGTCAAATTTTCCCTTAAATCTTTTTAGGTATAAGAGAAAAATAAGGCTATAGTCAACATGATTAAAAAAGATTTTGTTACAACTTCCTAGATATTGCAGCTTTATAATCGTTCAAAATTCACATTAATCTATGACTGTACTTTATGCTCTCTACAAAAGCCTCATCAAATAATGCTAACCATAAAACCAAAGACCCATTTTCAAAACCCATTAGAAATCCCCAAAGGAAATCAATACCTTGAAAGTGCTAATTATTAGGCTTTTGGGACTGTTCTGCTGCAGTGGACATCACTAAGCTCAAGAAACACGAGCTCTTGTGTTACTTAAAGACAGCACTGCCTCCTAGCGGCTCAAAGCATACAATTACGAGCTCAAAACTGAACACACTTCACTTTAGTTTTTTTATTTTACAAAAGAGGCACAATAATAAAGAAAAGGCAAACAAAATAACTTGAAGTGTACTCGTGGCTCATTATGTGAGAAACTCAATGTCTACTTCCAGCCACAGCGGCGTTTAGTCTTCAGCTCCTCCTGATTAATGCTGATTTGTGGCTAATTATCCACTTTATTGATCACTGGAGACTCCTGTCTGTTCATTTCCAGCAGTTGAGGGCACTTCCTCTCTATTTGACATCCTCGTTAGGGTTCAGCAGGAGATATTCAAAAGCTGATAACTTCTAACTCAACAAGCACCAGGCAGGGCTACACATGAGGAGTTATGGCCGGTTCTGCTCATTTGGACATGCTGGATGAAAGCACTGATTCTTTCAGAGGCTGGGAGACTTTTGTGTGGCATGGGTTTCACCTGGAGGACTGGAAGAGGCATGGAGTCATTAATAGAATCGCCTATTTTGAGGTAATCACTTGAAATTTGGTGTTATTTTCCACCTGGGGATGTTCAGTGTGTTGCAGTTGTATGTTGTGTCATATTGGATACTCATGACTTGGGCCAGATAGAATCTGCTGACATTTTTTTGGTAATTCTCAGGAAAATTTACTTAAAATAAATAAATAAATAAATAAATAATTTTAAATCTTTGGATTTATGTGTAATGATTTTGAGAGTATCATAACTAAAAACCTAATATTTAAAATTAATATTTTAAATTATATGTACTTTTTACAATGCAAATGCAGAGAGATATTTATTTGGGAAACAAAGCAAGTCTCCCATTATATATCTATTAAAAGAAAATATTACTTTACAAATTGTATTGTCAATAAATCATATGAACATTTTTATATTGGTCAATAATATTACTAAAAATTAATTTTACACACATTTACTCAAGTAAAAGTGAATTAGGTAAGCTGAATTCAGCATAGGCTCATTTTGAAACGTAGCCCTATATACATTACTGGAGATAGTGTATTATGTAGCCGGAAGTATGTATGGCTGCAATTCATTTTTTAAACGAATGCTACGGGGTGGTATGATGACACTCCTTTTCGGTAAAGAACGGTTCCAGAAAGTGGCTAAGACAAAAGCAGAAGCCAAAAAATAAAATAAACAGGGTGAGAATGTGGTAAAAATCTGACGAGGGCTTTTCTTTTCCTGGATAGCTTTTTAAATTTGTCGGTTGGGTTTAGGGAAGGGGTGGGCGGGTCAATCTGTGCTTTTTAAAATACTGTTGGTTGGGTTTAGGTTAGTCGATTGGTCAGTCTGTCAGTAAGTCATTCAGTCAGTCAAGCAGTCAGTCGACAGTGGCCTTTGGTGGATTTACGAGAGAAGAGCAGGCGCAAATGGCACTAGCGAGAGAAGTTTGAGATCTCTAAGAGCGTACACGGCGACCTCTTTTAGATTCACAAAAACAAAAACTGCAAAACGTATTCGATGGTCTACAGAAATCTATATAGAGGTACGTTTTTAGAATGAGCCTAAGTTGTGTATGTGTGTTCATGAAAGTGTATGGGTGTTTCCCAGTGATGGGTTGCAGCTGGAAGGGCATCCACTGTGTAAAACATATGCTGTAAAAGTTGGTGGTTCATTCTGCTGTGGCGATCCCAGATTAATAAAGGAACTAAGCCCAAAAATAATGAATTAATGTTTTGGGGGGATTGTAACCATAAGCTTTTCTTTTAAAAAAAGAACATAAAAAATTTGTGTTGAATTATTTATAATTAATTATTTATAGTTAAGAAGCGTCTAATTCAAGACCTAATTTAAAATGTATTTTAAATGTTCATATAAAATATGACAATCAAATAAAAAAATAATTATAATAAATGGTTTTATAGTCTAGGCCACATTTTTGTTAAGTTTGGACCCATTACTAAAAATACTTTTGCATACAGGAAAAAACTGACCTGAATGTATTATGCCAGTTACAGAAAGTTTATATATCTTTATATAGTTGAAGTCAGAATTATTAGCCCTCTTTTGAATTTTTTTCTTTTTTAAATATTTGCCAAATGATGCTTAACAGTGCAAGGAAATTTTCACAGTATGTCCAAAACAATCTCACGGCAATTCGTAACTTTTTGATTTAGTGGCTAATTTGAATGAATTCGTACAATCTAATTCATACAATTTAGTACGATTAGCTCATCCCCCAATGACGGTTGGGTTTAGGGGTGGGAGCGCCTCCTTTTTAAAATCATACAATTTCGTTCAACTGAACTCATACTAAACTGGCAAAACGTAAAATACATACGTTTTCTCGTGAGATCAGGCTGGTATGTCAGATAATATTTTTTCGTCTGTTTTTTTTTTTTCAGTTATCAATATATCGACTTATCGCACAACACATGGACATGACCTCAGCCATTTTTGGTTATGGAATATATATCACCAATATATATCACTCATACATAAAAACCAACTACAGCAACATTTTAGCTGATTGTGCAACATCTCTATCTCTAATGGAGGCGTCAGTGTCAGTTTAAACTCAGGTTAAAAAAAGTATTTTACTATTAATTACTATAGTATATTTTCATGTGGGTGCCTGGCACCAGAAACTAGATCTGGTAGCAGATATCGCAGCCTCTGTTACTTTTTACATTGCACTTTTTTGTTAACTTTTGTTATTATTTATTTAGGATATGCATTTTCAGATTCTGTTTCCAATGACTAATTATTACACCGTCAAAATCACTTGAATAAAATAAATATTCTTAACCAAAAAATATTATGTGTTCTATGGAAGAGTGTACTTGCATTGTGATGCTATAACATTGTCATTCTGGCATTATATAATAAGTGGCATAAAGTCTTAAAAATGTCAATAATAAAATTTATCACAATATATTTTGGTGCAATATTGTGCAACAAATATAGATATTGTGACAAGCCTACATACATATTTATATTCATTCATTCATTCATTCATTTTCTTTTCGGCTTAGTCCCTTTATTAATCAGGGGTCGCCAATGAACCGCCAACTTATCCAGCATACTGTATGTTTTGCGCAGCAGATGCCCTTCCAGCCGCAACCCAACACTGGGAAACATGCATACACTCTAGCATTCACACATATAAACTACAGCCAATTTAGTTTATTCAATTCACCTATAGCTGATGTCTTTGGGTTGTGGAGGAAACCAGAGCACTTGAAGGAAAACCACACAAACACAGGGAGAACATTCAAACTCCAAACAGAAATGCCAACTGACCAAGTTGGGGCTCGAACTAGCGACCTCCTTGCTGTGAGGGGATTGTGCTATCATCTGCACCTCCGTGACGCCCACATATCAATAAATATGCTAATGTGGAGTAATAAACATGAATTTTTTATGAAAGTAAATTATTATATGCAGATGGTGTATGGAGCTAATAATATGCCAAACAATCTGAATTAAAATTTTGGACAATTGTAATTTAATAAATCTGAATTTGAATATGCCATTTCAATATGTTTTCAATCCATGTTTGCAACTACGACATTTTCTAGAATCATCTGTTAAAGATGGCAGGGTACTCTTGATCTTTCTGACATGGAAAAACAGTAGTATTCTTCATTTTCTGTCAAAGGGAAGATATCTTTTTATTACTCAATGTTATCTAATGTAGGGTGTTTTTCCTTTACCTCCTTGAAAGTTATATCGGAGAAAGACTGTGGAACAAATTTTAGTGAAGAAGAATGGCTTTCGATCTGTTTTGGCCACAATATCAAACCACGAGCAATTTTTTATTTTTTTTCATAGAACTTATTTAAGGCCAGTTTGTTTAAATAAGATATTTCCTAATGTTTCTCAAGATTATAGGTAAACCTTTTGCCCTTTCTCTAGCTGTTTATCTTCTGAATTGTAAAACTGCTCTACATCATAGTCATGGACTAGAATCTGTGTTATACTTTTGTACATATCTTGCAAGAAAATGTATTCTTTTGTTGTGGTCCTCTCCTAACATTCCTTTTGTCAATATGTGGATAAATCAGATTGCCATTTTCTTACCCTTGAAAAAACTGACTTATGACTTGCGTCAGAAATCTAATGGTTTCTGGCAATCTGGAATCCTCTATGGGAGTTTTTGGAGAATGTATCTTGATTCTTATTTTTTTTTTTTTTTAATTCTTATTTATTTTTTTGTTAATTCTACCCTTCACAAAAGACTTGAATTACTAGCCGATGGATGATTGTATAATAGATTGCCATATTATTGTATATGATGACATAAGACACCTATAACACTGTTCTGTCATTGTAAATCTTTAAATAAATAAAAAAAAAAGATGTTTTGAAATTACAAATTTTGAATTTCATAACTTGAATATTGAACATCTGAACTTTAAGACAACTGAATTTTTCAAGGCTGATCTTGTTTATGGACGTATTTTCAAACTTCCGATTTTTGGAGTTCTGAATTCACAGACTGCAGATATCCAGTTTATAAAAATACGGTTTCAAATTTTCAAGATGAATAAATTCAGTGCATCTAATTCAGTATTCTAAAATTCAAAACCAGAAATTCAGATTGTGTAATCAGATTGTGATGATAAAATTGATTAACCAATGATATTTAATTGAATTAAATATATGAATTTGGTTCACTGGAGCATGTATATATATATTTATTACACAAACTACTGAAAATAGCTGACCCCCGATAGTCTGCAGAAGAAGTGTGTCCTCCTGAGCCTCGCATACAAAAGTAAATTCAAACAGCTCTGTGATTGGCCAAAATGCTTAGTTTGACTTTTCGGGAATCGTCTACTCTTCCCTGTTTATCAACCCTGACCTACTTTCTGCTGAATCTGAATTTCACAATCTGAATTTCTGGTTTTGAATGTTAGCATATTGAATTAGATGCACTGAATTTATTCATCTTGAAAATTTAAAACTGTATTTTTATAAACTGTATATTTGAAGTCTATGAATTCAGAATACAAAAAACCTGAAGTTTGAAAATACATCTATAAACAAATTCATCCTGCAAAAATTCATTTGTGTTGATTTTCAGATGTTCAATATTCAAGTTATAAATTCAAATTAAGAAATTCAAAATCAAAACATGTTTTAATGGCATATAAAATTTCAGATGTATGAAATTACAATTGTTAACAATTCAAATGAACACAATTCAAATTCAGATTGTTTTGGCATATTTTAGCTCCATAATGGTGTAGTAACATTTAATTATGTACTAATATCAACATTACATCTTTAATAAACCATTCTATTTTAAATGATAAAATGATATTTGTAATATACCACTACTACTACTAATTATTATTATTATTCATCAAGGAACTATGTTATATTTTGAACTCTATAGTTTGAACTCTCAGTAATGATTTAAATCACACTGAACTGAGCTAAACTGAACTGAACTGAACGTAAACACTAAAAACTGAACTACACTGTTCCAGTTACTATGACCATTTATGTGAAGCTGCTTTGACACAATCTACATTGTAAAAGCGCTATACAAATAAAGCTGAATTGAATTGAATTGAATATTTTCTTCTGATATTAAAGTTGTCCTGTGAGTGCTGTGGTCATCTCTGTGTATTCAAATCTACTCTTTGACTGTAGATCTGATATCTCAGCAATGCTGTGCTCCACTTCTCATCATAATGTTTCTCATCAATATGCTGATAATCAAGGCTAGACTATCAAGGAAAGGCCATATAAGGTTTGAGCGTGATGGGGAGTCGTCTCTTCTTACCCAAAGGATTAAAGTCCAAGCACTTGATGATATGATAGTTGACAGTGTTATTGGGGTTCAGGCTGCAGCAGGGCTGATGAATTGCCCCTCGCCGTCAGAGACAAATATAGACCAGCCTGCAGCTCTGAATCCAAGACGTGCCCCTAAAGTCTGCTCATGTGTCTGCACTGAATGTTTTGACTACACCAAAGACAGATTTCTGCTCACAATTAAATTTAAGAATGCATGACACACCAGGCCCTTCATGTTTTCTGTAATTGAAAAGTCTCTGTAATTTTTAAAATCTTGTTAGCTCCAATAAAAAATATGCAGCTACTGTATGTCAACAAGATACCCAACTCGATCTGCCTGTGAGGTCATCATGAGATACCATAGCTTGACCACGTGAGGGTCGGATGGCATCAGTTCGCCAAGCGCCCTCAGCAGGGCTTACCTACAGTACAGCCCTCAATAGGCATCATGGAATGTCTGAACTTAAAGGATTTGTTCACCGTTGCGCACTTCATAAAAGCCAGGTGTGAGCACGGCCTGAAAGCTGGTGAAAACAAGGATAAGAATTATGTCTTTTTTGAGGTGGAGATCCTGGACCCCAAGAGCAAGGCGCAACTCTGCTACCTGGATAAGGTGTGTTGTCTTGTTCAGCTCAATGTTTGTTATGATATTTCGGTTTTTGTGTACTTTTATATTTAGCCATTTGGTTGGGGGTTTTGTCCATTTTTTTTTTTTATGTTGTTTATGTTGAAGTCGGCATGACATCAAAAATGTACTCTTCTCAATTCTATATGTTATGTATATAGTAGTGGTTGTTAGAAACAATGTGTCTGAGCACTTCATAATTTTATTAAAATTAATTGGCCTAATAACCTTCCCTTCCACCTCAAAATGACTTTTCTTCACTTCTGGTCACATGGAATGCCTTTAGGGTGGAGCTATCAGTGCGAGTCTCATTTTTGTCATGCCTTCACAGGAGGCAGAGGTTTGAACCAATTTGATACAATTCATTCTGTAAAATAGCTCCTTGTTTCATCATCATTGGGCACCTGGAAACATTCTGAATCAGAGGATACTAATATTCTGCACAACTGAGAACAAACTAACAGTCTTCCTTCATGTTATTAGCAACACCCATTTTCAAGCGATCGAATTGGTTCCCGAAACAATGCACCACCCTACAATTTTTTTCTATCTTTTATTACATTTACAGTAGGACTTGATATACTGAAAATAAAAACTTTCGTTCGTAAAGATGACAGTCTTGTTAAATCAATTACCATTCACAGAAGTCAGAAAAAACAAAGTCAGCATGAAACAGAATTTAAAGGTGCAGAATGTAAGTTTGACACCCAGTGGTTGAACCAGATATTGCACTCCTAAATCAAAACACACGCAAGCGCAGGTTGCCAGATTGATGTGAGTGTGCCTGACTATCGATCCTATGTGCTGATTTAGAGCTGATTAAAATCGTGCCTAAAGCAACGGTACACCATATAAGGAATATTTCCCATAATAAAAAGGGGGTTTGTCCTAACCAACACTTGGAATTTATATTTTAGACACAGCTTTTATTTCTCACAGGTGAACAACAGAAAACTTGATGACATGATCACCTCAGGTACACCTCATGTGCTTTGTTCAGAGGTTAATGCTAATGTGAGTTTGCATGCCATTTTATATGACATTTACTGACATACTACTGAAAGCAGCAGCAAATAGTTCACCTCAGATCTTGAAAATAAAATAAGCCATTTGAAATTGAACTTTAGAACTGTGAAATAATGCAAACAAACACATATCAGTTAAATATGTTTTAATTAGATTATAAAAATCACCATTTCATGAATGATTGCATATTCTGTGCTTCTGAATAATTGCTTATCACTGCAAATCTCGACACAAAGAGTGTGGTTAGGACACAGAATTACAATGTAACCTACCCCCCTAATGTTTGCGTTTGTAATATTTATATTATTTGCTAATTAATAACTTCATGTGGAGCTCTGAATCTCCGTCTTATTTCGGAGTCTGCTACTGTCGACCGGAGGTCTCATTTCGGTCACAGTTGCATGCTTTGCCTTACTAAATGAATGAATGAATGAATGAATGCACACAGTTTTCCACCAAGGCAACCCAGGGTGCTCAAATATAATTGTCTAACGTGACAGTGGGTGGGTTAAAAGAACGAAACAAAGACAGCTTTTCAGCAGGTAGCAGACATTTTCAAGGCAGTAAAGCACTGTTTTTCAGATAAACAAGTATGTTCACTTGGCATATTTCTTAAATATTTGCAAACATATTATGGTATTTTTTTATGCTTTAGAAGAGTCAAAATCTTACATACAACACCTTTAAGGCTTTACTTTTTCCCCTATCATGGAGTACATCAAATTGAAACGGTGCTGAAATGAGAAAAAAAGCAAGGCGATGCATGATTTCATTCTTTGGAAACTAAACTGTTAGTCTGGATTACTAACAAAATGAAGAAAAATTGGCGAAGGCAGGGCAGGAACGAGCCCCTTACTGATAGCCCCGCCCTAAAGGTATTCCATGTGACCAGAAGTGAAAAAGTCATTAACAGGGGGCTGGGAGGGTTATGGAATCTGATTTAAGATTATGAGGGCATATGGATATTTACTAAATAATGAAATGAACAGATAAATCATTCTTAAGCACTACTATATAAATATAAATAAAAAGAATAAATTTAGATTTGATGCCAACTTTAAAATGCAATGTTCTGTATTATCAGTAGATAATATCAGTAGATGTCAATTTGATAATGTTTTTGTAATCTGTCATTGTTGTTTTGGTTGTCAAGCACATGCCTAGAGAAAGAGCACATATCACCTCTTAAATATTCTATTTAAACTGTATGCTAAAAAAGTTTTCAGTAAGTGTATTAGGATTAAGTTATTTATGCTTAGTAAAAGTATAGATGCAAGCGACTGACAGCAAAGCCTACACCTTCCCCTAATTCTAACTGTGAACACTTTCGTAATATTTCCCATTAGGAAATTTATTAAGATTAAATGAGTGAGTAAAAAACAGTGGAACAGGTTTAGTCTTTATTAACATTTTTTATTTTGAATATTTATATCAGACATAGGTGCAAAATTATTTTGCTCCACTTTTACTATAGTACACGATTTGTGAACTAATATGTTTTAATGCTTTCCAACAGTACCGCATACCACAAATAAACGTGCTCTGTGGCTCACCTGGTAGAGCACTGTGCTTATGATGCAGAGTGTTTGGGTCTTATAAAACAATGTGCGAAAAACAGATGCTAAATAAATAGCATGGCTACTTCAGGAAAATGCATTTGTATTGCATATGGTTAGAGTAAAGTTTAGTGTGGAGATTTCTGATCTTCTGTAAAATGAGCTGTGCTTCAATCTTGCTTATTTTTGCATATTCGCACCACTTACTGGACTTTTTACTCTTTAAAAGTGCATTTTCCAAAAATGCTGTCACAGGCACATATTTTCATGAACCTGTATTGGCCACAATTTATATCTGAGTAAACAAAGGTCTTTTGAGGGAGATTTACACCAGAAAACAATTCTTGAACTTTCTCAGGTGGAGCCCAGTGCCACCATCGCTGAGATCAAGGGTTTGTTCCACAAAACTTGTAAGTATTTTTTTATCACTATTTTTTACTTTTTGACAAAGACAAAAGTTAAAATGAATAAATAAATAAATTTGTAAATAAATAAATATGCTTAAATTGTTAAGCTGGAGTTTTATGCTAATGTAAATATTAAAATTCTTGAATTTCCTACAGACCCCAAGCTTTATCCATCACGACAAGCACTGAAGCTGCATCCTGGTAAACTTAAATGTTTTATTTTATTTTTATTTATTGTAAGCATTACAATGTATTCTAAATGCTCGTTCAACCCTTGTAAATTTTCACCAGTCCTTTAGATGGCTAGGTAAAATAAAACATTCTAGAAGAATTAAAGCCTAATACAGTAGCCAGATGCTTCTGCAATCTTAGATCTGCAACAGCTGTGGTCCATATGTGTATGTCTGCACTTCTCCTGCCAGAATTTTAAGCATCATTTCACTCTAGAGAAGGCCAGAGCAAGAAAACTACAGCTTTCAAACAAACAAAAGCTGTTAATACAGCATCAGAATCATTAAGGAATAAATCTTGTTTTGTTGGCTATTTAATCTGAGGTGCATTTACTTCAAGAATTTTTGCTATCATGACTGAATTGCTTGATCCTCAGAGGGAAAAGCCCTCAGTGATGAGGATGTTTTGGAGGATCTGCCGGTGGGCACAACCGCAACCATGTTCTTTCAGGACCTCGGCCCACAGATAGGCTGGACTATGGTAAAGAAAGCAATCTGATGTTTATTTAAACATGATTACCTCATATGAAGTGAAAAAGTTCTTGATTTTTGTTTCGGGCTGATTGTAGGTCTTTCTGGCGGAGTGTCTTGGGCCGCTTTTTGTTTACCTGCTGTTCTACTTTCGGCTTCCATACATCTACAGACACGAATATGACTACATTCGAAGTCCATTGAAAGTTGTCAGGTAAGTTTTTAGTGAAAACCGCCATTCAGATGAGTTTAAATACAAGATCTTTTCCCATTTTTGTTGTTAACAAATGCAGTAAATTAGCCGTCCTGTGAACTGTATACAATTTTTAAAAAATATTTTCCAAATTCTGTTTAACATAGCAAGGCAGTTCTCACAGTGTTTTCTTTTATATATTTATATTTATATATATATATACACACTACATGACAAAAGTCGCTTAACCAAGTTTTAGGAACAACAAGTTATAACTTGACTTCTAGTTAATCATTTGGCATCAGAGGTGCCTTATATAAAAGGCATTTTCCCAAAATAAAATATGATCATGTCTTAATTTTTAATAATACAATTAGGACATTTAGGTCTGACTTTGCTAAGACAAAAGTCTTGTCACTTAAAAGAAATAGTGTACAGTATAGAATATAAAGCCATGGTGCAGTGGAGAAAGAATGAATATTGTGTGTGACTCCCATGAGCTTGGAGGACTGCATCCATACATCTCTGCAATGACTCAAATAACTCATTTATAAAGTCATCTGGAATGGCAAATAAATCGTTCTTGCGGGACTCCCAGAGTTCATCAAGATTCTTTGGATTTATCTTGTGTAATAGGCAGCACAGCACAGCACAGCGCGTACTGAATAGCGGTGTTGTCGCGCGAGTTCTTATCAGCTGTGTTGTCGCGCGCGTACTGAATAGCGGTGTTGTCGCGCGAGTTCTTATCAGCTGTGTTGTCGCGCGCGTACTGAATAGCGGTGTTGTCGCGCGAGTTCTTATCAGCTGTGTTGTCACGCGTGTACTGAATAGCGGTGTTGTCAGCACACTGTTCAGATTGATGCAGACATGAGACCTCTATCTTACTCATGGTTTGTCCTCTCAAGTGGGGAAAAGACAATGCACAACGTTACCCACTGCTGTCAACCTGGGCCAAGTCGTATCTCTCTTGTCCCAGAAACCTCAGTCCCAAATGAGAGGGTTTTTTTCTGTTGCAGGGGACATTGTAAATGCCCAGAGATACCAGCTTTTACCAGATTATATTTATATGATAATTTTCCTTTAAACCCATCTCTATCTAAGTGAGTGAGTGATTAAATGTTGAATGTGATGAGTTTTCAACAATACTAAATTGAAACTTTATGCAAAGCTTACAGATAGATGGGTAATTTGTATGTCATTGACACTTTTGGCACTTTTTTGAAGTATTTTCATAAGTTAGTTTTGTTTTTCCTGTAAATGATTCAATAAATACCGTACCGTGACATTCATACCGAGGTATTACCGTACCGTGAAATTCTGATACCGTTACATCCTTAATATATATATATATATATATATATATATATATATATATATATATACATATATATATATATATACATACTGTGTGTGTGTGTGTGTATATATTAGTGCTGTTAATCGATTAAAAAAATTAGTTATTAATCACACTTTTTTGCAGTTAATCACATTTAAAATACTGAAACGTAATTTTGGCTATTCAAATATAACATTAACGTAAACGCAAGACAAAAAAAAAACTATTTAAATTCAAATCATTGTTATTAGAATTTTTGTTTAACTTGTAACACAGATTTTTCATGTAAACAACAAACCCACAGTAAACCATCAAGATCCTGGCTTGACAGCCATATTTATTACAGAAATAAAAACACTCATGTTAGGGCCATTTGAATTTAGAACAATCAATACCAATAAAGAAAAAAATCATTTCCATGTTGGATTCTAAGTGGACTGCAAAAAAATACCAAAATACAGGCATTGTAGCTATGGAAAATGGAAAATTATAATAACAATAAAGTATTGAATACAAACAATTGTAGTAATTGAAAAGTTGTATTGCTGTGAGTTAAGAATATTAATTATAAAGTGGAAACAATTTTGCTTAGTCCTCCTTTACATTCAGCCAGTTGCTAAGACAGTCCAGTCTGTTGACATTATAGGGGGACAATGTGGTCCTTTTGTTTTGAATGATGTGAGCTGAGAGTGAGAACAGACTCTCACAAGCAGGATTACTGAATCAGCATATGCATTTCAGTGCCTAATTTTGTTGCCACTGGTGCTGCGACAAGGATGTAAGAAACATCAAGTGGTACATCAAGGTCACCCACAGATACACATTGTAACACCAAAGACTAATTCTGACAGGGACTTTGGTCACACCAATTCTAAACATTTAAACAACTTTGAGGGATACGGACAGCGAAATCAGTGCTGTTTAAGCATTTTTTTAGTTGCTAGGAAACGCTAGCACCCACACACAAACAAACACACACAACACGCATGCAGGATAGCGCAGGAGCAACTCCTTTCAGATTCAACACGCATGATCACGTTCATCAAATTTGCTTAAACTAAGCATTCTGAAGTAAGGCTGTATTTCACACATCAACGCAAAGGAGATGCTTTACAAAAGTTGCGTTTAAGGGGGAAACACGTCAAACTTAAAGACACATTTGAGGGAATCATCTAAAAGGCAGAGGAATGCGCTGCCTTTGACAGCTCTTGACATGATCTTAGTTTCACTGAGTACATTTACATGGACACCAATATTCCGATTTTAATATGATTAAGATAATGCTGTTATTAAGAGTCTACCATGTAAGCAGCAATTTTTGATTACCTTAAAGGACCACAGAGTCACGAAATGTGGAGGTTTTTCTTTCCGTTCGGCATGTAGTATCAAATTCCATTAAAACAAAAGTCGAAAGATTAAACATGAAACATACAAAATTAGATGAAACTCTAGAGGAAACGCTGGATAGACTGGTAATGCGACATTAATTGCTTCCTTGGTCTTATCCATATTTCTTTGCATGTTGAACACGCGTCAGCCACGACAGGAAAAACTGCAACTGTGTTAATTAAGTTATTTTTTTAAACACGTTATTTTTATGTCGCATGCGTTAACGCACTAATTTTGACAGCAATAATATATACACACATGTGTGTGTGTGTGTGTGTGTGTGTGTGTGTATATATATATATATATATATATATATATATATATATATATATGTATTTATGTATGTATGTAGAGAGAGAGAGAGAGAGCAAAACATCTGTTGTCCGGTGACTTATTAGCCTACATGTATATACAGTTAAAGTTATAATTATTATCCCTACTGTATATTTTTCCTCAATTTCTTTTTATCAGAAGAAGGTTAATTAAATTAACTATGCAAGTTTGGGTAATTAGGCAAATAATTGAATAATGATGATTTGTTCTGTAGACAATCAAAAAATATTGCTTAAAGGCTAATAATATTGATCTTACAAATAGTTTTAGAAAATTAAAAACTGCTTTTATTTTAGCTGAAATAAAACAAATAAGGCTTTCTCCAAAAGAAAGCATATCATAGGACATGATGTAAAAAGGTTCTTGCTCTGTTAAACATCATTTGGGAAAACTTTGAAGAATTTTTTTTTGCTTCAACTGTATGCAGCAAACCGTTTATATTTGACTCTGCTACAGGCTGGCTTGCTGGTGCCACTGTCTTCATTACATTAAGAAGCTTGTGGAAACTATTTTTATCCATCGCTTTTCTGACGGAACAGTACCTTTACGCACCATCATGCTGGTATGTTAGTCTCCTGTATTTTTAAATACAAAATTAGATTTTTTAATTTTTCTAGAGCTAAATGAGGCAACATGCTCTTATAACATGTCTTATTGTGACTCGCTCCTAGCTTAGCACATTAGCAAACACATCTGAAGTGCTTATGACATTGGCATTAGTCCAGTGGTGTCAGTGAAGCACAGTGGAGCTTATATTCGGGGGATATTTGGCTGCCTTCCATTAAGCGTCCTCTTGCTGGTTTAAATTATGCTCCTACAGTATCTTTCAACACACTCTTGAGTACATATGCTTTGACCATATGGAATAGGCGATCAAAATATTGCCTGTACATGGGAATGCTAATCATGCAAATGGGGGAGGATGCAAATGAAGTTAAACAGCTGAAGCACAGGCCCACAATTAAGGTTTTGTGTTATTAAAAGGGTTAGTTCACCCATAAAAAATTATGTTAGTAATTAGCATAGTTTTGTTTCAAATCCCTGATAACTTAGTTCCTCTTCAGAACACATATTTAGATATTTTAGTTGAGATCTGAGAGCTCCCTCATCTTCCATAGACAGCAATCATTCTGAATCAACCAGAAAGAGAGAAAAAACATACTATCAGAATGTTCTATTAGAATATTATGAAGCTACAAAATACGTTTGTGCACATATAGAACAAAATAATGGCTTTATTCAACAGTTTCTTCTTCTCAGTGTCAGTATATTGCGCATGTTCATGGACACTGTGCACTGATGTAGATCCTTGTACAGGATCAACCTACAATAAAATAATGATCAGGGGTTTTATTAGCTATTATTAGTTTTACACTTTATCGACCATTGTCTAGCAAATCGAAGACATCGTATTTTACTGATCCCATTTATATTATTTCCGTGGCTAATGATAATAACAACCTACTAGTATTGGGTTAAATATTAGCAAGGTAACAAAATGTACAGCTCGAGACATATAAACACCAACACAGTTCTTACAAAATAAAACAAACATTTATTGAGCTACATAACTATACATGAAATTACTTAATAAACTAACAAACAAACTCAAACTCATTCTCACACACACACACACACACACACACACACTCACACACACTCACACAGAGGAAGTTCAGAGGATGCATAAGAGTTGACCACTGACCCAAAATAATTGCAGTACTTATTACTAGATCTTAGAATCACATCTGAGAAACCACAAAAGCAGAGATTTAGCTTATCTTAAACTGCTTCACATCTAATTGCACCACATGAGCAAGAGACAATATTTGTTTGTGTTATTTGCGAATTTGCTGTAAGTCTTGAGTTTCCTTTGCCGGCTGGACTGAAAAAATGGTGTTCCGGCTTGGTTGATGACTCAACTTCAGTGACATCCTTTACTCGTTCGTGGTGACAGACTCTGCTGAGAGTCTGTTTACATAAGTTCTTGCAGTTTCTGCTGTCCCAATACTTGAGGAAGTTGCATAGAAAGTTTGTGGTGACCCAATCACATGGCAGTACCTGAGAGCAAAGAGAGAGGGGGCAGAGGGCAGCAGCGAGTGCAAGCAAGCTAATGCAAAAAGCCAAGTTTTACTGTTGCAGAAAGTTTTTTAAGTGATCTGGTTTGGTCCAACCCCATTGCACTGTCTTCCAATGAGTGGTCGCCATGGAGGGAGAGGAGACGGCCCATACCATTATATTCAGGGTAAATAATGAAAAAAAAAACAGACTGTTTGCTAATTTCAATGCTGCAAGCATTGGTATGCTAATTTTTGTGTCATTTCTTACCGGCCTTGTTCCAACACACCAGAGGCTGTTCACCTTGTAGACCTGCTGCAGATATGAGTACAGCCCAGCACGACACTTACACTTTCTCCCCCGGATTTTCAAGGGTTGGTGAGAGCCTATCGGATGCCATCAGTGTGTGTGTGTGTGTGTCCTGCAAGATCCAACCCCCCACCCCCCCAATCACTCTGGGTTGAAAGACATGAGGAAGAATTTATCTCGATTTCCTCGACCCCTTTTTATGATCTTTTCCTGCCCGCAGGTTCACTTACGAGCTCATGCGGGGATAGCCCCAGAGGAACCCCCACGAACAAACTTTTGTTTGCTCTCCAGGTGTGAGGAGAAGATCCCCTTGACCCAGTTAATGATCCTTCCGCAGGTTCAACTACGGAAACCTTGTTACGACTTTTACTTACTCTCAACAACTGAGCTTGATTGTCCTCCCGCTGCTCCACCAGGGCCCACAGTCAGGGAGCCCCAGACTGGACCAGGCTGAGGTTCTCATTGAGCTGCTCAATCCATAGTAGCGATGGGCAGTGTGTACAAAGGACAGGTACTTAACACAAGCTGATGATTTGCGCTTACAGGGAATTCCTCGTTCTCTGGAAACAATCCACGGTCCCCATCAATGGTAGGGTTCAATGGGTTATGCGCACCTCTTACCTCCACATGGGTTTTGGATCTGATAAATGCACACATCCCTGGGTAGCCAATCCCGCCGTTTGTCAGGGGGGAGGTTTCCCAGTTAGACGACTGTTTGCACTACTCTTGGCAGGAAAAGGTTACCCCCCCAGGCCGGCCTACAAGCTTGGAAACTTTTCTATAAGTTTTTTCGACGTTGGTGTTTGACCCTTTCCGAAGCGGTGCCGTTAATTATTCACAACCATCTTGCCTCTTATTTCCTAATTGACTTTCTCAGAGAAGGACCCAGGACATGCCAGATCAATGTGATGCTATCCTTCTTCAGCTGGCTGGAGCTAAGGCTGTCTCCTCTGCACTGAGGGGTCGGGGATGACAGTTCGCTGGGAAAGCATCACCTCATCATCCAGTTCCCAGACGCATGAGACGCTTTATAATTAAATCAATCCTGTTCTCCTCTCATGTCCTCTTGGACTTCTCTCTGTAGGCGAGGTCAGTAACTTTAAGATTTCTGTCCAGGTAGACAGCTCTGCTGGTCATGTTGGCATTGGTCAAAAGGGTCAGATATCTGGAGGCTTTTCGGTCAGGGAAGTGTGCCAGCAATTTGGTTATTTTCAGACCAATTAGTGAACTTGCAAGCGCTGCCCATGGAAGAGGCAGACCTAGTCCCTTTCTTTGCAGTGTCCTGTGCACTGTGCTATGTGACCGCATTTAGAGCTTAGGACTCTAAACAGCTCATTTTCTGTTTTGATCGGCAGATAGGAAGTGCCGTATGCGAGGTTGGCCCATCGTATAGTGAATGCCATCTCCTTCGCTTTTCAGTGCCAGGGTGAGCCACGTCCCTCTGGAGTGAGAGCGCACTCCACAAGGTGTCACCTCCTCTTGGGCATGAACACGTGGCATCACTCTAACAGACATCTGTAGAGCTGTGGGCTGGGCGACACCTAATAAATTCTTAAGATTTTATAATCTTTAAATGGAGCCATTTTCTTTGTGTGCTAAATGACGCCAGTAAATGAAGAAATTTAATTTGGTGTTGAAACATGCTTGCTGCGTTTTTCTCTCTAACACAGAAATATGTCCGCTTTTCCTCTCTGCTCAGTTAAGTTCCCCATTTGGCGAACCCTACAGAGTTCCTCAGAGGCCCCCAGCACCTGACACAGCAGAGGAGTTGGGTGCCTGGCCCATTATGTTGCTGGCATGCCAGCTCGGTCAGACCGCATTTTGGGTTTAGGTGCCTGCTTTGTGTTATCTTCACTGGCTATCCCTTATACTTCACTCAGCCACAGTATAGTTCCCCCCCTCCAGGCGCCCTTCTCGCTAACCATCCTTCATATGTGTACTCCCCCCTTCTCAGGGTTTGTACATATGTCTTACTGGGGAATCACATGCTTTCCCAATGTACTGTCATATTTTAAATTCCTAGAATTTAAAGGTGCAGTAGGTTGTCTTCAGATACATTTTTTTTTTGTTTGTTGTGCTGGTTGAAAGTCTCTTCACATTCTAATAGTGATGATTGTAACGAATGGAGGGCTTCATCTCTGGTGATGATGGTTTGCTCACGCTTAGCCTAGCAAACCTTTCACCAGCAACGTGGCAAGGTTTAATCACTGTGTTTTCCATACATTTCCCCATAGTGGAAGTTTTCCACATAGCATTAAAGTTCCCCTCCTGCTGGGGAATGTAACGTTTAATACGTACCCCTCATTCCCCAAGGAGGAAAATGGAAATGCTATGTTCCTTCACCTTAGCTGACAATTGTAGTTTGGCTTGTTCAGCTAGTAAAGGTTCTTTTGGAACACATGGCTGGTATTCTTATACACAATTGATTGTGATTGCTTTTTTTATTGGCCCGTTTTATTTTTTCTTCAGATGATTGGCTTTCTAAGCAAAATCCTCATAATGGAAGTTTTCCTCAAAGCATTTTCGTCCCTCCTCAGGGAACAAGGGTTATACAGTAACATTCTGATTGAAACTATTAAAAAGCATATGGTCTGTTATTTTTCTGAACTTTAAATGAGTCTGGAATCTTGCGTCTGAAGGATGAGGGAGCTCTCAGATTTCATCTAATATCTTAATTTGTGTTCTGAAGATCTTGGGGATTCGTAAGGACATAAGGGTTATTATAATGCTTACACTTAAGATAGTATTAATTAGTACTTTCCATTATGTAAGCACATATATTGTGTTATACTAGAGTCAATCCTTATGAATTTATTGTCATTCTTTAGCTATGTCTGTACTACTGGGGATTTGCATCGTGGCAGGCGTATTATATCAACCATCCGCTCTACACCCCAGCAAGTAAGTGTTCATTATGTCACACATTAGAGTGGTTTCTGTGCCTCATATTAACTCCTGACTGTTTCTCTAGCATATGGGAGGCTCCAGATTTACTCTGCACTGGCGTTGTTTTTGGTATGTATGTCACAACTCATAATTAGTCAGATACTGAATGCTATACCATGTAGTGTATGTCATTAAAGAGCCCATATTATGGGTTTTTGAAAATTCCCCTCCATGTAGTGTGTAACACAGCTCTAAGTGAAGTGAAGTATCCAGCTAAGGCTTAAATCTGTAAGAATACAGTGTTTAAAACTGTTGATTCATCTATAAAAGAGTCGAATCATAGTGCTTCAAACGAGTCGCCTTGATACCGACTCATTAGGTGTTTCGCAATGACGTACGAACGAAACAAAGTTTTTCACGTGCACGCGCAAACCCGGGAGATTTCAAACCTGAGGCCCCGCCCTCTGACGCAGTAACCCAGACACACACACACACACACCCACAAACACACGCACACCCACAAACATGCCAGTCGATTGAAGTCACACTGCAGATGGATATATTGAGTCTCTACCCAAAGATGAAACATCAGCATTATAACCAAGCAGTTGGAAACTTCTGGAAGCTACATGCTACAAAGAATACTTCATCTGAGTTTGTTAAAGGAAGGATCAGTAAAGAGTAACTGATGGACGTCAGGATGGGTTTCTTCCTACATTTCTCAAGTGTAAGTACGTGCGGTTAAAGTTGTTGCCTCGTTTACTCTAGCTTGCAAATGTATTTAGTTGTGATTTGTTACTTGTAACCGCGTGTACTGTATCAGGTTAACTGGATATATTATCTTATCGCGTGCAAAGTCACGTTAAAAACGCGACGCGTGCTGTTTGTTTATGGAGCTCCGTGCTAGAGTTCTGCTCCCGCGATTTATTCGGAAATGTATTCCCGCGCCGCAGAAATCTGGCGCGGGGAGAGAGAGAGAGAGAGAGAGCGAGAGAGAGAGCGAACGAACGAACGAGCTTTGTGTACTTTGTGCTGTGTGTGTGTTTTTATACAGACAGCTTGGCTGTCTGGACTGTATACTGGGTGATATTTGGTTGTGTTCTCCGCTCTAGCGGGACCGGGCGCGGCGGGCAGAAAACGGAGCGGGTTCTCAGGCTAAAACCTGGCGGGTGCGGGCTGAAGCGGGAGCGTTGTCATCCGGAGGTGTGTGTGTGTTTTTGTGTGTGTGTGGTATGGCGAGTACACGACTGTCTCCTTCGTTCGGTTATCCGTGGCACTATCCACTCGCCATAGTGTGGCAGCTAAAGTCCACGCCTACACTATCGAGCGTGTATGAACTGTGATTACTTTTTAAATTGCTGATTAGCTATTGGCCATTTCCCTCTCTGACTGAAGGCAGTCGACCAATCGCGACAGACTGTCATCGGCCCAATCAGCGCAGATTAGCTTCGCGCTAAGGAGGGGTTTGGGAACAAATGAATCACTGGACGATTCATACAGGAGTCGCTGGGATAATTAGATAAAAATAAATGCAGATTATAAGACCATGAAAGTGTTTTTTGACCTTGCATGCATATTAGACTGTTGTTGGAGACCCTTACAACCAAGATATGACCTTATTTCATGTATAAAATGGGCTCTTTAAATAAAACCCTAGTAATAAAATGCACCTTTAAGAGTGAAGCTCAGTCATTTTCAAATGAGACTATGCTGCTTTTCCACATTTTATTGTCTTTTTTTATTTTATTCAGCTCTGTGAATTTGGAAATCTTTCAGTTCATCTGATTCTGAACCGAATCAGCTGTAATGGTGAGTCCTAATAAAGATTCCTCTCTTTAACTGTGTGGGTGTAATTATCAGCAATTAGGACAGAAAATGAAACCTGCAATTTATCAAAATCATCAGCACCATGTCTTTATTCCTTTCATAAAGGAATGTGTGGGTGTGCACAGTGAATTGTCAATTATGAAATTAATATATGCTTGAGAGACTATGCATTCTCCTGGACAAATGCCTAATACTTCAGTTTCTTGAACAGCATCCAGCAGTACTGGATATTTTTTTTATTACTGCATAGCCTTACAATCTTCTTCTCACACTTTGACAGGTTCCAAGCCTACAGAGATTCCTTATCCTACAAATAATCCATTCACTTGGCTCTTTTTCTTTGTGTCCTGTCCAAACTACACATATGAGGTTTGTCAAGCAACCTGTTTCATGTCAAAAAAGTAGTTAATGTGGCATCTGGAGCATGTTCATGTCTGTAGAGAGTGACTACAGTATATCCTCATGTTAAAAGATTTAGGAATATTTGCAAAAAAGCATCCTGTTGCTTTGTAAATGGAAACCTGTGTTTATTTTCAGGTGGGATCATGGATCAGCTTTGCAGTCATGACACAATGTGTTCCAGGTACACAGTATGAAGCATTATTTGCCGAAAGGCCAAATGTCTGAGACCACAATATGAGCTGTAAAATCAGATTCAGTGAATATGAATAATACCCACAGAAATTGGCTTTTTTTTTTTTTGTTAATTTACTCACTCACAAGCATGCAAAGATGTAGGTGACTCTTGAGTAGACTGATAAAAAAATATGTTGATTTTAAAATCCTTATGCTTATATACTGTATAAGACCTTGCATGGTTTGGCTCTTCAATATCATTCAGAACTTTTAAATGTGTACTGTGGGCATAATCTACTTGCCTCAGATTCTGGTCTTTAAACAGTTCCCTCTACTCGTCTGCACTCTATGGGTGACCAGGTTTTTTCTTTCCTTGCTCCAAAACTCTGGAACTCACTCCCCTAACATATTAGGCATGCAGAATATTTTAAAGTATCCATGAAGACTCACTTTTTAGACTTTATACTTTATGCTTCCACACCTGCCTTATTTAGTTCTGTTGAATCTCACTAGAGTTTGTTTTCCCTCTTGGTGCGGTTCGTTTGGGCTGGTGTGAATGCAGCAATCGAACTCAAGTGTGCACAAAATGGATTTTGTCAGATGATAGAATTTTGCTTCTTTTCAACTGGTTCGGATTAAAGCCAGCAGTGTGGTGTGAAAACGATTTAAAGACGGCAGAAAATGCAACAATGTATCGTTTATTGCCCTTGGTCTAGACCAAATGAAGCGAACTACAGATGTGAAAGCACCCTAAGATGTTTGATCTTTTTCATATTTACAATGTTTCTGACGTTTTTCCACTATCCTTGCACATTTTAAGTGTAAAGCACTTTTCAGAATTAAGATTTAAGGAGCTGTATATAAAATAAATAATGATAATTATTAAAAACTCTTTTCTGTTGATGCATAAAATGCAAGTCAGTGATTACTTGTACTTCAGGAGTAAAAATAAAACACATACAGGCAAACAAAAGAAATGTGGCTAATAATGATACATTTTGGTCAAAGGTGTAGGCCAGCCAGAAATAAAAATTACCTAAATTTTCATTCTTTCTGATGTGGTTTTAAACCTTTATGGCTTTTTTTTCTTCAGTTGTAAACAAAGGAAGTTATTGGTTGTTAACAAAAGAAGAATGCTGGTTGTTAGCACCCATCAAACACCCTTATTTTGTGTTTAACAGAAGAAAGAAACTCAAAAAGTTTTGAATAAGTGAGGGGTGAGTAAATGATGACAGAATTTTCATTTTTGTTTAAAACAACCCTTTAAAAAAACATTGCAAGAAAGATTGTTAACAGCCTTTATCGGAGTCCTGCTTGTGCTCAGAATGTCATGAACACAATCAATACTGTTTGCCAAAGTTGTGGATTAAAGGTAATTAGTAATATTAATGGTTAATATTCTTAAAGGAAACCATTGACTTAAATTCAACCCAGGCTCATTATTGCTTTGACTTGTTACAATTAAATTAATTAAGTTTAAATTAATTTCTGACAGTTTTCAGAAATAAGAAAAAAAACATTTATTTCTTTTTGGTGTAACAATTTTTATTAATTTAAAGTATGTTAATATAATAATAATAATAATAATAATAATTATAATAATAATAATAATAATAATAATAATGGGTGACCCTGTGGCACAGTAGGTAGTGCTGTAGCCTCACAGCAAGAAGGTCGCTGGTTCGAGCCTCGGCTGGGTCAGTTTGTGTTTCTGTGTGGAGTCTGCATGTTCTATCCACATTCGTGTGAGTTTTCTCCGGGTGCTCTGGTTTCCCCCACAGGTCCAAAGACATGGTATAGGTGAACTGGATAGGTTAAATTGTCAGTAGTGTATGAGTGTTAATGATTGTGTATTGATGTTTCCGAGTGATGGGTTGCAGCTGGAAGGGCATCCGCTGAGTAAAACATATTCTGTATAAGTTGGAGGTTTATTCCGCTGTGGCGACCCCAGATTAATAAAGGGACTAAGCCAAAAAGAAAATGAACAATAATATTACTTTTATTACAGTACAAATAATTTCCTTCGCGTGTAATATAATATTTTATGTGTTGTGGCAAGTACAAGTATTGTTAGCTAATAATAGCAAACAATACTTGTACTTGCCATAAATAAATTACTAAAACTTGTTGCACCTAAAAGAACTAACTTAACTCATCATAAGTTTGTCAAACTTAATTCATTTAATTGTAACAAGTCGAAGTACTTTAAGTTTTCAATTTTAAGCTGTACATTTCTGGAGATTATGATATGCATCCCAGGAGGTATGTTTTTTGCAGTTTTTGTTTTTGAAAATCCACCAGAGGCCGCTGTGTATGCTTTTTGAGATCTCACATTTCTCTTGTGAGAGCCTTTTGCATCTGCTGTTCTCATGTAAATCCATCACTGCTGATCTGATTGAACTGATCGACCCCTTTTCTAAACCCAACTGACAGTGTTTTCAAAAGCAATCCAGAAAAAGAACTATGTTCTCACCCTAATGTTTACTTGTTTATTTAATTTGTTGCCTTTGTTTTTGTTTTGCCTGCTTTCTGGAACCATTCTTCACCAGACTCAAACCCCTCTGCATCTTAAGTCCTAGTAGCGCAAAAAGTAACAGAAACCGTCGGCAGCGTCATAATGCACCAAAGTGTTACTTTTAACGACAAAATGCAAAATGCTCTCCAGAAATGTATACGGGGGTACGTTTTCACAATGAGCCTGTGTTACTTAAGTTTTCTTAACCCTCAAGGACCAGCATTTTAATTAAAATCTTCTTTAACGTACCATAGAAGAAGAAGACAAGTCACTTATTTCTTTGTTTGCTTAAGGGTGAGTAAATTCAGTAAAAAAAAAAAAAAAAAAAACTTCAGCATATTCCTTCAGCATCTTTTATGTGGTACTGGATCATTGAATTGCTGCTTATTCCCCAATATACTTCATTTGGATGCTAACTAAATGAATGTAAATGTCATTTTTTACTGGTGGTCTTTGACTTTTGGAACCTGCTTTATATACAGTATTTCATCACATTGTGTGGTTTATTTATAAACTAATTTTGAGAGGATCACATGCTGATGATCAACACAGCTGGCACCATATTAGCTCCCTAATCTTTCCTTTCAGATGATTACGGACGCATTATAAATAACCAGAGCATTTCACTCCAGTTATCTTCGTCTTGAACAGTGGCTAGCACTGTCGCCTCACAACAAGAACGCCGCTGGTCTAACCTCTTATCGGGCCAGATGGCATTTCTGTGCAGAGTTTGCATGTTCTCCCTGTGTTAGCGTGGGTTCCCTGATTTCCTCTCACCATCCAAAAACATAATCCATAGCCAATCGACTAATCCAAATTATCACCTAAGATAACCTTAGTTTACACTTCTCACACAACGACAAGCAGGGGAGTTCTCAAGACCTACCTGAGCTCGAACTCCCCTCTCACCCTTCTAACAGGAGGGAGTCCTGGGCTCGAGGATATTATAAGCTCAGGGCTTTCTCCCAGGACAACATGACAATTACGCTTTATTGATCATCAGCTAAGTGGGAAATCTTGAAATTTTTTGCAGCATCTGCCTGATTAAAAAACGTAACATGTTTCCGCAGTTGGAGTTTTCGCATTTTTGAGTTTTATTCAGATGACTATATGGGCTCGGGCAAAGCATAAAACCTACGTGAAGGAATTCAAAGACTATCCTGAGCTGAGAACGGCCATCATTCCACTCTTCTTCTAAGATCTGCTGGATGGAGGATGAATCTACATGCACTTTTGTCACTGGATGCCTCACCAAACGTCATATTATACACTGCATAAATACATCTATTGTTTTGATCATTTCATTATGTGACACATGCTAAAAATGACACTAACAGTGACTTTTAAAAATACAGTCTAATGTGCAGGTGGCCTATGTGTGGAGTGAGTCTTGTACAAGTGTAAAGCAAAAACATGATGTAGAGTGAGACATCGATATTGATTGTTGATTTTTGTATTTCATTAAAGTGTTTTGCAGAACATTAGTGTGTTTGAGTTGTAAACCCACATGACTACTAGTTATTTATAGTCAATTCTCTGGTGTTTTTGAACCATGCTATGGTAAAGTACTTGAGTTGGGAAGAAAGTTGCCTTGGCAGAAAACACAGCGTATTTAATTTCAGTCTTAAAGGCTACCTCAGTGTAAAGGCTGAAAATGTGACCTCCTGTTGCATCTAAAATGAGATGCAGATTCAGAGTGATAAAAATTTACATGATGTGGTTTTTCATTAGCAATTAATATAAAGATTACAAATGTAAACATTAGCTGAGCAACTTACAGTGTAAGGCTTGCCCATCAGGCACACTCGCTTCTGTTGGTGTCATCAATCTGGCATCCTGCATTTGCTTGGAGTCATCTGAAAAGGGGCTGGTGTTGTGCTGTGAAATGCACCCCTGTCAAATTATGCACCTCTTTGCTGAATTCACTACCTGATTGCCTAATTCCAACCACACTTCTTATTCCTAACCCTACCCCGACATCTAATACCTATGTAATATAGGATTCGAGTATTTTGTGTGACTCACTCTCAAAGTAAATAAAGTAAATCACCGGAGACAGCTTGTGAAACGTGACCTGTTTTACTTCTCTTACCAGTCAGCGCTGACAAAAGTAACAACCAACCTGTCACTCAGCCAATCAGAATGTACAAAGATGAAAATCCAAGTAAATCCAACATTTTGAAAAGTAACGTAGATTCCACACTTTAACTACCATATATCTGAACATATTTTTAATCTTACACCTACATTACACTATACTGGTCAATGTGAGGAGGCATAATTCGGCAGTGATGCACTTTCCAGCACTACACCGGGTTAAAAAAAAAAAACCCTCTCCAATATTTTGACTGAAATACCTAGCTCAACCAGCAATCAATCCTACATATTGCACATTTAATGGAATATCTACAGTGCATTACACTCTACTGCTTAGCCGTAGACCAATCAATGTTCCTATGAAGACTGCTGTCCACTGTTGAATGTGCCAATATGGGTACCAAAACTTTACAACTGCACCTTGGAGCAGTGGAAGAAGGTCCCCTGGTCTAAAATGTTCTATTATTTCGAATGTACAGGCATGTAAACTACCTGACAAAAGTCTTGCCGTTGATCCCAGTTATTAGAGCAACAAATATTAACTTGACTTTTAGTTGATCATTTGGAAAAGTAGCAGAAGGTAGATTTTTCTGATGAATCATCTGTAGAACTGCATCTCAATCATCACAAATACTGCATAAGACCTATTGGAACCCACATGGACCCAAGATTCTAACAGAAATTACTTTGTGAGAAAGTTATAGTGAAGGAACAATTATGGTTTGGGGTTACATTCAGTATGGGGTTGTGCGAGAGGATCTGCAGAGTGGATGGCAACATCAACAGCCTGAGGTATCAAAACACTTGTGCTGCCCATTACAAACCACAGGAGAGGGCAAATTCTTCAGCAGGTTAATGTTCCTTCTCATACATCAGCCTTCACTACAAAGTTCCTGAAAGCCAAGAAGGTCAAGGTGCTCCAGGATTGGCCAGCCCATTCACCAGACATAAACATTATGGAGCATATCTGGGGTAAGATGAAGGAGTATGAAACCAAAGAATTGTGATGAACTCTGGGAGTCCTGCAAGAGTGCTTTCTTTACCATTCCAGATGACATTATAAATAAGTTATTTGAGTTATTGCAGAGATGTATGGATGCAGTCCTCCAAGCTCGGAATCATACACAATAGTCATTCTTTCTCCACTGCACCATGACTTTATATTATATACTGTATATTATTTCTGTTAAACGACAAGACTTTTGTCTCACAATGTCAGACCTTAATTTAATAATTAGAAATCATGACATTATGGTAAAATAAGCATAATCTAGAGGCCTTTGCCTTTCATACAAGCCACTTCTGATACCAAACAATCAACTAGAAGTCAAGTTATTTGCTGTTCCTAAGACTTTAGTCAGGTAGTGTATGTGCACGCTGTTTACCTGGAGAAGCAATGGTGCCAGGATGCATTGTGGGATGACACAGTGGAGGGAGTGTCATGTTTGAGGCCATGTAAACTGCAGAAATACTACCCACCTAAATATTTTTTGCCTACAAGGTACACTCCTTTATAGCAAAGGTGTTTACTGATGGAAGTTGCCTCATTCAGCAGGTTAAAGCACACTGGACACATTGTTCGGGAATAGTTTGAAGAACATGGCGAAGAAGGTTTAACTCTATACTCCAGATCTCAATGAAACTGAGCATCTGTGGGATTTGCCAGACCTACAAGATGGTGACTCCACCTTACAAACCACTAGATTTAAAGGATCTGCTGCTAATGCTTTGGTGTCACAGGACTCTTGTAAAGACAAAAAATTAAATAAAAAAATAATGTTTTAAAGAAGTATACACATAAATGCTAAAAAACATACGTGACTTTTTAAGCAACCAATTCTTCACAGAAAACTAATAAAAAATTTTAAATTACAATAATAATAATAAATACCAACCAGCTTTATAGATTTACTATGTTCATTTGTAAAATGTTATAGTAGACCAGGGTACTGTATAAAAGTAAAATAAAGTATTGATAACTTTTTTTACTTTTGAAAGGGTCTGAGCCTACCTTAATGCCTTGCAAAAAAATGTTTGCTCATTAAAAAAGGTTACATGTGACAAAATAACAAAAACTTCCATCATGCTGACAGATAAAAACAAAGAAAAATTGAACCGATAAAAATGTAACAGTTGAACATCTAGCATGCTTTATTTGTTAGAATTATGGGTTCATGCTTTCTGTCATAAGTGCGAGAGAATGTGTGCTTTTAACAAATGTACACGAGCAAGCCACTCTTTTAAAGGGTCACGAAACACCAAAACACATTTTTTGAGCTGTTGACAGTCGTATATGTGTCCCACACTGCTAAAAACACTATTAGGACACCTATATTTCACTAAAAAGTGTACATTGGTTGTTTTTGCGTTTTTTCAAGCAAATTCATACTTCCGATTTGAAACGAATTTTTGAAGCTGCGTCACGCTCATGACATAATAGCGTTGTATTCCAGCGTGCAGACTGGGCATCTGTGCCAGAGTGAGTCTTATTACGTCTTACAGTGTGATGCATTAATGCATGAGTAAGGCTTGGTTCAAACCAATCAGCGCGCTCTATTGTGCAACTTCATTAATATTCATTACTGCCACAGTGTTTAGATGGCAGACACACCATGTTGTGTTGGCAAAACAAGCGTGAAGTGTTGCTTTTATTGTTTGCTGCAGTTAAGTTTCGTTTTCATTTTCTCTCTGTAAGAGAGAAGGGTATTGTGAGATCTCAGCTGGAGTCACGTGTGGATTAACAGTGTACGCGACGCTCGACAACAATAACTTACGTGTCTAAGGAGGATTATTGTTTACCTGAGAGCTGTTCTCATCTGCAAGCGCTGAGATCCGGATTCAGCGACCAGTGCTCTTTGTTTATTCAGTTTGTTCGTATCGAACTAAATTAACTATTGCACCGAGTGTAAACATGTTAGCACCACAGCCAAACTTTAACCTCGTGTAGGGTTTTCGCCGCATTTTGTGACCGGAATAACACACGTGGCTTTCTGTGACTACCTGCCGTGTGCATCTAAGTTTCCGGGAAATGCGGAGGGTTTTTTTTTTTCTCTCATTTGCCATGCGGTATCAAAAATTGCATGAAAAATACACGCTTAGAGCAGTTCCTCGAATCAAATATCTCGTTTGTCGCGAGGGGCATGAATGAATTCCTTGAATGAAAGAGCCAAACTGCAGTTAAAGTCCACCATTTAATAATTTCGCTAATAATTCGACTACAGATGTCCATGTAGGTTAAACACCATCACTTTCTCCTGTCTGTGTGTGTGTGTGTGTGTGTGTGTATGTGTATATTTTGACTCTGAAACTCGCGCGTGCCCAAATAGACACTCCCACACCCTCCCACTTTAGTTCCTTCGACACTCCCCCCTAAGCAGAGCTGGACACGCCCACTTTTCTGACTTTGTCCAAAGTAGAGGTGTGAAAACACCCTGCTGAAATGAGGGGGTTTCATGGCCCTTTAATGCATACTGTAAACTCTACAATTGCAGTATTAGTCCCGTAATATTGTAACACAGAGGGATTCGAGTGGCTTGTTTTTTTAGTGCTTTATTTTTATGATCTAGGGACAAAATCTACAGCACAGGGTGCAAAAGCTTTAAGGGTGTGTCCGAATCCACATTTGCTTTTTTATGGACGGAAAAATCCGCTTTGCGTCAGGGCGCATGGTCTAATAGGGTTGAGATTATTTTCTTAATGAGTTATAGTTGTGTTTTGGGAATAAACCAACCAGAGTCTCATCTCCCATTGTCTTTAAGAGTCAGTTGCGTCGCGCCACGGTGCATTTCCTATTTACATGGCAGACTTTGTAAGTGGAAAAACCGAATGCTTCACTTGCAAAACACAGTTCAACAACATCTGCAGCAAGAGGATAAAGAACAAACCTCCTTTAATCAGCCTTTACCTTTACATTCTTTTTCTCTCTTTCATGGATAAAGAAGGCATGAAGGTAGTGATTTTTATATTTATGTAGAAATTAATCATTTTTGTAATATTTTATTCCTTTAATTCTTTTTAATTTGTAAAGATATGTGTGTATTGCTGTGCATCCTGTGTGTTTTAAGCAATGTGTAAGTGAGACTTTAAGTGAGAAAGCTGGACTTTAGACCTCCTCTCAGCTGGTCTATTGCGCAGTCTATTTTAGTTCCTCAAAACAGCAACGCACTAACAATGCGTATTAACACCTCTTTTCTTGACCGAAAAACACAAGTCCACAAAGTATCGCAAATGAATTTTCTATTTAAACAATGTAGCAGAAAATGGTAAAATTAAGGTTGGAGGTATGGTGATGTATGATGGGTGTGTGTGATAGGGCCCTTAGAATCTGGAAAATAGCCTATTACAAACAGCGATGGGATTGAACATACATTGCTTGCAAACTGACTTTGCTGTTAGGTCTGTGTGATTAAAAACGGACTAGAGCTTTCCATGTCCGGTGTGAAACTGCATTACACCGGCCCAATTTATGAGCGCCCCCCCAGGGAAATCTCCGGCTCCTGATGACCACTTCAGAACTCGTGCATCAGTGTTTTGGCTTATCCGTTGATAGCACAAACACACCTAGATGAATTATTATGATAACACAAGCATGACTAAAGCAGATTCATTGTTCGAAAAATGTGTACAACAAAGAACAACTGCAAAACCAATATTTATAATTGTATAAAGATATGTTTTTATTGAATTGTAAGGAAGCCTAAAAAGCTAGTGTTGCGTGCAAAAAAAAAAAGAAATCCTAGATTTCTGTACATCTATTTCGATTTCAATTTGTCAATTCATCAGTGCTAAAGTGGGTGGAGACTGACCTTTGGCTCAGTGCTATAAACTGATGGCAGATGTTCAAAAATGTAACAATGTATAATAAAAAAAGCTTCAAATAGATGCAGTTAGTTTTGTGTTGAAATACACATACAAAAAGGCTTTAGAAAACTTCATAACATGATGTAATGTACGCTCAGCCATGAGTGATTGTATCATAGTCCTTATGAAGGTCATTTCATCTGTTTTTTGTTGCGACTCTTTGTAGCGGCGAGACCTTTTTTTCTCGTTTGGGCCCTGACTGTCTGAGATGTGATGGGGCGGTGTCGTCTTCTCCTGACTGCTGCTTGGCAAAATTCACAAACACCTGTAAGACATTGAAACACATGAGCTGTTAGGCCTGTCAGCAACATCTCCTGAGCAAATCGAATCCAATCTCAGCACTGGAATTTCAACCAATAACTCATTTCAAATGGAAGGTCCCTTAAGCAGGGCATGTCAATTTTACATCACCAAGCGATTCTTCTTGTATGCAGTGAAATGAAAATGCTAAAAAACTTTAAGTTTGCTCATGCTGGTGAGGTTACCTGGTCTAATGTAGTCTGCGACACAGAGTAATCCTCTATGTTCAGTCTTTCTTTGTTGGTCAACACTAGCTGGAAGACCCGTGCTAGCGAGGCAGCTGCGATTTCATACTGTAACGTGTTGTAGTGTTTCTCTCGCTGGATGCATCCTGGGAAACTGCTGTCCATGAAGGACTCTGCCGGGACCAGGTCTGGAGAAAGGCCTGGTTTTGCGGCTTTGATCTTCATTGTCACTACATAGCCTCCTCCAAACCTGTTTATTTACAAGAATAATTAAGAATGCACTTGTTTTGTTGACAACTTCATTGCTAAAAGTTCTTTTAAATATCATGTTTGAAATGTGAGATTTTAAAGGCACAATATTTAAAAATTGACCAGAGAACATGAGAGCAGTGTTATATATTCTGCTGACTTGAGTAGTTATATTATACTAAATGTTTTATAGAATGTTCAAATTTAGTAATTTACTGTAACTAGTGAGATGGACTGCGTTGCCATGCTAATGTCTTGATTTCCAGTTTGGTTTTTATAGAAAGCAGAAAATAAAAACACAGAAGACGCTTTAATATGTTGTGTATTTTATCAGACTGCACAGAGCAGCATTAAAACAGAAGCTTAAAATGTACTATTATATGATAAAACAGCACTGCTTCTTCCCTATGTCATAACCGGATGAATCAGAAATGGGGAACTCTGGCTTAAAAGTTTCTGTGCATTGTGTTGTTCTCTTGTCTGCAATTACTTTAGTGGTATCATTTCACTTTGATGGCTTTGGGCTCACTCTGCTTCATACTACTATGATAACAAGTTGTGATGAATACTTTGACCAATAAACACCATTTCTGCAGGAGTCCCATTGGATGTAATGAAGACCACAACTTTCATTCATGGTGTCAGAAATGACATGCTGTGCCTTTAATGATGGACAATTATATATATATATATATATATATAATCTAGATTAATCTTGGAATGAATCTAGAATAATCTAGATTAAAATAGCTCATTTGAATTCTGCTGAAGGCATTCAGAATATGTGTGCTACCCAAACAATACGTCTTTGAGAACGAGTTTTTCAAGCCAGGTGGCACATTAGACCAGAGGGTCATCTCTTGTTTCCAAAATGCATCACAAACTGCTTGAGAAACTGTTCTACTATGATAATTGGTGATGAAAATAAATTATGTTCAATAAGATGTACTTGTGTTTACTAACTGTTTATTCAGTTAAACATGAATTTTGAAATGTAGGCCTACATAAGCTCCAAACAGCGATTTTTGATCACCTTAATCTGACTAAAGTCATAACTGAACTAAACAGAAATGGAATTTAGACGTGGAGTATGCAGATATTAGTGCCATTATTGATGTAAACACCTCAATCAAACTATTACCCTCATGTAGGACTTTTTGGCATTTTCCGACAAGCGCTCCACACAAGTGGCTGTCAGTAAACGACCGCAGATACACACACACACACACACACACACACACACACACACACACACACACACACACACACACCACAAAATGCAGAAGTTTCTTTTTTCATTTCATTTGGCGTGCGTCAGTCCTTACTCCTTATTTGCGTCTAATACCCCAGTTTGTCAAAAAGGCATAAATGAAATGTTCATGAGTTAAAGTGAAACTGCCGAACTGCTCACCAGTCAGGTATACATCCGCGCTAAAATATCAAGGTGAAAGTCATCATAGCTTTAGTGGAATAGACCCAGCTCCCAACCCACCTTTGACAAAAGATTAACGGCAATATTTTTTTATTGCGTGATAAAAGTCCCACATTACGCTGATAACGGCCCACCACTAATATATATATATATATATATATATATATATATATACATAAATACATAAAGTATATATGAAGAGTTCAGATGCAAAACCCTGTAAATCCATCTGACCTCTTTTCTTGTAAATGAGCAATTTCTATCAGGCTTTTTGATTAGGTTTAGAAGTTTCATTTTATATGTAATATAAGGTTATGAGCTAGTAAATAAAACAACTTTTTTTTTAAAATGTAACTTTAAAAAATTCTTTGGTTTTAAACAAGGTAGATTTTCTTTTGCATCAAAACCAGCTAAATCCACTTCTGCTGTTTTTGCAAAAACCTCTAAATCCACCTATAAGGACAAGACAGTGTATTTGTTGAACATCACTAAAGATGTGATTATAAATTATTTTACCAAACATAAAACACATTACACAACCAACTAAAATTAAAAATACATCTGTCAACTAAGTGGCGGTTCATTCCGCTGTAATAAACCAGGGAAACAGCAGAAGGGAAATGAATGAAATCTGTCAAGTGCATTAATCAATATCATTATAGCTGACATTAATTAAATCTTAAGAATCTGTTGTCATTTCTGATACTTGGGATTTAGATTTAATGTATGTAGAGCAATGTAAACATTGTAAACTAAGCTAGTTATTTTCAAATAATGTAGTGTAAAACATTATGAAACATCAGTATCTGTGCATTGTCCATTAATATAAAAAGCTTATCAGATGCATAGGTATTATGAAGTGATATAAATAATGTATAATTTTATACGTTCTATTTATCTTTTAAATATAGCTTAAATTAGCAAATAAAACACAAGCTAGGTCTACTGGGCAAAAAGGGGATGTCTCTCAGACAATTTTAAAAGCTATCATACATTCATTCTCACCATACTTGGTCTTGGTCCTTTGTTTATCCTCACAGCATCCACGTGGGATAAAAGAACGGCATCCTAATTCTGTCTTTCGTGAAATGTAGTTGCAGTTTAATGTATAGTAAATTAGACTCATTCAATGTAGAGTCACTACGCAAAAAAAAAGCATTAAGAATGCATGCTACACTTCCAGCTGCACATTGTGTTTTCTTTTCCGCATTCACGCATTTTGATTGGTTCTCTGGATATAGCTGCTTTTGTTGTCACAGGCAAGTGGCAACTGTTATTTTTGAATGAGCTGACCCTGGGACGTAGAAGTTTTGAAGCAAATCTATTTGATGAACATGTACTACGTGCCTAAAGCATTCCCTTAATGTCATTATCTCATTTTTTGTGGAAGTGCATCTGAACTCTTCATAATATATATATTATGCCAAAAATAATATATATATATATATATATATATATATATATATATATATATATATATATATATATATATAAGTAAATAAAATCTGTAAATAAAATTCTTTTTTATTATTATTTTTGTTTCTTTTTTATGTTGTAGACTAAAATGTAAATTATCATCAAGTTTTGTTTATCGCAGACCTTCTTTTATTTAGAAATTGAATAAACCCTCACATAATCCTGAGTGAATCAACAACCATTTGTTCTGTATTTTGACATAACTTTGACATAAAAGGGAAATATACTCACTTGTATTTCAGATGCTGTATTGTGCCCAGACACTTAAATGTCCCATTGACCATGATGGCCAAGCGAGTACAGAGAGCTTCACACTCTTCCATACTGTAAATGCAAAACACACCAATCATAATAATAATAATGTGCAAAAATAATAGTGCATTTTATTAAAAAAAATAACAACAAAACATTATTAGCATCTTTTAAGCAGGTGTAAATGAAGACAAGTATAAGCGATGCGACTTTAGCTAGTTCAAAATGCAGCTGTTAGAGTACTTTCTAGAACAAAGAAATATGATCATATTACTCCAGTTCTTTTATCATTGCAATGGCTCCCTATTGAATATTGTATACATTTTTCATGTTATTGACTACTTGTCATACATGTTACATGTTATTGACTGCAGCTCTGCTGCACAAGACATTTGGCCATAGGAGAAATGGTCGTGCCCAACTGAGCCTGGTTTCTCTCAAGTTTTTTTCTTCCTCACTTTCGCCAGTTGGTAAAGTTTGTTCCTCGCCACTGTCACCACTGGCTTGCATTGTTCAGGACATCGATAGATTTGCTCTTCAGTGTTTGGACTATTGGCAGTGAAAATCAAAATACACTAAATTGAACTAAACTGAACTTACTGTAAACTCTGAAAACTGGACTGACACCATTTCAATTTACTATAATCTTCTATATGAAGCTGCTTTGACACAATCTACATTGTAAAAGCGCTATTCAAATAAAGATGAATTGAATTGAAATCATAGCATTTAATATGCAGATTTGACAGGATTTTTCACCATTTCAGTTTGAGTTTCTGTTTATGTTATCTTTATATTTAGTTATTGTTTATGTTACTGCAAATTGAATTTAGTAATTAAGTTTTCATTTACAAACTCTCTCCAGTTTTGCATTAATGTAAGTATTCTTGCCTGTGAGAGGTCAAAACGACCGCCCTCCCATCCCGGATGATGCTCAGAATGGCAGTCCACAGGAAGCGACGGGAATGAGGGTCCATTCCTGTTGTGGGCTCATCCTGCAAATATGAACAGGGTTCAATTACAGCAGTGATTTTGTTTAGCGCCATGACCACGGGAATGTTTAGGGAAAAAAAAAACATACCAGGAGCACCAGAGGAGGACATCCAATCATCGCTATAGCAGTAGACAGCTTCCTTTTGTTGCCCCCGCTGTAGGTACCAGCACAGTTTCCTGCATATTCAGAAAGACCCAGCTTCTGAATGCCCCACTCTGCCACCTGCACAAAACATACGTAATTAATGAGACAGCATTGTTTGAGAATTATAGTTTTAAAAAGACTGCAGATTACTGAAGTAAACAAAAGACCAGACATGCAACAAGAACACATTGCTCATTGCACATTGACATTGGCTGATTGAACTTGTTGAACTGGCATCAGCCTGCTGCTAAGACTACACAGTCATCTTGAGGTGAAATCTCACTGTTTCGTGTTTATGCAAGTTGTTGTCTAATTCATATTAGTATTGTCTCATTCATGTAAAAAGGTTTAATTACAGAAAGCATGAAGGTCTACTTCTAAACTTAACTGTCACTGTCTGAGGCGTCAACAGATTGTAAGAAAACTTATACATGAGACTCATAATTAGGAATCAGTTAGTAATCTACCATAAAATATTCACCATGAGATTGTGTTGGTGAAGCATATCAATCTGATCAATGAGCAAACAACAAAAGTCAACAGAAGACTCTGCTATTTTCGCATCATCTTACTGTACCTAATCATTTTAAAATCATTATACTGTACATATACAAGACAACAAATGAAAGCCAATGTTAAGAAACTCATACATAATGTTTTAAGGTTTGTTTAAATCTTTAGCTAGGTTTTCGTCCATCTAGTTTTATGTGCATTTTAGAATATAACATAAGAATGTGCGTAATGGAAATGCCAACACAAATTCACGGCAATTTGTACCTTTTTGATTTAGTGGCTAATTCGTAAGCCCATACGGAATCTGCACGCAGAATTCCGCAGATTAATCATTAATTCTGTTTATTTATTTGAGTAAATGTGTAAATCTAAATTAGTTTAGTTTTTTATTTAATTACATAAATATTACTGACTAATATGAAAATGTTCATCTGATTTATGTACAGTGCAGTTTGTACAGTAATATTTTTTGTCTTTTACTAGATATATGATATGAGAGACTTGCTTTGTTAACCAAATAAAGTGAATCTAATTAGATTTGCAATTTAAACATTATATAAAAGTTAAAAAGGTATTAATTTTTATTTCATTAATTAAGGTTTTAGTCATGATACTTCCAAAATAGTTCCACAGAAATTCGCAGATTTTTATCAAAATTCTCTGCAGAAATAGCAAAAATAGTAATAGTAATAGAAATAGTCTGGCCCTGCTAATTCGTATGAATTCATACAATCTCATTCGTACAAATTAGTACGATTTGCCTATCCCCCAATGATGTGATGATTGTGTTTAGGGACAGTGTTGGGTGCCAAACTTCCTTTTTAAAATGGTACATTTTCGTATGACTCAACAAAATAGTTAAATTTTCTTGTGAAATCAGGCTGAAAATGCCATACAACTTATGCACACAATTGAGTAGACTAAACTTTTTATTCCATCAAAAAAACTGCACATAAACTACAATAGGAACACTTACCAAATAAATTCCAGCATGCACATCAAAAAAGAAATGCGCTCGAAATGCTAAAAATGAGCTCGATGGGACAACATTAATGAAAAACCAACGGACAGACCACATAGCACAACATCTGAAATGTTGTTTTGGTCACTCTAAAATCTCTTAGCCAAAGTCCGTCAGCAAAGTGGTTTGGAATTATAGCCTAAGAATGGTCTCACTTCTCCAAAAGCCACTGCTCATTTATTGCTTTTTGTCTTTGTATTTTGAGGTGTGAGTAATTTATTTTAAAAAATAATTAAAAAGCACTAGCTTCTCCTACCACAGCAAATTTCTTTCTTTTTTTTTTTTTGCATCACAGTTTATTTTGATGGTCCATTTGTTGAATTTAAGTTACACTGCATGTACATGCCAACTAATTCTCATTAGATTATAAGTAGCGTGTTAGGTTGGGGTTAGGGTTAGTTGACATGTACTTGCAAAGTTTCTAATAGTCAGTTCAAGAGTGCGCTCTTAGCTGATGATTGATTATGAAGCGTGTTTGGCATGCTGTCCCGGGAGAGAGCTCGTGAGATCCTCGAGCACGGGGCTCCCCCCCATTGCAGCATGAGAGGGGAGTCCAGGTAGGTCTCGAGAACTCCCCCTGCTTGATGATGTTGAAAGTAAATAATAAATGCTATGGAGTGTCTATGCTGTCAATTTAGATTTATCAGTTTACTTACATTACATGTTTTTGGTCTGTGGGAGGAAACGGGAGAGCCCGGTGAAAACACAGGGAGAACATGCAAACTCCGCACAGAAATTCCAACAGGTAGTGTCTGAGCTTGATTCTTGCTGTGTGGCAATGATGCTATCCATTAGGCCTCCGTGCTGCCCTGACAAAAAATTTGGAGGAGTAGGGGTGGAAGGGGGGATTCTCCAAGATGAAGATGGCTGAGGTAAGATGCTCTGGTTATTTATAGTGGTTAAGCAGTCGTCTGATTGGTAAATCAGTGTAAGCTAATGTGGACCAGCTGCTATCAATCATAAGCGCGTGCTCCTCTAAAAATTAGTTCTTCAAATAAACTTCACTTAAATGTCTGTTGAAGGAGCAGTATCAACTGATATTAAGCAGACAGTCTGCTAATACTCAAATGGACCATCAAAATAAAGTGTTTTCATCTTTTGGCACCAATTTTTCAGGAAGTCATGATTTATTTTTTTTTTATCAAAACGATTCTTTATTTGCGAATGATATTTGAGATATTTCCAGTTTTGTGCCTAAATCTAATTGACATTTTTGGATGGAAACAAAGCCAGGGTGATGTCACAGATTTGAAGAGGAACATAATTTAAGAGTGGGGGTTTAGAGATGCAAAGGCATAAGATGTAAATGAAGTTACTGAAGGGTTGAAACTCTTACTCTGCTAATCTCAGACTCAGGGATCCCACGAAGGCGAGCATAAAGGTACAGGTGTTCCCTACCCGTCAGCAACTCATCTATGGCATCAAACTGAGGACAATAGCCCATGTTCTGGTGCACATCCAGGATGTTGGAAAGAATGCTGTAGAAAAGAATAGTTTATGATTAGCATGTGCAGCTAATGCATATATATCTAAAGTTTTTTACTTTAAACATAAGCTGTAACTCTGTGTAGTTTGTGTTACCTGTATCCTGCTACAGACAACTCTCCTGATGTCACATCTGTGTCTCCAGTCAGCATTTTGAAAGTTGTGGTTTTACCTGCACCATTTACACCAAGAAGCCCAAAGCACTACGAAACAAAAGCAAATGTTGACAACATTGTTTTTCAGTTGTTTATATCAATTGGAAGTTCAGAAGTAGAGTTTACAAATAAGGCTTTTTGGTAATACCTCCCCCGCTGGAACTCCTACACAGATTTTGTCCACTGCTGGTCGTTTTCTGCGCCTGTAGGTCTAAGATAAAGAGCATGGCAATAATGCTTTATCAAAGCCATTGACGTTGATTACAAAATATAATCTCTTTTTATGTAAATGCATCTGATCACTTACTTTTGACAAGTCTCGGATTAGAAGGATGTCATTTTTATTCCCCCCTTTGTAAATGCGCTCTCTCTCCTGAGCTACATCATCATCTTCATCTGTACCTAGGCTCATCCCATAGTCTGATATCCTACATACACACAAAAAAACTCATTACTAATCATGTTCCGTTTTTGTTCTCAAAGCTAAAGTGAGCAAAAAGTAAATTAATATTAAACAGATCCCATTTTCTTTTAAGAATTCTTTTGTAGTTCTAGATTAAATGTCTGTAAATGAATATTAAAAAGAATCTCAGTGGATGTAAATAATGTTATTTTGCTCTCACCAGTGATGAAGGAAAAATTTGTACTGGATGAGGAGGTTAAAAATGAAATAGACAAAACCCTCCACAGCCATACAGAAGAGATTCTTCCCCACAAAGTTCCATCTGAACGGATCCATGGAAAACTCCTCTCCTGTGACAAAAGGCATCAAGCAATTAGGATCCCTTTTAAAGGAGCAGTAGTGGCAGTTCTGGCTCACATCTTATGACATTTGAGATACTACATGATAAATGCATATTAGCAATCTTTGCTAAGTGTTACAATTTTGTTCAGTATAAAAGGTTCTTCATGAAGAATTCAAAAAGCATTGCTATTAGCATTACTGATGGTTGTTAAATGGATAGTTCAACAAAAAGGAAAATACTGCCATCGTTTACTCATCTTTTACTTGTTCCAAACATATTTGCATATTTGTCTTATGTTAAAAATAAAAAGATATTTTAAAAAATGCTGGTAGCATGTTCCCATTGACTTCCGTAGATTTCATTGTGGAGGTCGATAGGTATCAGCAAAATACTTTTTCTTTAAAGTATTTTCTTTTGTGCTCAACAGAAGACAGAACCTCAAATATGTTTAAAACTACATGAAGGAAACTAAATGATGAGCTAGTTTTCATTTTTGGGTGAACTATCTCTTTAAATCATAGGTCTCAAACTCACCTCCTGAAGGGCTGCAGATCTGCACTGATTTGCTCCAAGTTTGAGACCTATGGTTTAAAGGGATGGCTCAAATAAAAATTTACTCACCTTTTAGTCTCCCTCAAATTGTTTCATACCTTTATGAATTTCCCTTTCCCGTTGAACACAAAAAAGCTACTTTTAAAAATGTTAGAAACCTGTAACCATTTACTTCCATAGTGGGAAAAATAAATTCTAGGGAAGATGTTCAGCATTTAAAAATTTTTTTTGGTTAACAGAAAAAAAATAACTCAAAAAGGTCTGGGACAGGTTGAGCTTAACTAAATGATGACAGAATTTTTTTGTTTAGGTGTACTACACTGTTAGGTAAACTGCACCCAGCAATTTAACACTAATGTTTGCACATACAAGAGACTGAAAGTAATTCTGGTGTTGTACGTCTCATAATTTTCCTGGCAAAAATATTCATTTAAAAACCTACTTGTCTAGATTTAATCATGGAAGGCCTTTGTTTTTCAAAAAAAACTTGGTCCCACTTCATATTAAGTGTCCTTAATTACTATGTACTTACATCAGAAAATAAATACAATGTACTTACTGTGTTTATAAAGTATTTGAGAACACTTGTGGTGCTTTTGAGTTGGGATAGAGGTTGGGTTATGGACAGGTTTAGTGGCATGGGTAGGTTTAAGGGTGGGTTAAGGTGTAAGGGATGGTCAACAGTGTTTTTACAAATGTAATTACAAAAGTTAATTACAGATGTAACTACATACATGTATTTAATCAAGCATAAGTACACAGTAAATACATGTATATACACAATAAGTACATTGTAACAAGCGATTAATTCCTATGTAAGTACATATTAGTTAAGGCCACTTAATATAAAGTGGGACCAAAAACTTTAAATATTTGAATATTTATGTATACATATATCTTTTTGTTTATGTACAAGCTTAATTTTCAAAAGACATGCCTGATTACTGTTAGAAATTACATTAAAATGACTAGCAATCAAGGCCATGGATTTTAAACAACAAATGATCTAATGTTTTTTGGTATTGTTAAAAGCTTACCAAATCGAGCATAAACGTCAGTCACAGCCTGGTTCATGGCCATATCAATGAGACCTCGGCCAAGACAGAAGTGAGGAAACACCAGTAACACCTTCTTCAACACCTCATTAAACATCAGCAGAGACTGAAGGGTTTGTGAAGGTAATAAAAAAAATACAAAAGCAATTACTTTAAATAAGGATCATGTGTAAACATGTATTTTTAATGCAAACTTTTATTTTTTTTTTGTAAAGCATCATTTAGACTAAAGTATAATTTGATATGAAAACCAAATGTAAATGTTACCCTGTTGTTCTCAAATAGCTCTAAGATGAAGGTGATGGCGCTACTGTTGATACCGATGAATAGGTTGATGCATGAGAGGGACACGTATGCCGTACTGGGGACATTGAACATGTAGGATAGCGGGTACATCATGGGTGTCACTGACCACCTGCACAGACAACATTGAAGGATATCACTGTTGTGCTTAACAAAGTTTCTTTAAATCAATCTATAGTACATAATCTGCTGATTTACCCATAGAGACAAAGCAGAGCGATCAGCGCTGGTAGATTGGTGGGTGATGTATAGCACTTCTTATCAAATCCCACAAAAATGGCCACAACCATTGCTGTGCTGACCGAGTAGTTCAACTTGCGACCGAAACACAGAGCAGACACATGAGCACTCATGCAATTATCCAAAAGCATAAAAAAATTGACAGAATTGAGAAATCTCACCATATCCCAGAAAAAGTTGGCAAACCAGTAGACCAAAGGACTGACTCCACTGACAAACTGCAGATGTTTGGCCTTGGTGACTCGTTCCTGAATGAGGTAGAGGACGAAGCTGGCTGGGATGAAGGACATGGCAAATATGACGCAGATGGCCACCACTGCATCCACTGATGTGGTGAGACTGTCAAACAACAAAGCAGAAATTAGCTAAATAAAAATAGGACTTTACACTTTTTCTTTTTCAACCCACACATGCAGCACTGAATACGCGGTTTTAAACAACATACTGTACCTGAAGCAAAGTTATGTTTATCAGAAAGTTGTTTACGTTAGCAGGAAGTTGACAGGCAACAGAGGCACACATATTCAAAGTCACAGGGAAAAGTACTAGACACTGAAATGCATGCTACATTTACGTAATTGAAGGTAGAAAAACGCATAGTTCTGTTGTATTTTGAAATTTTGATGAAATAACAATGTTAGAATTTATAAAATGTCAGGGTATTATAGAGATGTGAGTTTTATTTCAACAAAGTTATCAAATTAGGACTATGACCACCTTGGTAGTTCTAGTGTTTAACGTGTTAAACATAATTTTTTAAGGATTTTGTGACACTGAGTGAAATAATAGCTACTAAAAATTGCCTTCAGTTATACAATAAAATATAAAGAGAAATATGTAGTGGAAATCTAAGGGTGCTTTCACACCTGTGAATCGATTCAGTTGATCCGAAACAGAGATTACAAAAGTTACATTGTTGCTCTTTGCTCTTGGTGCAGTTCACTTTCACTCTGCAAAGTTTCTAATCGGACCAAAAGAGCTAAAACAAGTCACGCGCGAGTAAACTCTCCTCACATTGGTCAGAGTGTTAAGGTTTATTTTGTTGAGTCCAGCTCAGCTGTCAGGAGAGGTGGTAGTTTGGTGGTGTTTGACAAGTTGCGCGCGACGTGTCTGAAGAGTGAGGAGAGATGCGGCGGGGAGGGGTGAGAAGGGTGCGCGAGGTAGCCTATTTGAGGACCGGGAGGGAGACACGAGATTTCCGGGAGATTATCATTCGTTTGCGGGCATCCGGAGACTCGCGAAACTTCCCGCCCTACCCATAATTCTCTCTTCATATAGCCGTATGCCTATTACATATACATAAAACACAGTGATATCACCGCGCTCGGTTTCCCACTGCAATCGATTTACTCCAGAGTTCATTTCAATCTAGCTGAGACCCACTCATTCAAGCGATCTCGGAGCGATTGATTTGGCACGGATCCTAGAGCGATTGGTGTTTTCACATTTGCCAAACAAACCGTGCTAACTGGGCAAACAAGACAGGTTCAGAAACAAAAGTGTAGGTGTAAAAGCACCCTAACACATTTTTGGCGAGCCAGCCTGAAGGAATCTGTATAGGATTAAGGCTAAGTGGCCAAATTACCTTATATTTAAGCTTTATGTAAGATTTTGCTCTTCTATAACATAAAATCATTGTCATTAATCTGGCAATCAGTGCTTGGGTGCGTTTTAATCTAGGAATGCAATACCTAGTTCAACCTCTGGGTGTCAAACTTACATACTGCATGTAAGTTTTTGACTCCTTTTAAGCATTAAAATACCATGTAGATACTGTAAAAGCATGCTAAGTTACCATAATTATTAACAGGGTTATAATAGTATTGGATTTTTCATTAGTTTAAGTTTATATTTAGTTTTGACTTTTTGTTTTCAAATTTTGAAAAAAAACTTTTTTTTTTTTTTAAATGAGTTTTTTTTTCTTAAACAAGGATATTTGTTAGGTGCAAGATTCAAAATCAACAGAATAAATATTGTTTAATAAAAACTCAGTCATGCATTTTTTAAAACCTGTATTCAGAGGACACATGAACACTATCATCTACCACAACCATCTACCCATCCTCTATTAGGCTTGTTTAAAATAAATAGTTTGTGGATAAGTGCTTACTGGAGATGCAAATTGTTTCAAATAATTCAGTTCGATTTGGTGAACTAGTTCAACCGGTTCACCTAGAAGATCCGGTTAAAAAGGTTTGTTCACCTTCGCGATACAGAAATAAAACCCATTATTGGGCACAAATGTGTTAAAGTAATAGTTTAAAGTGTCTGTATTTAATGCTGTCACCATGCTGCTGTCAAGTCCACTCGTTGTTTTTGTCGTGGGTACAACAGCGAGGATGACTGGAGGAGAGCTGGCTTGATCTGGCCAATTGCAGCAGGACTACTCTTGAGGTGTGAAAGGGTCAAACACTTGCAGCGCGAATTATATTTACTTCTAAAAGGCTAAAAATAAAAGATTATGTATAAAATATTCACAAATACGAAAACGAAGCAGGTTTTTGCTATAATTTTAGTTAGTTTTAGTTAGTTTTGTATGTACATAATACAGTTTCAGTTAGTTCTATTTTTTTTAACCCTCATTTTTATTTTTATTTCACTTAACGACAATTATTGTACATTTTAGTTTTAGTTTTTTTTTTTTTCGTTCAATTTCATTAACTATAATAACCTTGCTTGTTTATCATACTTTATGTTAAAGTATTTTTTTTTCCAAATATGTTCTGTCAGAATGTCAGCCTTTGTTTCGGTCTATGTAACTTCATCTACTGCCAGTTTACCCAGTTATATTTTAGCAGCCCAGGTTGCCTTGGTAAAAAACACAGCGTATTTTATTTCATAATATCTGTGTGCACGGCTAAAAGATGCAGTTTCAGAGTTTCAAATATCCACATGAGGCGGTTTTTAATTAGCAAATAATATAACTATTACAACATTAGCTGAGCAGCTTACAGTGTAAGGCCTGATTATCAGGCATGCTTGCTCCTGTTGGTATGGTCAATCTGGCAACATGCATTTACGTCAAGTCATTGCAGGAGGGGCTATGTGAAAAAAAAAAGCTCCAATGTTTTGAATTTGGACTTCAATACCTAGTCCAACCACAAGGTGACAATCCTACATACTGCACCTTTAAGATTGGGTTAAAGTATAAAACCTCTTGTTTACTGGTTTAGTGAAGAGAATAACAAAACGTGCTGGACCCTATTTACATGTGAATTTAGTGTTCGACTATATCTGAGTAGTATAGTCCTGCTAGACCAATAATACATTAGAAAGTGACACTCACACAGTGACCTCTGAGAGCTGCTCTTTGGTGAGGTTGAGAGGATGATTGATGGCAGTAATTCCGTAGTCTGATGGGTTGGCATGAGGTGGCAGATATGCACGGAGAATGGCATTGTTTGCTACGTTCAGGAAGGAGGCCATGGCATGCCAGCCTTTGTTATTATACCACACCTGCGACAAGGAAGTACAATAAAGTCACCACAATATTGGCTTTATTTAGAGAGTATCTATTCAGAGACATTTTTTAATGTGGCTAAAGTTTGAGAGATTTGTAAATAGGTGACATAACATACCTTAACATTGTACTCGCTCTCCATGTAGTGCAGGAAAGTTTCTAATTCATCCATGGCTGACTTTGAATAGCGACCCTATTATATAAGAAAATAAGTCAGTTAGCAATGCATATGTTATGTGCATAGAGCAAGACATTAAATGCCTCTTATCTGAATCTCATTTATGTGATGTTTATACAATTGCATACCCCTCTGATATTCATCATTCTTCCAAGCTGAGAGAAAATGTTTTGGATCTCCTCGGGGTCCACATCAAGAATCGGCAGTCTTCCACCAACAGAGATTCCACCATACCTGGTGAAATAAAGATGCCTCACTAAATAATCTACTAATTGTAACATTTTTAACTGTTTTTTTATTAACAAATAATTTAGGATGCAATTTAATTTATTGTATGATGAAATGTGTCTCATTTAGGGTATTGTAAGACATCTCTATTTTTGATGCTTACAAGTTTTGTTTTCATTGCAATGAATGACATTTAATTAAATTACTTTGACTTCACTTGATTGCTCAGTCTAAGTGTAATAAAACTATATACATTGCTCAGCATAATTGAGTACACCCCATTTTGAAAATGAATATTTTTTTCCATTTCTTATTGAATATGGGTAATATTTATTGGAGCATTTGAACTAAATTTTAAACAGATTTATTCATAAAAAATATATTAGTCACAGAACATCTTTAGAAATGCAAAGATTGTTCATTAAAATTCATGCAAAATATTGCAAAAGAAATTACAACCTAAAAAATTTCTACTAAATTTTTCACATTTTTCACTTTTCTTGATTTTTCCTCTTTTTTAAATTTGTATTTAATATTTTTCCCTAACATATAAATTTAGGCTACTAATTTTTGAACCATTATTGTAAGTTATTTTGTAAGATTTTTCATAAATTTTCACTTATTCTGCAATGGTTTTTCAATTGTATTACATATACTTGCTAATCCAAACTAATTCAGCCCCAAAAGTTTGTTAGATATGAAAGAAAATCAATGATAATTAATTTATAAATAATAATTTATATGATCTATTTTTTTTTTTTTTTTTAATACAAATAATTCAGTACCAAAGGTGTGTTAGATATGGGAGAAAAGGAAATAATAATAAATGTAATAATATAACAATAAACATTGCCATTTTTGTATTATATATTTTTAAGTTAATTTAATTTAATCATTTTTTATTTCTTCTTTATTTTTGCTACTAGCAACATAGTTAATTGGACAAAACATTATTTTGGAACATAATGCAAGCAAATCAAGCATCAAAATGGCCCAATTTTTTTTTCTGTAATTTGTAAAAATTATGTTTCTTCCATGTGAAAATGGATCCAAATTCAGATCATGCTGCATGACAAATTAATATATAATTATATAATTAATATATATATATATATATATATATAATATATATATCACAGAAACTTTACCTTTGCTCATTCACCCAATATTTGCTCTTCAAGCTGCACACAAATAAAATAAGTCATCATCATGAAAAGAGAAATGAATAATAACACTAAAATACACACTATACACGCACTATAGCTTTAAACAGCTTACCTGGTCTTGATGAGCTTTGTGTAAGTCTTTACCAAGTAGTCAGAGATATTTCTGTTTGTCATGTCGAGCAAAATGTCCCCTGTTGGCTCTTTTCTCTACATCACATCACAAATAACATCGCTATAAACTGGCTGACTACCATCATAACAATAACTTAATGATAATCAGTCCTTTAATGATCAGATTGTTACCTGGCGTGGTGGCAGTCCTCCAGCTCCAGCAGGACACATTGGCAGCATAGTGAGCTTCAAATCAGTGCTGCATTCACAGGATGGGGATGGGTTTCTGCTATCCCATTCAGGACTTGATAAGATGTTGCTGACCTCAGGAGACACTGGAGGAACTTCCCAATCTGAGCTTGAGTTTAAGCAGGTAAAGATGTTCCTGCACATACAAACATGTGTATACAATAATATAATAGAATGTAACTGTTAAATGTATTATACATATAAGATATTTTAAAGTCCAGTGAAATATATTGATCAAAATAAAGCTTTTTAGAGGTTAGGATAAGTATGTTAGTCTTAAGGATATCTATATGATAGTGTGCTGCAAAACAGTGACAAAATTCGCATTGAGAAGAAAGAAGCATTTAAAGCTTGCAATTGTCACTTCCGCCTAAATGGATCAATATTAATTTTTATATCACCTCAAATCTCTAAATCTTTTGGCCCACAAATGTGTCTATTGTATCTTACATGTTTCGCCCCCTTCAATAGTTATTGCTATACAGTATGTGCTTGAGTTCAACCACTCTCACTGGCACAGCAGTTATCAGTGTTGCCAGATTGGGCAGCTTTGAATTTAATTGGGTGGATTAAAAATGGCATTGGCCGGTTGACAAAAATTAGGCAATTTTAAAACATCCATTTTAACAAAACATAACTGTGTGCTCCTAATCCATTCAGTTAGTAGTGACCAGTGCATAGCGCAAACTGTGTGGGTCCACCCACAAGAATTAGTGAAGGAAAGTTGCATCAAAATTTGACTCCCCTTCGTTTGCACATACATTATGCAACTTTTATCAATTTATATATATATATATATATATATATATATATATATATATATTTTTTTTTTTTTTTTTTTTTTTTTCAATTGACAGCAAGAACAATCATAGAACTGTTGTCTGAATGGTAAGCAGCACCTAACTGTGTTCAAAAGAATTTAAAATGGCAAATGGGTCGAATTTATCCTCCATTTTCGAAAGTAAAACATGCTCTAATATGATTCGGTTATGTTGTGGTTCTGTGACTGTTGGTAGTGGTTGCTGTATAGTTAAAAATTATGAGTTAAAATAACTAGGTTAATTTATGATTTAATTAAATTTAAATTAAATAAATATTGATCTAATATTTTGGCTGGAAAAAGTCAGCTAGATCTGGCAACACTAGCTGTGATAAACCAAAGCTACTGTCTTTCTCTGTTTCAGTTTAATTTACGTCACACTTCAAACAAATATTCACATTTCAAAGCACTTCACATGACCTTTAACTGTATAACAACAACATAGTTTGTCGCACAAAATTATGTCACATGATCCTTCTGAAATTATAAATATGCTGCAATATTAATATCTCCTATTATAATCAATATTAATAAGGGTTGAATATTTTTCCAGAAACTGTGATGTGTTTCTTTATTTATATTATTGTTTATATTTTTATTATATATAGTTTATATTTATATTATTGCTTATTATTTGTTTATATTTTTTGTTCAACATTTTAAATAGATGTATGGTTTCTTAAAATATATTTAATGCATTGCTACTGAAAAAAAAATTTAATTTCTTTATTTTAGCATTTAAAGTTGGTGAAATAATTACACTGAAAAAAATAAATATTTTCGTTTTTAGTCCAAATGCCTAAAAACTCTAAATTCAAGAACTATTTTTCAGACAACATTAAGTGAAGCTAAATAATCTGCCAATGGGGTAAGCATAATTCACTTATTTCAAACTGAAAACAAGATTATTTTACCTACCACATGGTGGATTATTTAGCTTTTTTAAAATGAAACCTCTACTTAATTGACTAATTATTTCTAAAAACAAAACTATATCTACAGGGTGGGACAATTACATAGATACACATTAATAAACTTGTCGGGAATTTCACAAGAAAAAACAACGGTGTGCTTGGCTTTATCGTAACTTTATTCTTCCATGAGTTATTTACAAGCCCCTTTATATACTAATGTGCCACAAACAGGATGTTAATATTACCAAACATTTTCATTTTATTAAGATGTATCCATATAAATGGTGCACCCTGTATATCTAAACTATCTAAATGATAGCTCTAGATAGTTGCACTAGAAACCAGACAAACACTTTAGCATTTTTTTACAGTGTTATTACTTCAAAAGACATTTAGTAGCAATACATTACATTGATTTAAAGTAACCTTAAAGATATTTAAAATGTTCATTAAACAACCATTCTTTGCAGTAAATAATTATAAACCTCTATGAAGAGAGTTGTGGTATCCCTAGTTCTATAAGAATCTACTTAGGGAGTACACATCACACAAATTATAGCTGCATAAGTGTAGTTTAAATCAAAACCACTTGAAATAAGAAGTTCAACACTCACTCTAAGGGCTGATTGGCCATACAGCGGGTTCCCATGCCAGGGTCCTTCAGCAGCGTCTGAATGAAGTGCTTCATCTTTGGATGTGACGGTTGCTCATTACTGAGATACACAAGAGCAGAGTCCAGTTCATCTCTCAAATTAAAAAACAAACAAACATGCAAACTACATTAGAAAGTGTGTGGGTCTGAGAACAACTCTCACCTGATGAAGGTAAACTGTGGTCCATACATCCATGGTGTGAGGGTCAGACAGGGGTACTCCCCGAATGGTGGCACAATCATAGTGAAGACCAGAGCAATGAGGACAAAACTGGCTGGCAAAACAATCTATTAAAAAAAAAGAAGAAGAAAAAAATATGTATAATAATAATATTAAATATTAATATAAGCTTATTATCTAGAATGTTTTAAAACAATGTCCTTCTTCTTGTTGAAGTACTGTACATTTACATAAATGAATAACCACTTGAGGGATATTTTATGTTTTATCATTGATTGGGATTCATTCATTCATTTTTCTTTATTCATCAGGGGTTGCCACAGCGGAATGAATCGGCAACTTATTCCGCATATGTTTTACATAGCGGATGCCCTTCCAGCTGCAACCTAGTACTGGAAAACACCATATTCACAAAATACACTCTCACATTCACACACATACACTACAGCCTGGACTGTAGGGGTCACCGGAACACCTGTTGGAAACCCATGCCAACACGGGGAGAACATGCAAACTCCACACAGAATGCCAACTAACCCAGCCAGAACCTGAACCAGCAACCTTCTTGAACCAGCAACCTTTAATTTTGGCTTCATTAAAATGTCAGTCAGAATCAAAGCAAAATAAAAAAACATTGTTGTGTCTAAACATCATAGTAAAAATCAGAATTTTTTAACATAACGTCAATTATTGAATGAACTTTACTAACAGTAGTCACTTGTTTCATTACATAATAAATCATTCAATCAATCATTTCCTATAAAAGAAATTATCAATGAGGAAATTAATATGTGTCTCTTTTATTAATGCCTTGTTGATGTTTTGGTATCATAGCTTAAAGCATTATTGTATTTTAACATTTGATATTTTGTTAACACTACTGTTTAGGTTACAATTCACAGTATTAGCAAGCCATTAACTAACACTACTAGCTTAAACAACTAATTAACTGTTTGATAAATAGTTAGTAAGGTAAAGGATGGCTTTTAGTTTTGGGTAGGATTAGGGATGCAGAATAAGATCATACTTTATAACCAATAATAAACGGTTAATATCTTAATAGGCAGGTAATAAGCCAGTAGTTAATAGCATGAATTGTGACATAAACTAAAGTGTTATTGATATTTCTTCATTCATAATACAGTAATTTTTTCTGCTTGATACATCTCATAAAATTATTTATGCCAATGTAAATGCATTCATGGCATCTCTGAGTGTCGGTGCAAACATGTTGATAGTGACAGCCAAATAATGCCTAAAAATTCAAACTGCATTAACTGAATAAATGTAGAAATTACATTAATTGACATCCTAGAGAAGTTCCCTCATAAAGGTATCAACATGTGGAGCTTTCTGGATTTTCCAAAGCTTTAGAAATGAAAGATCTAAAACAGGAAATACATTAAGACTATTGTTATTGTTTACATCCCTCAAAATGGCCTATAGGCAGAAGAAGACCACAGCAGTGCAACAACTCAGTATTCGTGTCTAAAAATGCAAGATGCAGGTTTGAAAAACGCACCAACTCTCATGCTGCCGTCAAATAATAATAATAATAATAATAATAATAATAATACATTTTATTTATAAAGCGTCTTTCCAGAGCTCAAGGACACTTTACAAAGAATGCAACAAAAAGAGATTGTAAAAGCAGACATTGACAGAAACAGTAAACAAGTAGAGACAACATTAGATACACAAACACACTGGAAATACAAAACAAGACCTAAGAGATAAATTAGCAGAGTGCAAGTGGGTTAAATAAAGTGGCCAGTTTGTCAGATCAGTAATGAAGCATTTAGAAAACAAGTGAGTTTTAAGTAAAGATTTGAATTCTGAGATATTATTAACAGAATGAAGTGAACGTGGTGGGGAGTTATACAATTTGGGTGCAATAACACTAAATGATCTGCCCTAATTAAAGAGAGGCAGTACCGAGGGACAGCAAGAAGGCCAGAGTCAGCGGAACGTAATAAGTGAGTAGGGGTGTAGGGGACAAGCATGTTGCAAAGATAAGAGGGAGCTAGGCCATTTAAGGATTTAAATGCAAGGAGGAGAATTTAGAATTTAATGCATTATGCCACTGGGAGCCAATGAAGGTCGTACAAGATTGGGGTTATATGAGCAGAACGTATGGTATGAGTAAGTATTCTAGCCGCAGAGTTTTGAACATACATAAATAAACAGAAGCTTGCCATGCTTGCCCTGCCTCAGAGGTCTTCTGAGTGGTCCACTGCTTTGGAACTGACATTAAAAAGCCACATTGCATGTAAAAGTCAAATTCTTTTATCTTGACGAACTTTAAAAACTCACTCATGTGTGAGATGCTGCAAAAGACGCACGTATATAAAGGTTCCACATGTCTGTCTAGCAAGTTTACATAGAAAAACAATGTAAATATAAATGGACCTATAGACAGACCTCCCCTTCTAGCATTTTCATTAGAATGCATTTCAGATTTAAAGTGCTGGGCTCAACCTTTTGAATTAGTCTCCTAAATATAAAGTTTAATTTCTCATTGTTTCATTAATTTTGTATCTTCTTTCACAGGTAGTTCTGTAGCTGATTGTCACAAAACATTAATGCCTGTTCCAAATACACTGAAAAAAGCAGGCAGTGAGGATTAGTTGCTTTTTTTATGTTGAACTGAAATTATATATCGGTTTAGTGTAGCGTTACACCCCTACTCAAATGTTCATTTTTGTCCTCCTTTGGGAATTGGTCATCCTAGTCCACATATACTTTCATCTTACCTGTGCTAGGAAGTCTTTGTGGCTGCGTGTGGCGTGATGAAACCTCTTGACTAGAAGAGCGTGGAACTGCTTAAGGACCAAACTAAAGCCCTTAACCTGTCTGGAGGCTCTACCTTCACTGCTGTCAGACTCCAGTGAGGCTCCCACACCGTTAGCATCTGTAACCAGACCAGATACACACATAATCTAATTAGATCCGCTGTAAAAACTGCACAGCTGGTCAACAATGTTGTATTTTTGCTGCAGCTTGTCCGGGCTAATTGACCAGAGAAAACGAATTAGCTCAGCTCCCATAGCAGCAAGATTACTTTCAATTAACTAGCTTAACCAGGAACCATTTTGAGCCAATCGTTCAGCGTGATGGACTGGTTCACCAGCACTAGTGAGCAAAAACCAGCCTAGACCTGCATTGGAATTCACATTGGTCTAAGCTGGTCTGCTTTCTCAACAAGCTTAAGCTCTACATAAAGCATAGCACAGCTTGATCAAATCCATTATAGCGCCCTGTTAGCTTCTTAGCATAAGTGCTAAGCAAAGCTGAGATCTGCGATCTCAATTCACCTTCAGCAAGACCTGTGTCTTTCATGAAACCATTGCCATTTTTCCTCTGTTGTAGCATCCATTGCTCTGAGGGGTTTGAATGTCAAACACAAGCTTTTAAGCTACTGGGTTATGAACAATACTTCAAAATATATTAATAAGATATACAATAAGTTTTTATTCTTGTAAATGCAGGTTTAATTTACCTGGTGTGACAGAGCTGTTGGCTGCCTCTCCATCTGCTGTAACTTTCAGAAAGATCTAGACACACACAACACAGATTCTTGAATCACCAGTGAGCAGAAATTCATCTGTACAGCACAGTACAATGCAGTCTAATGGCAATTTGAAAAAATTTTATTTATGTTCACATAGATATACAGTTTAAGTCAGAATTATTAGCCCCCCTGAATTATTAGCCCTGCCTGTTAATTTTTCCCCCAAATTTTTGTTTAACACAGAAGATTTTTTTAACACATTTCTAAACATAATAGTTTTAATAACTCGTTTCTAATAACTGTTTAATTTTATCTGCCATGATGACAGTAAATAATATTTGACTAGATACTTTTCAAGACACTTCTATACAGCTTAAAGTGACATTTAAAGGCGTAACTAGGTTAATTAGGTTAACTAGGCAACATGATATATATTTTTAGAAATCTTTTTGTTTTAGTTAAAAAAAAAAGCATTCAAACATATTCAAGTAAATCACACTAACATAGCAATCTAGAGATCTTTAAATTGAAATATTCCTGCCAAATGTAAACACACCCAAACACAAACACTAGTTATATGAATTCAACAGTCTGTCCACTGGTTTCACTACCATTACAATTAGTAAGAAAATGTCCCCCACCTCTTCCAGTGATGTGTCCGATATGCCAAAGCTACTGAGGCCCATGTCACCCAGCGTTTCCTCCAGTTCTCGAAAAAGGCTGGCGTACGCTCGATATTTAAAGCCTTTATTTGGCAGCAGATAGGTCATCTCCTGACCGATCATTTCAATCAGCTTCGCTTCCGGTACATGGTGATGAATCAGAGTAGTGATGCTTTCAACGTTCCCTAAGATGGAAAAAAAAATGAGGTCGTTTTGATGAAAGGAGAATAAAAAGGGAGTTCATTTCTTGTATTTGTGTTGAGTTTTGAGAACACTGACCATCCAGTACTCTCTCGGGCTGTAGAGCCTGACTCTCCTCTTTATATCTAGTGCAGGTGGAGCAGGTGCAGGAACATTCAGATGCACAGTCACACTCATTCTGAAGAGTACAGATTAAAAATAAAAGCAACATCACTGTACTCATCAAACTCAGAGTCGAAGGTTTTGCTATTTTAAGGGTTTTGTTGCTTCTTAAACCTCATGGATATTTTTAATAGGAGAGCGGCAGTGATTATTGCCAAAATACAGTTTGCTGATGCTAATGTGCCATGGAATATTGGTAGATCTGTTGTTGCTAAGGTGTTTTATGTCATTTTAAGGCCACTATGAAAACAAAAAAAGGCTATTCTTCTTTTCAATTATTATGTAACATCTGTTTTAACATCATTTGGAAATGTTTAAAAAAGAAAACAAAATTCAAAGGGGGCCTAATATTTCTGACTTTAACTGTAAAGTTTCTGTGACATTTCTTTAGTTTTTAATAGATGCCTGATGCCTCATAATTTCTTTAGACTTTATAAAAATAATAATATATATATATATATATATATATATATATATACAATTTTATTATTATTATTATTATTATTATTATTATTATTATTATTATTATTTTGTCTTTCCTACGTATCTTTCTTTTTTTTTGTTAAGGGTCCTATTTAGACGAACTGTTGACTAAGTAACATTGCTATGAATATGCTAACTACTTTTATTAGAGTAGTAATGTGCTAGTTTAGGATTTAAACAAATAGAATAAGCTGTAGTTGAAATGTTACTTATAGTCAGTATAATGTCTGTTGGGGAACAGTCAAACTAATATTTTCTTTTTCAGGTGTTTAATTATTCACTGAAAGAAAATATAGGCTTTATACACATACATATACACATACGTTGAATAAAAATTTTATCCGATAAATCGAAATGTGCGTAAACTATGATGGAAACAAGTTTAACAAATACATTCACATAAAATGTGCACATAATGTTTTTCTTTTACAAAAAAATGCATTGATAATGTAAAAAAAAAAGATTGCAAATAAAAAGCTATTATTTTTTTAAATTTCATTTTTATCGAAGACTCTTAAAAGTCTAATGTAACAGTTTCCACAATATTATGAAGCAAGAAAAGAAAAAACGGCACTGATAATTGTAATCATTATCAGTGATTTTGTAACAGTTTAACTGATCATAAAAGAACAGTAAATAATCATATTATAATGATTTATGAAGGATCATGTAATGCTGAAGACTGGAGTAATGAGAATAAAAATTCAGCTTTAAATCACAGAAAAAATTACATAATTTAATATCTAATATTGTAATAATCTTTTACAATTTTACAGTTTTTACTGTAGTTTTCATCATATAAATGCAGCCTTGGTGAGCAGAATCTGCATCTTTTAAAACATTAACAAAGCTTACTGTTTCCAAACTTATAGTGTAAATCTCACCTCCTTCTTGCGCTGGTCTTTCATGCGTCTCACCAGGGTGAGGTAGAAACCGACACCGAAGCAGTTCTTCAGAAATAGAGGAGAACCACTGCAGTGCAGTTTGCCTTTAGAGATGATGGCCACCCTGTCACTCAACAGGTCTGCCTCGTCCATGTGATGAGTGGACAGTATCACTGTGCGTCCTGGAGCAAGTGTGCATGCGAGCAAAGCAACCCATACCATTTACAAACAACACAAGCATAAAGGAATAGTTCAAAAAATTGTCATCATTTACATATGCTCAAGGGTTTCCAAACCTCTAATGTAACTGGAAACCTCTAGCTAAGTTGCCATGCAACCATGCTCATACACATTACCTAACCCAAAAATGCACAGCATAAACAATGCACAAACAACCTTTAACACACACTTTCTCTTCTCTGTATGCACCAGACACTTTCTTATCAACACTAGAAATACTGTGCAATAGTATTGATACTGACTTTGGTCTTTCGCACTCTCTTCACCAGCAGCGAGATGAATAATTAATAATAATATTTAAATTTTTAACACTTTTGTATTAATTCTTTTTTTTTTCCATGATGATGACATCAGGGGAAAAAAACATTTTCCTTTTTTTATTTTATTTTTTTAAATAAAATGTAAATATTTAAAACAGTTATTTAAATCTCTTATGGACTTTTTTGAACATCTGACAGAAATAGTCAAACAGGTAAGCAATAAACGGAAATGCTGCTGCTTTTCTGCTGTTTCTGCTTATTAACAGCAGGTGTTCGTCATGAGTGCTCAATCATCCCTTTTACTAACCCCATTGTTGTCTCATTAACTTTAACTCTGCTGCTGAGTAAATTTTACTCAATTTAAAGAGGGACCAAATATTCTCTGAAGTGAGTATTTTTTTAACTGAATTTTACTCTGAGGATTTTGCTGTGTGCTTGATGATGTAAAGTGCTTATTTTATCATAATTTATAAGTGCTATATATATATATATATATATATATATATATATATATATATATATATATACAGTTAAAGTCAGAATTATTAGCCCCCTTTAGATTTTTTTTTCTTCTTTAAATATTTCCAAAATGATTTTTAACAGAGCAAGGACATTTTCACATGTCTGATAATATTTTTTCTTTTGGAGAAAGTCTCATTTGTTTTATTTCAGCTAGAATAAAAGCAGTCATTAATTTTTGAAGCTATTTTTTTCGACAATCTACAGAACAAACCACTGTTATACAATAACTTGTCTATTTGCCCTAACCTGCCTAGTTAACCTAATTACCCTAGTTAAGCCTTTAAATGTCACTTTAAGCTGCAAAGAAGTGTCTTGAAAAATATCAAGTAAAATATTATTTACTGTCATCATGGCAAAGATAAAATAAATCAGTTATTAGAAAAAAAGTTTCAAAAAATATTATGCTTAGAAATGTACAGAAACAAGGGGGAATAAACACGGACGCTAATAATTCAGGGGGGCTAATAATTCTGACTTCAACTGTGTGTGTATATATATATATATATATATATATATATATATATATATATATATATATATATGAGCTAAATTGAGCTGGATAAAAGTGTAATCCAATAAAGACACACAAATAAAAAAAATTACCAAATAAATTCACATAGAAAGGGCATCAACAAATTTTGCATGGTTTTAATAATTTTTGAAACACCCAGCTGAAAGTTCATCCTCCATATGATTTAGTATGGTTATATTAATTTTATAGATTTGTCTTACACTAACCTTTTCACAAACATTAGGCACTGCCTACAAACGCAAGATAAAATTATGATACCATGTGTGTCCTCTGCAGATCTGAGGTAACTTATTTTATCTATAGTAAAAGTAATTTCTGGTTGCAGATAACTGTACATATATTGTGGTCATTTCTCTGGAAAGATTTTTGTTCTCTTGAACACATGTAATAGAAATCTGTGTTTCATTCGCAAAAGTTTTATAAATGATATTTAAATTGTTATGCATACATCTAAACATAGCAGCTGACTTCCACATATGACCAAAGTAGATTTCAAATATCCTTCAAAAGATCTACTCTTGTGTTTAACAGACGTTTTAAAACTTTTAAAAATTACATTTAGGAAGAAGCAAGTCAAGTGAGTAAATGATAATAGAATTTAAATTACTATCTCTAACTGCATGATCAGCCGTAGCAGCAGTGTTTTTGTTTTCCTGAAGGTGGCAGTACCTGTGCGGTATTTGAGGAGCAGGTCCCAAATGGAGCGTCTGGAGTAAGGATCTACACCTGAGGTCGGCTCATCCAGTATCACCACCCTAGAGCCTCCAACGAAAGCCATCGCCACTGACAGCTTCCTCTGCATACCACCTAAAGAGGGTCAGTACACAAAAAGTTTATTAAGACACTGACATTAATGCTTGATGTTTTTACTCTTGCACAAATAATTGCACATGCAGCACATTAAACTGGAAAAACTAAATGAAAAGACGCAAAAAAAAGTAAAACCATCAGGGATATTTAAGATCAAATGACATTGCAGTTGAACTGTGCCATTGTTGTCCCTGATATGGATGTCAAAAATAAACGTTTGCATTTGGCAGTTACCAACCATGCAAGTCCATTGTATAAAGATTTAGTTCTTAGATAGGCCTATAGTTATATGAAGTCATAGCAGCAGATCTATAGTTTATATAGAAATAAAGCCACCATTTATGAGAAATAAAATAGCTAATTTGAAAAATAACAGCAAGTTTGAGAAATTAAGAATCAACAATGAGACCAAGTAGCAGTTGTAGGACATTAAAGGGACAGTTCACCCAAAAAACGACATTCTGTCATCCATTTTGTATCATTTAATAATAGCAGTTGTAGTGGGTTTGTTGAAAATGAAACGGAATTATTATAAGTGGTAACAGTTATACTAAAGTACAAAAAAGACCACTAAAACAATTAAAGAATGATCTATTGTCAAGGAAAAGTCATGAATCGTTTAAACCAGCGGTTCCCAAACTTTTTCAGCCAGCGACCCCCAAAATGACAATGCCAGTGACTGGCATGCACTAAATTCCAGGGGTTTCATTACCACGACGTAAAATGGGCGTGGCTCGGTCGGTGTTTGGGAAACGCCCCCTTAAAAAAAAACAATACTGAGAGGTCACCGATCATGCGCAGTACAGGTTCTTTTTTAGCGCGGTCATTTCAAACAGGATGATTATGGATAAAGAACCTACCGCGGTGGATAACGAGGAAAAAAACAATCATACAGGTTATTTTTTTGTTTTTATAATGTTATATTTTAAAGATTTCATTAGCAAAAACGGCTGACCTCGTTTTACTCCGTTTTACTGTCTCTGGGCTTTTGTACTTCCATTTTAAACCAAATAATAATGGTTGTGGTAAGATTAACCGTGTTTTTGTAGTTTAAAATATGGTATTCAGTCATGTTTAAACAAATAAATACCACATTTTCTGTAATAAATCGTGGTTAATTTTTCTTTCTCGATCTTAGTTAATTAACATAACTCATATTTATTTTCTATTTTTATTTAAAGTCATCATACACAAAACAACTGGGATCAGGACAGGTATCTGATGTTAACTAATATAAAAGTGATCATACATAAAACCCCTGGGATCAGGACAGGTATCTGATGTTAATGTATATAATATAAAAGTGATCATACATGAAACACCTGGGATCAGGACAGGTATTTGATGTTAATACATATAAAAGTGATCATACATGAAACACCTGGGATCAGGACAGGTATTTGATGTTAATATATATAAAAGTGATCATACATAAAACCCCTGGGATCAGGACAGGTATCTGATGTTACTGTATATAATATAAAAGTGATCATACATGAAACACCTGGGATCAGGACAGGTATTTGATGTTAATATATATAAAAGTGATCATACATGAAACACCTGGGATCAGGACAGGTATTTGATGTTAATATATATAAAAGTGATCATACATGAAACCCCTGGGATCAGGACAGGTATCTGATGTTAATATATATAAAAGTGATCATACATGAAACACCTGAGATCAGGACAGGTATCTGATGTTACTGTATATAATATAAAAGTGATCATACATGAAACCCCTGAGATCAGGACAGGTATCTGATGTTACTGTATATAATATAAAAGTGATCATACATGAAACCCCTGGGATCAGGACAGGTATCTGATGTTAATGTATATAATATAAAAGTGATCATACATGAAACCCCTGGGATCAGGACAGGTATCTGATGTTAATATATATAAAAGTGATCATACATGAAACCCCTGGGATCAGGACAGGTATCTGATGTTACTGTATATAATATAAAAGTGATCATACATAAAACCCCTGGGATCAGGACAGGTATCTGATGTTACTGTATATAATATAAAAGTGATCATACATAAAACCCCTGGGATCAGGACAGGTATCTGATGTTAATATATATAAAAGTGATCATACATGAAACCCCTGGGATCAGGACAGGTATCTGATGTTAATGTATATAATATAAAAGTGATCATACATGAAACCCCTGGGATCAGGACAGGTATCTGATGTTACTGTATATAATATAAAAGTGATCATACATAAAACCCCTGGGATCAGGACAGGTATCTGATGTTAACTAATATAAAAGTGATCATACATGAAACCCCTGGGATCAGGACAGGTATCTGATGTTACTGTATATAATATAAAAGTGATCATACATAAAACCCCTGGGATCAGGACAGGTATCTGATGTTACTGTATATAATATAAAAGTGATCATACAAGAAACCCCTGGGATCAGGACAGGTATCTGATGTTACTGTATATAATATAAAAGTGATCATACATAAAACCCCTGGGATCAGGACAGGTATCTGATGTTACTGTATATAATATAAAAGTGATCATACATAAAACCCCTGAGATCAGGACAGGTATCTGATGTTAATATATAAAAAAGTGATCATACATGAAACACCTGGGATCAGGACAGGTATCTGATGTTAATGTATATATAAAGTTTTTGGCACAAAAGCCGTGGGATCGGGACAGGTATCTTAAGTTATAACAGTATTAATGTAATCTGAGAGGTATCTTAAGTTAATTTGTTTAATATAACATTCACTGACTTCACATGAAACACCTGCGATCAGGACAGCTATTTAGTACTGCATATAAAAGGCATTTGACACGAAACCCCTGCAATACGTACAGGTATCTGAATCAAACGGCTGTTTTCACAATCTGCGCATGATCCGTGACCTATGCAAATTCACAGATAGGCCACGCCCACCCGATGACGCAGTAGCGGTTACGCTGTACTGAAACCCCTGGAAAAAAGTGCCTGCCGCCAGTGACTCGAGTCGCGACCCCCAATATCCTCTGAGGTGGTTATATATACAGTGGTCATAAATGCAATGGTGCACACACACACACTAATATACCCAAATCTATTCTTCTTTTTATTTTTTAATGTATATCAATGCTGTAAATGGGCCAGAAAGTTTAACCTGGTGTTATAAAATCAATCTGCTGCATCTGACGATATTGCTGTGTCTTTAATATAATGTTATTACCCCAGGGGTCACAACCCCATAGAACTAGTAACTATAAGCTATTATAGTAACTACATAGTAACTATAAAGTATATAGTAACTATAAACTATATAACTTTTTTTTCTCTTCAGTAGGTTATAGATAACTTATGGTAATTAATATGGTTTGAAAAAAATAAATAGATTTTTGGAAATCACCAGGCGACCCCCCCTATTTTGTCACGCGACCCCTCGGGGGTCCCGACCCCACTTTGAGAACCACTGATTAAACAATACTGATCTGTTACTTGACCTGACGATTTACTTTTTCAGAATTTTGAAAAATAGAAAGTTCAAAAGAACAACATTTATTTAATGTTTTGTAACACTAAAAATGCAGTTGCTGTTCCTTTTGATAAGGTTAATGGATCTTCACTAAATAAAAAATGTATCCTTATGTCAATAACCTTCATGATTGTTTTTTTTTTTTTTTTTTTTTTTTGGAGGAATTATTTTATGTAATTTTTTATGAGCACTTAAGAATAAGCTTTTGGTTTGTATTTTTTATAAATTTTGCACAGATTTGTTTTACAATTTCTTACACTATTTGTATGTTTAAAATATTTAAATTTATTTTGAATATATTTGTTTATTTTACCTCAGTAGTAATTACATTTTTATATACTAATGTTTGTTTCTGTATGCAACAGCTTTTTGTGCTAGCAATGTATTTGTATATTTCCTTTACCTTTTTTGAATTTACCTCATTAGACACACTGCAGTTTGATCTTTTTAGACCACTAAAAAGGAAATGTACTACAATTATCTGTGTTAGACTAGTCTTCTTCTCCTTGTTTGTAGTACAACATACTTCAGTATTTAACATGGATGTTTTTGCTGTTTTTTCCTGCTTATTATTATTATTATTATTTATTATTATTATCTTTTTTGTTGGTTTTTTTTAGCTACAGGTCCTATTGACATTTAAACAGGGCTTTTAGACAGAACAGTACTGTCCAAACACACTTGCGTTTACCTCAGACTGATCATCATTATGAATAAAGACAGAGGATTTCTATGTCTACCCAAACAGAAGCTTCATTTTATCTCCCTAAATCAGATCAGCTTCATATAAGAGGCTTAGATATAGTACCCCCTGCCTCCTTGTGTTCTTAAGTATCACTCCAAAACACAGATCCTAAGGCAGGCAAACTGTAAGACCCCTTAATAAGAGATTATAAATTACTAGATTATGGTCTCAGGTGTATAATCAGACCCACCGGAGAGGTTCTGTGCTTCCTCATCCCGTTTATGAGGCAGCCCCAAGTCCTCCAGCATGTTCTCGACCTCCTGCTCGGCCTCCTTGTGTTCACGGCCCTTCATCAGAGAGTAGAAGAGAATATGCTCCTCCACCGTCAGACTGAGTAAAACAGCATCATACACACACATTAAAGGCAATTATACATAGATTAGTAGATATATGTACTATTAGCTGGAGTACCCATCAGACTCACTAGAGGGCACTCCAGCTATATATATATATATATATATATATATATATATATATATATATATATATATATATATATATATGATGAGTTTAGATGCAAAAACCTCTAAATGCCGTCCGAAATTTTCCTCTAAAATTAGTATGTTAATCAGTTTCCTGTGTGTATGTTCAGTAATATCACTTTTATAGCAAAGAATAACTCCTTTTCCTGGTCTTTAAAGTAAAATCTACACATAAATTAGACTGAGAAAAACTTTCATTTAAGGTGCATACCAGACCTGCACATTCGCATGCTCAGAGTCGTGGCTGGGCGCCGACTTGCGGCACCGGTATGTGTACCCCGATAAAAACCCATGTTTAGAATTCTGAAATTCATGGTGCTGCGCATCGCCGAGCGGTGTTTCTGGTGTGTGACCCCCTTTTGTTTCATGTTTTGCCCTGCCTGTTTTGATTCTGGACTGTTCTTTGTTTTGTGATTGCTTGCCCCCTACCTCAACCTCTTCCCTGTTTGTTGGATTTACTAATTTTTTACCCTTTTTGCTCCTGTTTTGACCCCTACCTGCCTGAACATTCTTTTTATAATAAAGCTGCAAGTGGACATTTACCTTTGTTGCAACACCGTCATCAATACATATTCAAACACTTGATGGCATAATTACAATTATTTTATTGTTTTTTTAATGATGTGTAAAGGAATAAATTATATATATATATATATTTTTTTTTCATTTATAATTATTTTTTTTCTTCTAGAGAAAGTCTAATGTGTTTTAGTTTTGTTTGAACAAAGCAGCTTTTACTTTTCAAAGCAATTTTAATAGACTTTAAAGCCCCCTTAAAATTTTTTGATTGGCTACAGAAACTATAACTAGGATTCATAAATTATATACAATTATGTATATAATGGCTTACAAACTGGGTAAAGTGTAATTTTTTTTTAAATATGCAAACATAATTAATAATACTGATGATAATCAAAAATAATTTGATGTATATAAAATTGTATGATTTTTTTTTTTTATGACCTATATGGCTAGCAGCCTAACCTAAGCAAAAATGTAGCCAAATTGGCCAGTTATTAAAAAAAAAGTTTATTTTAAACCCTAATTACAATCATTTCAAAAGAAAGAAAATGCACTCACTGTTTGAAGAGGATGTTGTGCTGTGGACACATGCCCAGTGACTGTCGTATGGCGTCCATCTCTGTACGAATGTCTCTTCCATAAATGTAAGCTGTTCCAGAGGTGGGTGGAAATAGCCCAGTCAGAATGGACCTACAAGAGTAGACGTGTATATATGAATTACACAAAATACACTAAATTCATGCTTCCATTTCATAGATAAAAAGACAGTCCTAACGCACAAGGTGGTGGTCTTTCCTGCCCCATTGTGACCCAGGAAAGAAGTGATCTGGCTCTCATAGAAGTTCATATTGAGACAGTCCACAGCAGGTCTGGAATATCGATTATACATCTTCACCAAATCCTGTACTGACACTCCTATTAACAGACTCTCCGGCTCAGGCTCAAAGAATGGATTTTCTGTAGGAAAACATACAGAACAGACACTGAAGAAGACAAACAGCTGCCAAAATAACAGGGTCAGGTACACATACCGGTCCTGAAACTCACCAGAAATATTAAACACTTCTTAGACTTTCTACAACCTGACAAGTGCAGAATCAGCATTTTCAATCCATCTATATTTCCAACTTTAAAGCAGCGATTGTTATTTTTTTCGTGTTGTTATCCAGTTCCTAGAGAAATTGAATTTTAAATGAGCTAACAGAGTGGCTTTTTTTTTCTATATATAGAATAATATATACTAACAGTCAGATTTATTAGCCCCTCTTTGATTTTATTTTTCTTTTTTTAAATATTTCTCAAATTATGTTTAACAAAGCAAAAAAACTTTCACAGTATGTCTGATAATATTTTTTTTTCTTCTGGAGAAAGTCTTATTTGTTTTCTTTCGGCAAGAATAAAAGCCGTTTTTATTTTTTTTTTTTAAAACCATATTAAGGTCAAAATTATTAGTCCCTTTAGGCTATATTTTTTTCTATAGTCTACAGAACAAACTATTATGTTTAGAAATGTGTTGAAAAAATTCTGTTAAACAGAAATTGGGGAAAAAATAAACAGGGGGGCTAATAATTTAGGAGGCTCATAATTCCGACTATAAATATATATATATATATATATATATATATATATATATATATATATATATATATATATATATATATATATAATAAAGTCATTTCATTCAGATAGATTGGGAAAGGGGTTTTAGAATAGTTATTACAACCTAACAGACCCATCTTGCTCATAATTTCTGTTTGTTGTCAAAACTGACAGTTGAACCCCACGCTACGCTTCGCCCATTACCTCAAAATCACATAATCCAATAATTTAACTGAAAACAAACAAGAAGTGCATTTTTAGATTTCAATTAAAGATTAGAAGGGCAAACTTTTTTTTTTTTTACTGACATGCACAGTTCCACAAAACTGGAAATGTAAGTTAACAAAGTCATATGACTAGTTTTGATTTTTTGGATACTTTAATAATAGCTTAAACACCACACATTTTAGAGAGCCTTACACTAACTATATTTGCATATTAATTACCCTCCACAGTTAAAGCAATAACAACAGCAATAGCTGATATTGACTCAGTACTTTAATTTACCTAAAAAAAAAAATCATATTTCAGGATGTTGAAAACGAGGACAACTTTAAAACGTTTGTTTATGTCTGAATGTGGGGTAAAATTATTAAATAATCTGAAAGAGATTTTAAAACAGTGTGTGGATAGTAATACATTTAAAAAGTTGTAGAAAAATATGTTATTAAAGGAATATGTTAATGAAAAGAGGTGATTGTAGAAATGTCCATTAGTGGCTGTGTACAAATGGAGAATTAAATATACTATATCATATGTAAAAGATGTAAAAAGGATTAAGTGATGTAGTGGAAAGAATGTTAATGATAATGGGGTGGGGAAAATAATGACCTTGTGCTTTATCCATTTAAATACATTTGTCATTTTAAGTGCATATGGATAAGTAAATATTTTTACTGATTTTGATAAAATGTATTTTGTTTAAAGAATTGCTTTAAATGTATGATATTCTGTTCGAAAAAAAATAAAATATTCAAATATTTGATACACTAAATTGACACACTTAACACAATTTATTTTAACCTAAATGTATTGCTATTAACAAACTATTAAATAAGAATATCAGCTAAAAATGCTCATTTGCTGCTTTATTATTAGTCAGTAAGGTAGTATGTGGGTTTGGGTATTGGGTAGGATTAAAAATGTAGACAAAGATCATACTTTACGAGCAGTCATAATAAAGTAATGATTAATAAACAGTTAATATCTTAATAATTAGCAGGTAATAAGCCAGTATTTAATAGTGTGAATTTGTACTTAAACTAAAGTGTTACAGCGAAATACAACTTTAATTCTGCTTAAAATTTTTACAAAAAGTATTCTAAACTAAATACATGAACAACATACATCCTTACCACAGTACCACTGCTGGATCTCCTCCTGCTGAATCTCCTCCTGCATTTTCAACTGCTCCTCTCGCTCTCTCTCTTTCTCCATCCTCTCTCGTTTCTCCTTGTGTTTGCAGTGTTTGCTGTTGCGGGATCCGTTGCACTCCCTGTGCTCTGGTGAAAGACCACCATACTCCACATCCTCCTGCTTCTCCACATGATTTTCCAAAGGCTTTTCTGGGACTGCAGAGAAATGAACGTTTTGTCACAAAATTAACTTCTGGCAGATCTAGTTCAAACCTATATTTGATGTTGCAAACTTGATGTTCAGAGCTAAAATATTCATTTATACCAGCATTTGAAGTCTCTGAGGGTGGTGATGGCTTCAGCCAGTACGAGGACTGCAGGGGGAAATAAAATGGCCGACCAATACCATACTGACCTGAAAATTTAAATAAATACACCTTCAAAATCACATTGTCTCTTAGGCTCTAACATTGAAATTAGTAGGTTTTTTTTTTTTTTTTTTTTTGCTTGTTTTTTTTTTTTTTTGTTTTTTGTTTTTTGTGTTGGTTTTAGTTACTATTTTATTTAAATTTCAAGACTTGATCTTAGAAAAAGAAAAGAATTATGATCTTCTCAAGTAAATAATATGTGATTACAGTCATGTCTTAGTGGTGATTAGTAACGTTCATGCAAATGTATGTATAATACTACAAAAGCAAAACAATTAAAAATATATCAGACAACAACAAAATAAATACAAAATATTTAAATGTATTTTAGAATTTGAAAATAAATATTTTGTGAAGATATATCATACATTTCAAAGGAAAAGTAATCTTATAAGCATTAAGAAAAAAAACTGAGAATGAAAGAGTATCTAAGGACATAAGTGGAAATTGTCTTTTTTATAATAATTCTAATTGTTTTTTAAAGTTTGCATTCTATCCTTAAATTTTGAGTCAATAATCATAAACCTTTTATATTGAATATAGGTCAGAATTTGAGTCATTTTCTCTTAGGTTAGCTTTTGAAAGCACACACACATACACACATCTGCACTGGTCACTTTATGCAATATTGGACTACCCCTCTATATATCATGACACTGTCACTTTCGCATAATTCTCATGTTTACAAGCCTTTTTGCTCTTTATACTGTTTTATATCTGCACAACTTTGGTTTGCACTCATTGCCATACGCCCTTAATTGTCATGTTTGTATTGTATTGTATTTTATTGTATTGTATTGTATTGTATTGTATTGTATTGTATTGTACTGTTCACAAATTTTTATTGTTTCTTCTTTATTCTTTAGACTACATTTCATGTATATATTTAGATTACATATAATGTATATATTTAGACTACATTTTAGGTATATATTTAGATTACATATTATGTATAATTGTATTTATTGTAAATTCTTTCTTAAAACTCTACTTTTTGTATTAACATTATATTGTAGGCACCTAGGGTCTGAGAGTAACGTAATTTCAATTCTCTATATGTCCTGTACATGTGGTTGAATTGACAATTAAGCTGACTTTGACTTTGACTTTATTTGGAAGTAGCACATTTGAAGGAAACTGACCTGGAAAGACGTTGTCAAGATACCAAGCCAAAACACCATAAAGAACTGCATCCAGTAGCATCATGCGAATGGAAGTGAAGAAGGAGTACTCGTCCCCCTCTAGAGGACTTGTGCCAATATTGTCCCACTGCAGACCCAGGCCTTGCTCCTCATAGCGGGATAGATACTCTGTCCCAAACCCAAAGGCCACTGGAGACAGAAGGCTCTGGGGCAAAGGGGATCATTTCACAAAATATTACCAAAATGCACATACCATTGGTCACGGAATGACAAAATAGCTAAAAAATAGTCCCTATAAATAAATTTTATTTACATTTTCTGAGCCCCCCAGTTGAGAATGAATCACACAGAAAAGTGGTGGAACATTCAAAGGTACTGAGCACCACAACATTAATATTTTTAGTATTAAGTAAAGGAATAGTTTTCCCATACAAATTAAAATGTACACATTATTTACTTACCCTTCAATTTTTCCAAACATGATTGAATTTATCTCTTTTGTTGAACACAAAACAAGATATTTTGAAGAAAGCTGGAAACCTGTAACTATTCACTTCCATAATACTGTATCTGTTTTTTGTCAATAGTTAAGGTATCCAGCTTCATTTAAAATGTCTGCATTTGTGTTCAACAGAAGAAAGAAACTTCGGAAATAAGAAATAAGGTTTGGAACCAGTGACAGGTGATTAAATGATGACAGAATGATCTTTTTTGGGTGAACTGTCCCTTTAACCAATCAAAAAATTGATAAAAATAGTACTTTATTTATTTGAGAAAATCTCTGACTAGTGCATCTTACACTGGGCAGTTAATGGGTTATATGCACAGCTAGTGTTTTTCAGCCAATGATGAACTTCTGGAGAAAGCTTTGTCTGACCATTTGAAATTTCAAAAAGTTCCTTTCACAGCCTCTATGTTGTAATGCAATTCAAATATAATGAGTTAAATAGATTTAAGCATCCATTTGATTGTTAAATCGTAAAAAGAGACGTAAGACTGTTAAACGCAGGTGCTGTCATTAGCCACAGGCAAACGCAGAAATTCAATTTACAAGTTAAAATTAATTTCCATATTTTAAAGACATGGCATGGAAAAATATAATTTAATGCAGTGCTTCTTGTTTGCTCTGATACCACTTTATAATGTATCTCATCCAGGCAGTGAAGATTGCTGTTTTATAAAGAAATCTGACAGCATCTGCCATCTTAAACGTGGCGATTTTGTATTGGATGATAATGCACCGAAAGCCCTTTGGCTGGCTGACTGAAATTAAAAGTCTGTGTGCACATACTCCATTATGTATTTCAGGGGTGGCCAATCTTGTTCCTGGAGAAACACCTTCCTGCAGATTTCATTCGCTACCTATATCAAACACACCTGAACCAATTAATTAGGACCTGAACACAACGTGATAAATACAGGCAGGTGTGTTTGATATGGGTTGCAACTGAAATCTGCAGGAAGGTGGCTCTCCAGAAACAGGGTTGGCCACCACTGATGTAGTTTATTAAAGTACTGATGCTAAAAGAGGATATGTGTTGACGCAATCTATTAACAAATCAAGTGTTAATCTAATATTTTTGTACATCTGTTGATTTCATGCTAAAGTATGCTAAATTGCCTGAATATGTATCTTCAAATGCTTTGGTATGTAACCCATGTGCAAATCTTATAAGTGGTCATTTTATGTATTATATAGTTAAAATCAAAATTATTAGCCCCCCTTTGAATTTCTTTTTTTCTTTTTTAAATATTTCCCAAATGATTAACAGAGCAAGGAAATTTTCACAGTATGTCTGATAATATTTTTTTCTTCTGGAGAAAGTCTTATTTGTTTTAATTCGGTAAGGAGAAAAAGCAGTTTTTAATTATTAAAGAACAATTTTAAGTTCAAAATGATTAGCCCCTTTAAGCTATATATTATTTTTCATAGTCTACAGAACAAACCATCAAAACCAAGCCTTTAAATGTCACTTTAAGCTGTATAGAAGTGTCTTGAAAAATATCTAGTAAAATATTATGTACTGCAATCATGCCAAAGATAAAATAAATCAGTTATTAGAAATGAGTTATTAAAACTATTATGCTTAGAAAAGTGTTGAGAAAATCTCTACGTTAAAAAAATAAAAAAATAAACAGTGGGGTGAATAATTCAGGGGGGCTAATAATTCTGGCTTCAACTGTATATGGCAATTTCTGCTGCATATATGACATATATATCGCATTTCATCCAGGCCCATAGCCAGTGGTGATTCGGGTGGTTCGAAAGACCCACCCCTTACTGACAAAGGTCCAGAATTTGTCCCATTTTTTTTCCTATTTTGCATCTATGCCATATTAAATTGTCTAAAATAACAATGAAAAAAAAAAAATTGAAGAAGGCTTTAGGACCAATCTTGTGTTGGCTGCTGGTATTTCAAATTCTGACTGAAGAAATTTAAATGTGCTGGCCGGTTTGTTATATGCCTAATAAATGACAATAGGCTAGTTTTTAATTTAAAACTTTAACAGATTTCTATTTTTTTCCTAAGGATATATGATTTAATATATTTGTTTTAAAAGTATTGTTTTTATATTTCTTTATTAAATATTTAGGAAACGTTTTTAGTACATCAAAAAGTGTGATTATGATGACCACCCAACAAGCTAATCTAACAATAAAATTGCATTAAATGCAGTATTTAAACTTCATAATTATATTAAAAAAAAACAAGGTTAATAACTGCAAAAAGGTCCACTATTTGAGAAAAAAAGAACCACCACTTTTACCCGGCTGCCTATGGGCCTGCCATACTGTATATGTGAAATCCCAACATGTAGCATATATGTCATTTGCATATATTGCTAGATATCAGATTTTTATATGAGAATAATGTTAATGATATTGTAAAATAAAAATATGTAAATAAAACAAAATGCATGCTGTTTTCACCTGCAAGGCATCCGTTATTTCTGCTTGACATTATTCACATACGTCCACAACCTTAACACTTGGTACTGTATATGCATAGAAACAGCACAGTAGACTCACCACAGCTAACTTCATGTCCTTGGTAATGCGATCCTGCCAGGCGAAGCAGAAGATGTGAGGGAGGTAAAGGGTGAAGTAAATAATGCCGCTACAAGCAGCAGCCAAGTTGGCCTTATTGAAGAAAACACTCATCAGAAAGCACTGCATGATAGTGGCCACGGTGAATGTGAGGAGGAACAGGAACAGAATGATCGGATTGCTGTAATTGAGCACTTTTCCAGCCTGAGAACAAAAAATTATATATTGCTAGGGATTATGAAGAAAGGACTCAGTTATAATATAATTATAGTATACACAATAAGTATAGTATAGTATAGTATAGTATAGTATGGTATAGTATAGTATAGTATAGCATAAAAAAAGCCTAAATACAACAAAAATGCAGCATGTAGGTCCTCCATATTCCAAATAACAAGTTCTAGAGAAAAAAAATATCTATATGCATGCACTAACATCATGCCTCCAGCAGAGGTCACAATACAACAAATCTCAGAAAGACTTAGAGGGACTGAGCTAAACAGACAAGACACATCAATCATCAGATTCGTTCCTCACCATGACAATGCCAGTCAGCAGAGCAGTGCTGGCGGTCATCATAATGAAACTGTCAATGAACCATGTGTACCAGATGACTCCATTAGAGACGCCCATGGCCTTCAGAGTCTCCTTCAGCCTCATCTCCTTCTCCAGGACAATGCTCTTCACAACCATGGACACTGAGTAGATCCAGGCCAGCACCATGAAGATGGGGAAACAGCGGTTTAGGGTCAGCATGAACCTTGATATGGGACAAAACAAACAGTATACAGTAAACACTGGGGCACTTGCATTGTTTAAGTGAGAACTTTTGATTTGATATAATGAATGGATTCAAACACTCATTGACCACTACATTAGGTAAACTTATTGAACTGTTAGGTAAACTTATTGAACTGTTAGGTAAACTTATTGAACTGTTAATGCCTAATATCCAATGAGAGAATATTCAATGAGAGAATCACATGGCAGCCACTCAATGTATTTAGGAATGTAGATGTGGTCAAGATACTCTACTGAATTTCAAACATCCATCAAAATGGGCAGGAAATGTGATTTAGGGGACTGAACTCAGTATGGTTGTTGGTGCCAGATGAACTGGTTTGAGTATTTCCAGCCCAAGCTTATTGGAAATATGTACCTTAGCCTACATTTTTGTGAAACCTGAACATTGTTCCAGGTACGTTTTCTTGCACATTTCAAATGATATATCCAGTAGAGGGCACTGTCTTTGTTTTTTTATTAATCTGAAATACATTACTTTGGACAGCAGTTTTCAATCCTGAATGGGGGTGTATGGTTGTTTCCCAGTGCTGGGTTGCAGCTGGAAGGGCATCTACTGCATAAAACATGTGCTAGATAAGTTAGCGGTTCATTCCGTTGTGGCGACCCCTGATTAATAAAGGGACTAAGCCGAAAAGAAAATGAATGAATGAATGAATATTTTCAAGACTGTTATGGCTACGAACTATACTCTCATTCTGGCGTAATAATAGAGGAACTTTTCTGCTGTACCATAACTGCACCAGGCACAATAACATTATGCAGCGCTGTTCCCTAGTTTACTAGCTGGGGACTATTTTTAGGTGCTGTGCAATATTATAGCTCACTGGCCCTAAACCTAACCAATAGTGTTTTTTTTTTTTTTAAAGCAAGCATAAAAGAAAAGTCTGCTGTGACTACATAGTGTTACCTTGATTTTACCTTTCTTTTTGATTTTGCATTCCTCACTGTACTCCAACCCAAATAATCTGCATCACAAGTGCAAACACTGTACAAAGTGAGCTACTGAGACATTATTACACTAGAAAAGTTGCCCATATGTAAATAGAAAGGTATTTATTTGGTGTTGTGGAAATAGCTGCACAAATATAACCCTTTATTTGCCGATAATGTATCTTTGTAAATATCATCAGTGTGAAATAGAACAAAAGTTTTTGACATCATACTGCTCAAAAGTGTTCAATTTACCCCACTCAAAAAAATCAACTAGGCATGTATTGGATTTACAAAATAAAAATTTGTTAGATTGAAAAGAACAAATCAAGTTTACGTATGTTAAAAGATTAATTCATGTTATTTGAAACTGAATCAAGAAATAATCAAATGAATTTGATCAGAACATGTTGAGACTGAGATGCTTCAAATCGACAACTCTCACTCTGGAGAGTCACTTCGCGCATATCAGTAGGTGGCGGTAGTGCGTTTGGATGTCACCATACGAAAACAAGAAGAAGAAGTATAAGCGCGTGTTTCCGGCACAGTTTGGGAATTGGTTTCCCAAGAGCTTGAATGTTATGCATGTTATGTTGTTGGCTATAGGTTTCCTATACATTTTATACTTTTACATTTTGAATAGGAGTACCAAAGTGAAGAAAGCTGTTTAAACTCAATTGGTAAAAACAATTATGTTAACGTCCTACAGGTATTGCTTGGGGATCAGTTTTCTTAAGAGCCAAGGTTATTTTGTTGGCTAAATGTTTCTTATACATTTTATAATACATATTACAATTTTGGATATTATATAACATTTTGTATCAGAATATTAAAGAAGAAATTTGTTTAAATGTGATTGGTGCCTGCTAAAGGCTACAATAAAAGAAATATATATATATATAAACATGTTTTCTGTCCTTTTTGTGTTGAATTACTTAATTTTAAATCTTGCTTCATAGTATTGTCATTTAAAAAATGTAATTTAAACAACAATATTGAACAAGAAATTTACTAGCTGATTTAACAAGACATCATTTTGTTACAGTAAAGCTTTAGTGTTACATTGAGTAAATTAGAATCATTTTAATTAGAATAACACAATACAAACATTTTGAGTCAATTAGTTGCAAAAAAGTTAGACTGACATATTGAAACCATGTTTTATCTACAAATGTGCTTTGTGTTCATACAACATGTTCAAAGCAGTTCAGGTTTATTTGATTGGATTAGATGCATAAAGGGTGCCACGATGAAATCATGTTCATTCAACAATTTTTTTCTTTTTTTTGAGTGCAATTACAGTTGGCTAAAGCACTTATTTCCAGTGAGCCTGTGTTGCATATTTTAGAAACTGCTAATCTACTTGGGAAAGTGACCATCTCTCAGTTTACAGAAAAGGGCCTAATATGTAGTGAGAAGCAGTTCTGTGGGTTAAAATGTCTTGTTAATGCCAGAGGTCAGATGAGATTGATCAGACTTGTTCAAGCTGATAAAAAGCAACATTAACTTGAATAACCACTCAGGCCTGCATGCAGAAAAGCATATTTGAATGCACATCAAACTTGAAGCAGATGAGCAACACCAGCAGAAGAGCACACCACTCCTGTCAGCTAAGAATAAGGAAACTGAGGCTACAAGTCACTCAGGCTCACTAAAATTGAGAGAATTGAAGACTGGATGTATATGGTCCACAAGCAAGAGCATGAAAGGAATTAAGGCATTTCTTAAGGCAAGATGATGGTATTAGTCCTGCTTGACCACATAATTCCAGCCACCACTCACATGTCATCCACGTAGCAGGGGTAGGGCATCTGCTGCAGGTAAACACCTAAGGGCCAGTCATGACCTGTGTGTAATTTAAGGATCCCGTGTTCAATCAAGTCCTGCAGGTAGGCAAAACCTCCCCAGATATAGCGATGGTCCTCCACAGGGTCTGCCCGTGGGCCAGGGTCCCAGTATCTAAGACAAAGCAGACTTTTGTTTAAACATGCATTCAGTAGTTGGGTGAAAATGAAACGTGTTTTACAAAAGGAATACTTTTTGAGCACCAATTCAACATTTTGGAATGTTTCTGAAAGATCATGAGCTCATGTTGGTACTTGGTAATATTACGGAACAATAAAGAACAAAAAATATATTGAAAAATATCACAAACCTTTTAATAGCAGTGTTTAATCTTTCATTGTTTTATTTCATCCAATTACAGTTAAATACAATATTGAAGGGTTAGTTCACACAAAAAAGAAAACATTTTGTCGTAATTTACTTGCCTTTCATTGTTCCAAACCTATTTTTTTCCAAAGATACTTGGAAGAATGTTGGAAACCTGTAACTATTGATTTTGAACATTAACTTTTTAAAAACAAATGTCTCTTGCAATCAAAATAAAACAAAACTAGTAGTGGAAAACCACGGTTCAGAACTACTTTCAGGATGAGCAAGTTTTGAATTGAATTTTTGGGTGAACTATCCCTTTATGTGTTATAAAATGGAGGCCATTTATTAAGTCATAGACTATTCTAAATATTTTTGTGTGTATAAACTCTTGTCTTTTGGGCAGCTTTGAAATCAAAATACTTCAAACCAGGGCTGCATTATATTGGAAAATTACACGTTGAGATATAAATACAATTTCACTAGATGAGTTGAATAAATGTTTGTAAAGAATCTTTAATTTTAGATTGATTGGGAAATTCTTTAGGGGAATAAATACAACAAATACAAAATACAATAAATTTTCCGAAGAGTCGAAATGTGTTTAGGTATACAGTAATTGAATAATCAAATGCAAAATAATACTGCATAGTCTTTGTTTTATAAACAATTCTATAAAATTTATTATTAATTTTTCAAAGTTACAAATGATACATTTTCTAATGCTTCAATGCTTTTAAAACCCTCACATAGTCACAGGCCTCAAAAAACACTTGCAAAACTCAGAATTGCATATACTCGCGATGTGACTATTGCGATTGATCACGTTGCGATATCAATGCTGGAACAATTATTGTGGAGCCCTACTTCATAATATTCAAATTCTAAAAAAAAAACTTTGGGAAGATGTCTATAAAGTTCAAAGCTACTTTAGGCCACTAAATGTGCATTTTCATGTTCTTTCAGATGGACCAGTGAGATATATGATTGCTCTAGAAACACAAGAGAATCTTGGGGGGTGTTAAAGGGTTTACATGATATGCATAGTTGCGTAGACATGCATAGTTACATAGACATGCATAGTTACATGACTTCCTAGATTGCTGTATCCTCTAAAGAAATGCAAAGCCAAGAATGATTTTTATTTTTACTTAACTCTAACGGTCCAGAAGTTTTGCAGTATTAAAAGCCTGGAACTGTTTTACATAATTCATACCATAACAAATCACATTTAAAACAATTCCAAATGTTTTAAACCAGAGTGCCAAAAAATACCACAATTTGTTATTCAATTCACATGGTTTGTTTGTGGTTGCAGCACTTTGCATTATGCCCACATGATGAAAACAGAATGAGCCCACAGACCCACAGTGTCATTGTACACTCAGCTCAGTGTCTTGTTCTGTTAAAGAGAGAAGCTTGCAGTGAGATCTGACTAGACGAGCACCTGTGGGCATATTTTGTGCTCAAGAGAGACTCTGTAATCACTGGTGTCACTTTGCAATTCACAGCACACTGGATTTAGAACGGGTGATTGTGCTCCCACTCTTTCTCTTTCTTTAACAATGGTGTGTTGCACAGTAACACTTTGCCTAAACAATTCCTAGAAGAGAAAAAAATTTACCCATACTCTTCCAACCCAATAAATTTTATTTTCTGAATTAAACCTTTGAAAAAGTACTTTGAAAAAATAGCCATACATTATGTGGACAATCTAAATTGAATGTTAACGCAATGCCCATTCAAGACTAATAACATCTGATTATACTTTAGACTCAGTTTAAATGTATTTGATATTCTTAAAGCTCTCAAAATCTCACTATAGTCCAAATTAAAAGATGTTATTGATGCAAGATGGCAACAGCCATACTTAGGACATTTTGGCTTGATTTTGGAACATTAGAAAAAAGTAGAGATTCACTTGATTCAACTTGTTTTTACAATTTAGTGATAACCTCTCACCTGTCTTTGATTTTGTTGGTACGTTCCACTGCATCAATGTCCATTCGGATCTTGAACTTGACATGTCGGGGTAGTTCTATGGTCCAGGGGTACATGTCCATGAAAACCAGACCGGCCCAGAACTTATTCTCCCCTAGCAGGTGCAGAGCTTGATGGGTCATCAGATTCTCATCCATGTGACCCACAAACTTATCCAGACTTATACACTGAAAAGACATAAAAAGTAGAAAGGTATACAAATCTGTTTAGTTTTTAATCTTGTTGTCTTCAGTAAATTGTTGTTCTACTTCAGAATGAATATGCTGTAGTTCACTTGAAGCTCTTGAATGAGTGTTTATTTTAGAATGAACCTGTTGAGTAATGGAGTGTTTCACTCAAATTAATCAGTTTTCTGAATGAATTCTTTAAGTGAATGATTGTTTTGATCCTGAATGAGTCAATAGTCCCTTCCACACAGTGATACCAGTTAATATTCTTGAAAATTACCCGAACGACTTTAACGGTAAATTCAAAAAAGTGAGCACTTCATCATAATAATAATACTTTTTTACACCGTTGACATCAAGAAGGAACATAGAGACGTTACCTGACTAACATCTAGCAGCTAAATGTGTCTGAAAAAATAGTAGATGTCTTACGTCAGCACAGTCTAATCATGAAAGTGCTCTTTCCAGCAATTTTCCTTCTGCATTCACACAGATCAACATTGCAGCGAATTACCAGTAATGTTATAACTTTTCTTTGAGGACAATTGCCAGACCGAATTTACCGCTATTTTCAAAAAGGGCCTGTTAACAGATTAAACTTTTCCAGAATATTGCCGGTAAGTTTCTGGAAAGGTCTGTATGTGTGAAAGGGGCTAATGTCACCTTTTCAGTTCACTTTAATGGTGTGCCAGTTTCGAAAACAATAATTCATTCGTTCATTTGTTCATTCATTTACACTACCTGACAAAAGTTCCAAGTTTTAGGAACAACTAATAAAATCTTGACTTCAAGCTGATCACTTGGTATAAGAAGTGGCTTATATGAAAGGCAAAGGCTTCTAGATTACACTTATTTTACCAAAATAAAATATGATTATGTCTTGTTTTTTAATTATTTAATTAGGACAGTAAGGTCTGACTGTGCTTTGACAAAAGTCTTGTCGCTTAAAAGAAATAATGTACAGTATAGAATATAAAGTCATGGCGCAGTGGAAAAAGAATGAATATTGTGTATGACTCCCATGAGCTTGGAGGACTGCATCCATACATCTCTGCAATGACTCAAATAACTTATTAATAAAGTCATCTGGAATGACAAAGAAAGTGTTCTTGCCAGACTCCCAAACTTAATCAAGATTTTGTGGGTTCATCTTCAATGCCTCCTTCTTCTTCTTACTCCAGACATGCTCAATATTGTCCATGTCTGGTGACTGGGCTGGCCAATCCTGGAGCACCTTGACCTTCTTTGCTTTCAGGAACTTTGATGTGGAGGCTGAAGTATGAGAAAGAGCGCTATCCTGCTGAAAATTTGCCCTCTCCTGTGGTTTGTAATGTAATGGGCAGCACCTCAGGCTGTTGATGTTGCCATTCACTTTGCAGATCTCTCGCACACCTCTATACTAAACATACTGTAACCCCAAACTATGATTTTTCTTTCACCAAACTTGACTGATTTCTTTGAGAATCTTGTTTCCATGCAGGTTCCAGTAGGTCTTCCGCAATATTTGTGATGATTGGGAGGCAGTTCAACAGACGATTCTTTGGAAAAATCTACCTTCTGCCACTTTTACAAATGATCGACTAGAAGTCAAGTTATTATTTGTTGCTCTTACAACTGGAATCAATGACAAGACTTTTGTCAGGCAGTTTGTTCATTCATTTAATGACCTAGACTATGCTCACATCATGATAATGTCATAGCACAAAGGTGGCCAATAGAAAATGACCAGAGATTGAAAAAAGGAAATTGTCTATGACGTCGCTCTTTAAACAAATGTTTTTTATCAGTAATCAGTGATCATTGAAATCTTTCATGCAGATCTCCACCTATGCTCCCACAACATTTACTAACTGAATAAGGGTCTAGATTAGTGACAGAATCAACGATATAGGGGCAAATTCAAACATAGCTTTTATTTCGCTCTTGAATGAACAAGCTGTTCTTGAATGAATCGATTCACTTGTCACCACGTACTGGTTTAATAATGTAACTGCAGAAAGAGTCGCTGTAAAGTCCCCATCACTACTGCCTAGAGAGACATGTCTACGGCATGCAAGCACAAAAACCTATCCAACTCGAAGAACATATCTTATAATGTTGTATAAAATGTGCATATCGGAATCTAAGTGTGTCAGGTTTGCAGCGGCCAAAGCAGTTTTCTCCATGTTGCAGGCCTCTTGTTCTCAAAGCTCTCCAATGACATGGGAAAATCACAGAATCTGTGTTGGCCCTTCATCGGAGGATTGCTGTACAATAGCTGAGTGAACGGCTCCCTCTCACATCACATGCCACAGCAATAGAGCCGAGGGGCCTCCTACTTCATGTGCACCATATCTAATGGAGTCATTCACAGTAATGTACAATCACACCAGAGGTCCTGAACAAACAACTGAATGGAAAGATTCAATGGGACCCCCTGCTGTACTCACATGTTCTCAACACATTTTAATTGAAAAACACAACATTCACATTCACAGGCGCTCAGCTTGAGACCACAGCTTCGAAAAACCCACAAAAAAATGCAGAGATTTAACTTATGTATTTTAGTGGTATACTTTTCAAGCTAACATTTGAGCTAAGCGGAATGCTGACAGCTATAACTAATAGGCTAAAAAGTTTGTTTGTAAAGCGGGAAAGCTCGTTGTTAGGACGGAGACAAAAGGAGGCTGGGTAGCTCTATGATAGCCCTCTCCCACCATCACCGTCCCACTCGAATCAATTTGCGGGAAGAGGCCTCCGGCTTATGAACAGGGGTCGGTCATAGCTGGGGAGGTGAGGTAACAGAGTGATGCTGAGTGGTTTGCCCCTCTTGGTTCTCAATGAAGCCCTCCATCCACAAAAACAACACGGTGCTGGCAGAGGGTGGCTCTCCCACCCACTCCCTACTTAATCACAGCCGTACAATAGAGGGGCCTGCATGCTGTTGACAGCTTTGCTTGTTCTTTTCCCTTTCACCCATCTGGCCACGATGGGCTCTATATAGCTGTGCTAAGTGGTCATTCTTGTAGGGATGTGCTGAGAGAAATCAGCACTCTGCAGACTGAGAGCTGTGCTGCTCTCAGTTAAAGTGCCTTGTTCTGTCAAGTGAAGAACGCCTAGGCTTGGTTCAAGGGATATGCTCTGCATGCACTCTTAAACATAAAGGCGACATTATAAACCAAATGAAGGGTTTTGACATTCATGCCTTAGAAGAACATTTTTGGTTCTCCAATGAACCTCCAAGTGAAAAGTTCTTCAAAGAACTATTCTTAAATATTGTGAAGAACATTTTTTTTCTATTATGAATGACCTTTTTGTTCCATTGATGTTACAGGTTCTTTGTGAACATTCAATGACAATTTTCAAACCAATACCCTTTATTTTTAAGCATGTGCTGTGCTAGGTTCACTGTCCTTAGACATACTTTATTATTTACATTGAATTGATTTGCAGTTGTCCAATTAATAAATCATTCATTCATTCATTTTCTTTTCGGCTTAGTCCCTTTATTAATCAGTGGTCGCCACGGCGAATGCTCTTCCAGCTACTTAAAGTCACTGGGAAACACCCATACACTCTCATTCACATACATACACAACGGACAATTTAGCTTACCCAATTCCCCTATACCATGTCTTTGGACTTGTGAGAGAAACCTAAGCACCCAAAGGAAACCCACACGAACATGGGAAAAACACACAGAAATGCCAACGGACCTAGCCGAGGGTTGAACCTTCTTGCTGTAAGGTGACAGCGATACCAACTGTGCCACCGCACCACCTCAATTCATAAATCCTCTTCATAAATAACATGATCTCATGTCTAGCAAATACACACTTCAGAATCTCAGCAGAAGTACTGTTGTAAGACATTCTGTTACTTATAGTCTACTGTTTTTTTAAATATTATTAATTGGAAAAGACTATTTGATTCATAGACACTTTCCCCCATACTTTATAGAGGAGAAGGAGGAGATTTCAGATGCAGCGCTGGTTAGATGGTAGTAATCTGTCTCACTAATCAAATACAAAAACTCCCAGACCATTTGTTAGCGACTTAAGAGTCTTGTACCAGTGGAAACTATTTTTGATTTGATCACTAATATATTTTTTCTGGCATTTGAAATTTTTTGCAAATCTACATTTGCAAACTAGTCATGTTGTTGCCAGACTGGAACAAGAAAAGTTTAAATATGAATAATTATCCAAGAATTTGACTTACCTATGCTAGAGGGTGCCAGAACATTTAAGGTGAGTGTATAACGACAGGTGCTAGCCACCATATATACCATAACAGCTGCAGAGGGTTGTGAAGATACTTTAAATATTTTGCCTGTATGTGCTGTACATTTAACAGTACTAAATAGTATTCCTTATTGCTTTCACCACACATTCTACTTGTGATTATCATTCCTGAACAATTGTTTTCATTCCTTCTTTTTACAAATCACAGCGGTTGAAGCTTAGTTGAGGTGGCTGAAAGAATTATTTCAGGTCAATTTAAAACTCAAGCTCAGAACATACCAAGCCAAAATCAAAGAACTGGACAAGCCTTGAATCAGCTGCATTTGATCACATTTGGACCAAAAAGTTTTGTGTGAAAACACCAAACAAACAAAAGTCAACTGAAACAAGAATGTGCATTAGTGAGAGAGGATGAGGCTTTCCATACATACAGGTGGCAGTATCTGCATTGGCATTTCACAAAGAGAAACAGGAACTAATGCTGCATCCATACAAACCATAAAAAACACAGCAGCATTTATTCTTACCACAGAGGAATTGGCTAATAAAAATACTTCATAATCTGATAATCCATAACATTTTCAAATACTAAACAAATGTGGAAAAAATGGCAGCCAGCTTCTTTGGGTTCCCTCTTGACTTGTGTTGTTTGCTTAGCTTTGTCATTCCACATTCACACTCTGATTCGCAGGTGAACAGCCAATATGTCCAGACCTTAACCTAACCCTTAACCTTGTCTGAACCGGTGACTGCTCTCACCTCACTGTAGCGGTTAAACATCCGAATAGCCTGGTCAGCCAATCTGAAGACATCACTCCAGTCAAAGCTTGTCATGTTCATGAATCTCTCCCCCTCTGGGCCATTGTGCAGGAAGTTGAGGATGTCTTTGGTGGAGAACTCTGTTTCTCTAAGACGCCTGTCCAAAAAGTCCATCACTGTGGGGTTCCTAAGTGTGTCCTACAGTAAAGAGACAAAGTCAAAGATGGAGAAGAACAACACGCACTGCCAAAAAATACAATAAAATATCGCTTGCTCACCAAAACTGCGTTTGTATGATATAAAATACAGTAATTACTACAAAATGTTGTATATACAGTGCTCAGCATCACTGAGTACACCCCATTTTGAAAACGAAATTTTTATCAATTTCTCTGTGAATTTGGCAGTGTATTTTGGTGCATTTAAACTAAACAGATACATTTATTAAAACAATATTTTAGCCCCCATATATTTTCAGAAATTGTAAGATAATACAGTTAAATTGAAGAAAATATTGCAAAACAAATTACAACCTACAAAATTTTAACAAAATTTTTATTTTTTTCCCTCTTTTTTTAAATTTGTACTTATTATTTTTCTATAACATAAATTTGGCTGTACTAGTTTTCACACTGTTTTCGTAAGTTATGTTGTTAGATAAGCTCCAGATTCGGCTTCAGTACTGACTAATCTAATGTATATGCACAAATATAATATTGTATAGCTTCCTATTAAACATATGAATTTAAAAGATAGATTTGTGAGGGGTCTACTTATATATGCTGAGCACTGTATTATTCTTCAGGCTTCACATGATACTTAAAAAAAACACACTAAAATTCAGATTTGCTTCAAAAGAAATTTTATTATTAACAATATTAAAGATAGTCATGCTAATCATTTTTAGTGCGGTTGCCGCAATTGCTTTGTTTCTCTGCAGTTGGCTTGTCAGTGCTAAATCACTGTTGTTTTAATAAAAAATAAGATTATTTATTATTAAACATTGCGAGATGATGGTCGCGTGATTTTTAAAATAAGAGTATGTGTTGCGTGTTTATGGCTATTGATCTTTTCTACCAGCAACCGACCCATATTTAAACATCAAGTAGCCAACACTTTGATTACCTGACCAGCAGATTAACGGCAGGACCCCTGAATATGAAAAAATCGCACATAACAGGGTTTTATGCGTCCCCAATATGCAATGCCAAGCAAGAGACTCCATAAGGTAACGTTCACTGCACACACTTTGTGTAATGTGTGAAGTCGTGGAGACATTCCAGGATAACTAGTCCTTAAATGTCCTTGCTTAATCATGAGTAGATAAGGTCTGGATTTGCAGGGTTATCAACAATGTGTGTGTATTTTTGACTTGGAACAAAAAATCTTCTTTAAAAGATTTTTGTGTTCATCCTTGCTACAGGCCAAAAAACCCCACAAAAACAAACAAATAATCTTCACTGAAACCAAATCAATGAAGTATCCACAAATTAAAATACTCAAACTCGTATCGGTTTGTAAAAAAGTGGTATCAGTGCATCCCTAGTTTTTACTTACAGATCCCATATTTTATGACAAATAATAAGAAATTAAAAGCAATCAAAGAGATCAAACAGCAACTAAAAGAGGAGAGTAGATCAGGTATTCAAAAGACTGTTGGCACAATTTGACATGAATGGATATGCTGTGTGTGTGCATTTGTGTGTGTGTGTGAGATTTGTTACCCGTATCATGTTCATTTGGATGCTGTTTTGAAAGAAATCCCAGAGCTGTGGTCCCAGCTCTTCCCAGACCTTCCCTATTTTCTGCAACCTCTCAAGCTCCTCAAAAGTGGTGTTGGCCTGGAGAACACACACACACACACATATACTGCATATACAGATATATGAATTTGCTTGTTGTTAGTTGTAGAACAGTTCATGTCTGAGACTGATTGCATGTTGAAATCTTACACTCTTTATTATTTTTCTGACAGCCGGAGAGTCTGGAGTGTACAGGATCTTCCCCATCACAAGAGGCTTCACTGAGTTCCACACAATTTTGGTAATAGGGTTTGACTCCAGGTTCTGCATTAATGCATTACAGAATGGAGCTGAGAGCCACAGAGGGAGTGAAAGAGAAATACAACAACAAAAAGAGACAGTGAGAGAGGGTAATTAAAAAAATAGAGCAAGTGAAAATTCGAAGAAAACAAAAGCAAAAAAGAATGTTTATAAAAAGTAGAAAAAAATGTTTTTTCTTCTTGTTTTTAGTCTAAATCTAAAAAAAAAAAAAATTCTTAAATCAGGAAGTATTTTCTAGACAAGTAAAAAATATTGTTTTGCTTTCAGAAATACTCAAAGTTAGGGCCTACTCACACTATGCCATCCGTACCATGCCCAGGCCCGTTTCCCGGATCGTTTGAGAAGTGTGAGTGCGCTGAATCGGGCTCAAGCACGGTTCACTTGGCCGGCCCTGGCCCGGTTGGAAGAGGTGTGCCTGAGCCCGGTTCACTTGGGCTTTGGCGCGGTACGCTTGTGTGTAAGTGCAAAACGCGCCAAAGCCCGAAACTGAAAGCAAGACGTGACTTTTAAGGGACGTTCTCATTCCGGCAGCACGAGAGCTTTATGATTGTTTATGAGCGCCAAAAGTGGCGGATCTGTTCGGCGAAATATCTGACTCATAATAAAAACAGACGTGGCTCCAGTTGGTGTTGATAGTCCTGTCTCTACAGATTTGGTAAGTGTGTACGATCGGAGCCCTTTCTTTGTTCATTTAGATGGAAAAGTTAGTTCGTATCGTCAGCAATACTCTTTCAGTGTTTAAAGACAGACCTTAGTCAAAATGATTTCTAAGTTACTTAGTTTATGTTAATATCACTACAATGTTATGGACTGAAAGATCTACCGTAAATGCTGCTCTCCAAGTGTAAACATGTGAACACTGCAAGCAAACTATTACTGACAGTCGTGTTTAATTTTCGCCGCATTTTGAGACAGGATAATCAACACACACACGGCTTTCTGACCTACCGAGTGTATCTAAGTTATCGGGAAATGCAGAGGTTTTTTTCTCTTATACGACGTGCGGTATCAAACATTCCACCATCATTAAACATGGTCACTGTCTTTCTCCCTTGCGTGTGTGTGTGTTTGTTTTGCCTCTGTGAAAATCAGCACGTGCCCAAATAGAAATTCCCATTTTTATTCAAATCCTTCCCCTTTTCCCCTCCACGACACTCCCACCTAAACAGAGCTAGACACACCCACTTTCCTGACTATTTCCAAACTAGAGGTGTGAAAACACCCTGCTGAAACAGTGGGCTTTCATGGCCCTTTAAAGGGGATTATGCAAAAATCCTTTCATAAGGGGTATAAACACAATTGTGTCATTCTATTTTTAAAATCACACTTCATAAAAACAGTCTGCAGAAACACTTTTATTGATATTCTCTCTTAGTATATTTCATTGGAGAGGAAAAGCCACTTACATTGATCTCAATAACTACATTTACATGGACATCAGTAATCAAATTATTTGCCCTAATCTGACAATAGTTCCTTTCATGATCCCGTTGACTTTAACAGCAGTTTGGCACTTTCACTTTCATTCAGTAATATTTTATGCATGCGCCCTTGACAAACAAGATTTTGGATGTGAGTACGAACTGCTGGAGGAGTGTTGCTTTAATGGAATTTGATTCAACATGGTGTATGGGGAAAACTGCCTCGGTAGGTGCAGAGAATAGTCAAACAGCCATGTGTGTATAAACCATCCTAAATCAGAGTATTGTCTTAATCGTTTAAAATTCTTATTGGGGGTGGTTTATTTATGTCCATGTAAACCTACTCATTGACGCATAGGCATTTGTAGCTCCGCCCTCTTTTGAAAAGAAGGCTGAGAGCTCTCATCTGAATTTAAAGAGACAGTAACCAAAACAGCACAATTTACATCAAAACCTAAAATGGGTAGTTTCAAAAAGTTATAAAAACGATCTATGAGGTATTTTGAGCTGAAATTTCACACACACTCATCAGAGACTCATTTTACCTCTTTAAAAAAAGGCAATATTAGGCCCCCTTTAAAAAAAGGAAAAGAAAACAAAATGGCCAATGTAGGTAAAAGAATATTCTTTGATATAAAAATAATAGTTTGAAATGTAAGACTTTTTAAGACCATTAAGAACGATGTTTTAGACTTTACAGGGTTAAACATTAAGGATTTTTTTAATGGCCCGGTATTATTATGAGGATTCATATAATTGCCTTTTAGTTTTCTTTCCTTGATTAGGGAATTTAATGGGCAATTTGCTGTAAAAATATCTAACAGTTGTTGTGAATCGTATTTCCTTGCAATAAAGCATAATAAATAAATAAATAAATGTAAAAAATAAAGTTTTATTAAGATGTATTGTTGGTGATTGGATGGATGTTGGCCCAATTTAGTAGCTTTACTTGGACAAAGCAAAATTAAGACCTGTTTAAAATAATTTAAGACCCACAAGACCAAATTTCTAGTGAATTTCAGACATTTTAAGACCCAGCGGACACCCTGTTTACAAGAAAACTCTCTTAATTTTGACAGAAAACAAAACAATATTTGTGTAGTCTACAAAACTCTTCTTGATATTTAGATAAAAAGTGTGTGTGCCAAGACAAACTCAAGTGTGGCATGTTTAGCAGTTAGAATATGACAGATTAGATGCACTCACTTGCTGTTTTGTCATAGATGTAGCTGTCGTGTCCCCTGGAATTGTTGATGCCAAGGAAAGCTTTATAGTTGTTGTCCTCGTACCAGTTAAAGGAGAAGACGCGGGTACCCTCACCCTCAGGGTATCCACAAAACAGATCAGACACCTTGGAAATCAGCTGACTGAAGGAAGAGGGACCACCGGGCTGAAAGATGGAGTACAAGACCTGCATCAAGTCCTGGGCGCTGGGCCGATCTGCAAGCTGAGAGAAAAACACCATGTTAGTAATAGGGTCATACATTTAAAAATCAAATTGTCTTTGTTATGTACTGTACATATACTATAAGAGAGGCTACTCTGCAAAATAAAAATAAATAAATAATGCAAATTTTCGGAAATCAAAAGTATACCCCCTACTTTACAATATGAAAAGTAAAGTTCTCCCAAAGCAAACTGGCAGACTGAAGATTCAAAATTACCCTTTGATGGGAATCTCAGCTACTATCTGTTTTTCACATTTCGCAAGTTAATAATTTTTTGACTATTAAATTATTTAGGATGCCAGTTTTTCCAGTATATATTTTAATGATAGAGACAATTCCAAGTCTTTTGTTTTGTCGTGCTTTTGTCTTTCGAAGATGCAGGAAAGAAACATTCATTTAAACGTTAAACCATAATTTGAGATTATTAACAAATCTAGCATATTTGAATGTGATTGTACAATCATACAATAGATCAGAAATACTTTCTTAAGTTGATTTTTGATGTTGTTGTTATATTGATAGATTGCATAACCATTACTGTATTTCAAACAGAGCACATTATTTTTTGTGTTGTTTTCTTTGTCAATCAGATTCATCAGTAATCAGTATACATACATTTTCATTAACAGTTTCTGTATTTTTTGATTCACAAGTGTTTTCCGTTTATTCATGTTAAAAACTTAACTGCACAGGATACTGTACAAAGATACTTTTAATAACATTTTAGTAGTTTGAAATAATATAATTTATAAGAAATGATATATAGGGAAATAAGTCTGTAAAATATTAGTTCATGACAAGATTGTTGTACTGTAATAAACAATACCAATCCAGACAATACATCACAACTATTAAAAATGTTAATAAAAGTCACTTTTTCTAACTTTTCAGGATTAAAGGTTGTTGGAGGAAAGGTCCCTATTTCATAAAGCAAGTCAAATGCATATATAAATGAGGGAAAATATAAAATAAAAACCGTTAATTTACGGATATTTTTAACAGTGTAAATACTGGAAATTTTTGGTTCAAAAATATCATTATTTAAGTTTTTTGTTAATAAAATAGCCTGTAAGTAAATGATATACATTTAAGCTCTATACAGTTTAAACAGATTCACTGATCTGTAAGTCATCAAATTATTCAGAATACACAGCTTTTTGTCATTCTCTCAAACTTGCATAATATACTAGATGAACAACAACAAAAAGAGCTGTCATTCTTCCTAAGAATAAACATAAACTTTGTTTACTTAGTCGCTTGTTTATGTCACCTACTTGGTTGTCTGAACCTCTCCACGTAGGCCAAGATCTTCAGTCTGCCAAAACTATTTAAAACACACGTGACAACTTAAAGACGAAACTCCCAGAAGAGGATATCCTTAAATAAACTCTTATTCACAGTTAAGGCTGAATCTGGCATAGTGTAAATAAGGTGAGAAGAGGGTTTGCAAAAATCCGATTTGAATTGAAGACACATTAACAAATTTATCTTCCAAGATACATTGCAAGAAATAAACTCAGAAGGTATAAATGCAAAATTGGAAGGTATGAATTCAAAATTTGCTCAAATTTGAATACTTTAAAGTCATAATTGTGAGATGTAGACAGAAATATGAAGTGGGATTGTAAAAATGGCAGTGATTCCAGGGGAAAAAAGTAAAAAATGCTACGGTTAAAATATGTAACCTGGTTAATAGTAAGTTTACTGAATATTATGTGATTACACAAGTTCTAATGACAATTGTGCAAGAGAGGCGTTGTTTATTGTTGACTCATTTGAGAGCAGATATTAAAGTATAGTGTGCAGTCACTAATGGAAAGAGTTAAAAATCCGCAAAAGATTCTGTAAAACTGGAAATTGTGCAGGACATGGAGGATTTTTTCTTAACAACAGAAGCAGCTTAACTGTTCAAATCATATGAGACTCATGAACAACCATCACAAAGCAGAAGAACGCTCTTATATCATCAGGTAACCACATCAAATCAAGGGTATACAAACTGGTAACTTTACAATAAGGTTCATTAGTTAATGCATTAACATGAACTAATCATGAACAACACATGTACAGCATTTATTAATCATAATTGAACATTTACTAATGCAATATTAACATCCAAGTCCATGCTTAACATTAGTTAATGCACCATGAGTTAACATGAACTAACAATGAACTACTGTATTTTCATTAACTAACGTTAACTAGCATGAACAAATACTGTAGTAAATGTATTGTTCATTGTTTGTTCAGGTTAGTAAATGCATTAACATTAACTAATGAACCTTATTGTAAAGTGTGACCTGCAAACTTTTGCAGGGGGGTAGTTTAATCATTTCAGCTACAGTACACTCAAAACTGACTTGCTGTTTGTTCAAACTACTTGATTATAAAATGAGTTGAAACAGCACAACACAAGTTTTTGGGGACAACAAAATTATTTTATGATCAATCCAAGTTAATGGTGCAGTAGGTGATTGTCTTAAGAAACATTTTTGTTGTGCTGGTTGAAAGTCTCTTCACATTCCAATAGTAATTATCAAAGTAAATGATCTAAATGCATTTATATATATTTAATGGACCTTTTACAGCATGGATAATGTAGATTTTTATTTAGTTTAACAACAAAACATCAGTGCTATTCCACCTAGCCGGTGTTACAGAGCTGAAGTTGGTTTTATATTCACATTGCCTCATTTTTGAACAATGACAATCTGTGACGCACCGCCTAAATTGTTTACCATGCTACTCTGATTTTTCGGTCAGAAATAGCATGCAGTTATGGCTAAGTAATAAGTGTAATTCCTGCACCTCGCCGGCCAAACACTAAGCATGCATTAGTGGCTTTAGGACAAAGTGCATGAGTGAGACATGCATGAAATATTGCACATTATGATAAGTTTTGCTTGCTTCCCAACTAAAAATATGCTCAGACAGTTTCTTATGCAGAATTGTAGTTTTGTAAAACATAAAGATTTCTAACTGGCGAATGACATCATCTAGTGTGTCTCTGTTATCTTTAATGTGCTAATTTGTGATTTCAAGAGGCGTGCCTTTGGACGGCAGGGGAGGAATTGTGTTTTAAAGGTATTTTGGCAGATCACCTACTGCACCTTTAACTTAATTTATTTTTGTTGTGACAACATGAAGGAATTGTGTGAAACCCTGCATTTTTAGTGTACATTTTTGACTTGTGAAATATTTGTAAACATCTAAAATACCTTACTCAGGACAGTATTAAATAAACAATAACATGCAATTCCCTACCTTTTAACAGACTCTCCAATGAATATGCAAACTTTCAAATACAACTGTACACTAAACAATTCAGGGTTCCACACAATTCCTTCTTGTCGTCCAAACACAAAGTTATTAAGTTTATATTATAAATAAGTAGATTGAACAAGCATCAAAAGTAATTTTTTGAATTTACAGATATGGTTACTAAAAATGTGCGTTTCTTCACGCACTTTACTGCTATTTGTCACGCGCAGTCACGCATAGTACTGCAGCTGCAAAGACCTTTTCATAAATAAAAAAAAACATTTTTGTGCTTAACGCAATAGCCACCAGGTGGTGCAAGGAACAACCGCTTTTCCATTGATTCAGTTGTCATGCGTGTTTAGATGCATGTAATTGTTTGTGAAAGACCGGGCAAAAGAGAGCTCAATTCAGCTACGTCGATGCCTCAAGCGACTAGGTTACTTTCTTTCTTTATTTTGGAGATAATGTAAACATATTTGTATTCACATAGCAAAGGAGCAGGTGTTTGTTTTTTTTATCAACAACTCATGGTGTGATGAGAGGAACATACACCCTGTTCTCCTGATCTGTAATACCTTATGCTTCAGTGTTGACCATACTGGCTACCAATAGATTTCACAGCGGTTATCATTACAGCTGTCTACATCCACCCCTGAAGCCAATACAGAGCAGGCATTTAGGTAACTGTATGGGAGCATAAGTGAGTAGGAAACCGCATACCTGGAGGCAGCGTTTATTCTTACAGGGGATTTTAACAAGGCCATTCTCAGGAAAATCGCTCTAAAATACTATCAACACATCAACACAAACACGCGTAGTGATTGGATTTTGAACCATTGCTATTCCCCGTTCTGGGACACATACAAATCCCTCCCACGCACACTGTTTGGCAAATCAGATCACTCTTCTGTTCTGCTCTTGCCTGCTTACAGGCAGAAACTGAAACGGGAACCACCTACCCTCAGGGCGTTTCAGAGCTGAACGAACCAATCAGATTCCATACTTTAAGATCACACAGACTGAGATATGTTCTAGGCAGCGTGGGATGACAACATTGACGTGTACTCAGACACCGTCACATGCTTCATCAGGACATGCATAGAAGACGTGGTCCCAACAAAAATTGTCCATATCTACCCCAATCAAAAGCCATGGATCAATGGCGAAGTTCGGGGTTGAAGGGTCAATTTAACACCAATGCAAGGAGCATGTGGCAGGGCTTAATTCCATAACAGACTTTAAAAGTAACAAACACGCCACTGTAAACATTGCTGCGTCTCTCCCGGACGAGCTTACCTCATTCTACGCCCGATTTGAAGCCCAGGACAGCGCGCACACACTGCGCGCTCCCGCGGCCGAAACCGAAACCACCAGCACACTCTTTGTTTCTGTAGGAGATCTTTCCATCGCATGAACATCCGGAAAGCTACGTGCCCATATGGCATCCCTGGATTTGTACTTAAAGCATGCGCACACCAGCTAGCGGGGGTTTTCACGGACATCTTTAACCTCTCACTCTCTCGGTCTGTGGTTCCCACATGCTTTAAAACAGCTACTATTGTGCCCATACCGAAATCAGCTAAAGCCACATGCTTGAATGACTGGCGTCCAGTTGCTTTGACACTCATCTTCAGCAAGTGCATTGAGAAGCTGATTAAAAAGCACATCTGCTCTGTACTGCTCGCTCACACTGACCCTCTGCAATTTGCATACAGGAATAACTGCTCCACTGATGATGCGATTGCTTTCACCTTGCACACTGCTCTGTCTCACCTGGAAAACAAAAACACTTATGTGAGAAGGCTGTTTGTGGACTACAGCTCAGCATTCAACACCATAGTGCCTGCCAAGCCGGTGGTGAAGCTCCAGGATCTGGATCTACACAGCTCGCTATGCAACTGGCTCCTGGACTTCCTGTCAAGCAGATGCCAGGTGGTCAGAACGAACAACATTACATTATCCACACTCATCCTCAACACTGGTGTTCCACAGGGCTTTGTTCTCAGCCCTCTCCTGTGCTCCCTGTACACACATGACTGTACAGCCAAACACAGCTCCAACGTCATGGTTAAATTTGCTGATGACACAATGGTGGTGGGCCTAATCACTGATAATGATGAGATGGCCTACAGAGGAAGTGCACACTCTGATGCAGTTGTGTGAGGAAAACCAACTCTCACTCAACATCAGCAAAACCAAGGAGCTGGTGGTGGATTTCAGGAGAGAGAAGAGAGAACACACCCCCATCACCATCAACAGGACACCAGTGAAGAGAGTCAGCACTTTCAAGTTTTGTGGAGTACACATCGCTGAGGATTTGACATGAACTGCTCACACAGACACAGTGCTAAGGAAGGCACAAAACTGCCTTTTCTTCCTCAGGCGTCTCAGGAGATTTGGAATGAGCCCTCACATCCTCCGCTCGTTCTACACCTGCACTGTGAAGAGGATTCTGTCTGGCTGTATCACCGCCTGGTATGGAAATAGCACCAGCAGCAATCGCAAAGGCCTACATAGAATTCTGCGAACTGTTGGACGCATAGTTGGAGATGAGCTTTCCTCCCTCCAGGACATTTACACTAGGCGGTGCATGAGGATAGCCAAGAGAATTATCAGCGACTCCAGCTAACCAAGACATAGACTTTTCTCTACGCTAGCCTCAGGCAGACGGTTCTGCAGCATCCGGTCACGCACTAGCTGGCTGATGGAAAGTTTCTTTCCTCAGACTATCAGGCTGATGAACACTTAACACACCTCAAACAGACTATTCCATACACTCACTGCGCACAATTGTAGCATGTACTGCACTTTAACTAATCCATACTTGAAACAATACGCTGTCAATTTTACATTGTCCTGTTTTTTTTTTGTTTTTTTTTTGCTTTTTTTAGGAATATGCTGTTGTATTTTGCACTGTCGTTATATTTGCACTGTCTGTTTTTTGCACTTTGTATTTTGTACTTTTATTTTGTTTGCACCATCTATATTTTGCACTGTCAATGTATTTGCACTGTATTTTGTATTTGCATCTGTATTTTTGTACTGTCTGGAGCCAGCACCTAGGCTTTTCACTCATCATAGCAGCTGATGATGTGACAATAAAAGTGATTTTTTTTATCTGATCTGATTTGAATACATTAGAAAGACATAAAACTTTACAAATTACGTGTCCACTTTTGAGAGCTCAACACAATTTCATAGATCTAGATAAAACAGCCCAAGCTTTATTGAAATCATTTAAAGATATATAATTATCAGATACAATAAAAACATTAACCAAAACCAATATAAAACAAACAAAAGCTATGACGATTTAGGAATATACAGTATAATTAAATTAAACAAACTGTTTTAGGCCATTTAGAACTTTAGTTTTACAAAGTCCTATCTAAAAACAATTTGAGATATTTTCAAAAAACAATAAACAACAAAATGTATCATAATTGTATTTTTTTAAAATAAATATTATTTATAAAGTATTTGTGTACGATAATATTAATCAAACAGAGCTTTTCTTTTTTTCTTTTTTTCTTTTTTCTTTTTATTTTTTTACAAACGGATTGGGAAAACTGCAGGTAAAAATGTGTATCCCACTGTGGAAAGTTTTCTAACATTTGATGTTATTTTTTATAATGTAAAGGGAAATGTGTTTGGCAGAATTCCTGCAAGAAACAAATATCCTCACAGCTGCTACACTCATTTTTTTGTCTCCAGCAAACACTACTCTATATCAAAACACAAGTATCTTATTGAACGTGTGATTCGGCACTTGCTCTGTACCTCATGAACTTTAATGTACACTAAGATAAGTCACAATAAGTCAAACCAGGTCAAGAGAAGTTTAGATTTCCATAGAGGCTTTAAGTATGAGGAATGAGTCACTGCTCAACCATTCATATGCATTCATACATGCAGACCCACGCAGCGCAGATGGATTTAGTGATGGTGATAGCATTAGTTGGCCAGGCTTTCTTTCACCCAAGCAAAAGGGAAAGAAACGCACTCCACCTACAGGATGTGACCTCAGTGGAATGTCCTTTCGACATAATAGTGAAACAGGAGTGATGAAATGCACACATGTACACACATGAACTGATCACACACATACAGTACACGCCTGCCGCCCTTTTAAAAAACACAGATTTCTGTGATTTAATTCATACAGTTGAGAGGAAAAACTGATCAGACACATACACACACTTTCCGAGCATCTCTCTTGGAAGTTTCTAAACAGCTGAAGGGAAGTGAAGGCTTCCTGGATGCTAAAATAAGGGTCTTGAGATGGGGAGAGGAACTGAGTTTTCTCAAGCAGTAATACCTCCTGAAGCTTGTCGGACACTGCTGACAACACTCGACCCCAGAACTGCAGGTCTATCCCAGTGGAGTGGCTGTCCAAGACCATGGGCATCTAAACACACAGAGGAAAACAGAGATGTTTGGAGGTAAACACAGTGCATATTGAGGTGACCCACTTAATGACTAATTAGGATTAAGCTATGTAGATAAATAAGGGATTTAACATATTCTTAGGATAGAATCATATATAGCATCTTCATTGACAATGATTTCTTTTATTGTGATTATAAAAAAGTCTTGTAATAACTGCATTATTAATGCAATTAGTATTTTAGTACAGTACACATTTATGCTTTTTTTACTATTTGTATGTAACTGTTTGATGTTAAGCTACATAAAATTTAATATTTGGGGTCCCAAAAATGATAACTTTGTGTTAAGAAAACAACATATTTTTTTTGCCCCTGTGTCACTGACTGAAAAATAATACATCCGTTGGTGCCAACAGCCTAGTGGTTAGTTCGTCAACACATAGCACTGATGTGCTTGTGGCAACCTGAGTTCAATTCCTGGGTCAAGGTGCTTTGCCGATCCTCTCTTCCCCATACTTTCCTGTTCATACATCTCCATTGTCCTATCAATAAAGGTGAAAACCCCTAAACAATAATTATTATAAACATCTAAAACTTGAATAAACGTTCTGCAAAATGCTTTTGTTATTTAGATTTTTTTGTCTCATTTCTAGTCCACATATCCACAAATTCTTGATTCTAGAAGCTTTTTCTAAAAGAGTAAACAATATTGCCTTGTTTTGAGAAATAACCTCAAAAGAATCTCCCAATGGGGTAAGCAAAATAAATTTATTTTAAAATTATCAAACAGCAACTAAAAACAAATGCTTTCCCTATTGGCAGATTATTTAGCCTGTTTTAAGGCAGGGATGCCCAGACTCGGTCCAGGAGGGCCGATATCCTGCAAAGTTTAGCTTCAACCTCAATTAGACACACCTGGCCAAGCTAATGAAGCTCTTGCTAGGCTTCAAAGAAACATCGAGGCAGGTGTGTTGAGGTGATTTGGAGCTAAAATCTGCAGAACCCGGCCTTCCAGGCCCTGTTTTAAGGAAACAAAAATCCGTCACACTTTACAATAATGTTCATTAGTTAATGTAATGAATACATTTACTAACATGACATTGTTAACTAACATTGTTCATGTTAGTTAAAGTTAGTTAATGAAAATACAGTTGTTCATTGTTAGTTCATGTTAACTCATGGTGCATTAACTAATGTTAACAAGCATGGACTTGGATGTTAATAATGCATTAGTAAATGTTAAATTATGATTAATAAATGTTGTTCATGATTAGTTCATGTTAGTACACTGCAAAAAATGCTTTTCTTGCATAGATTTTTTGTCTTGTTTCTAGTCTAAATTTCTAAAATTTCTTATATCAAGAGGCATTTTCTAGACAAGCAAAACATATTGTCTCGTTTTGAGAAATAATATGCCAATAATAAGTGAGTTTACCCTTAAAACAAGCAAAATAATCTGCCAATGGGGTAAGCAAAATAATCCTGCTTTTTCTTTTGACGTAAGATTATTTTGCTTACCCCATTGGCAGATTATTTTGCTTGTTTTAAGGAAAAACTTACTTATTATTGGCATATTATTTCTCAAAACAAGAAAATATGTTTTGCTTGTCTAGAATATTCTTCTTGATTTAGGAATTTTCAGATATTTGGACTATAGAAACAAGACAAAAAATCTAAGTAAGAAAAGCATTTTTTGCAGTGTAAATGCATTAACTAATGAACATTTTTGTAAAGTGTTACCCAAAAGGCATAGGGCGTACTCAAACTATGTTATCCAAACAGCGCCCAGATCGTTTGAGAAGTGTGAGTGCTCTGAATCGGGTTTAGCCACAGTTCCCTTGGCCGGCCCTGGCCTGCTTGTAAGAGGTGTGCCAGAGCAAGGTTCACGTGGGCTCACTTATATGCTTATAGTGTGAGTGCAAGGTGCACCTGAGCCCGAAACTGAAGATGAGAGGTGACTTTTAAGGGACTGTTTCATATGGATTTATTAATCATTCTTATTATTCAATGAACACAAACTGTCTTAGATTATTAAAGACGCAAACCCCTCACTGCACCACAGCAGCACTTTTAGCAAACCTCCTAATTCCTGCAGCTCGAGGACTTTATGATTGTTTATGAGCATCAATAGTGGGCTCATCTTTTTGGCAAAATAATTGTCTGCGCATCACTGCATATCAAACGACTAAAACAATTTAACTGAAGAAATCTCAACTGTGCTGAGCGAGAGCGCTTACTGAACAGTGCAGCATTAATGACGTAAACGTGCTCAGGCCCGTATGTAAGGGAGGGAGGGAGGACAAGTGTGGTTTGGCCCGGTTCAAGGCAACTGTACATAGTGTGAGTACACCCTTAATTTGACATTTTTTTTTCTGAAAACAAAACAATGATTTTTGCTTTTCTAGAAAATGCTTCTAGATTTAAGGATATTTTGATATTTGGACTAGAAATACGACCAAAACCAAGAAAAGCATATTTGCAGCGTAAGTACAGTATAAAAGAAAATCAACATATTAAGGTGACCCATTCTTTGTCACATCCAGTAAAACAAATCATAGATTGATGATTTTTACCAAATAATGATTTATTTTTTAATTAACGTGTACACAGTCTTAAACATTTTTTTATTAATTATAAGTTTATTTAGATCATCATTTGCTATACCATAAGGCACTGCTAGTCTTGGGTCCCAACACTTAAAATGCAAAATTTGTATTATTATTTTATTATTTACAATTGAATATTAAAATAAATACATTTAAATTATTATTTTAATACATACACAAAAAACAATTTAATACATTCATTTATCTCAACTCTTGACCATATATACATTACTTTACATTTCATGAACACACACATTTATTTACATGATAACAGCATTCTGTGTTTTTTGGTTTTAAATATTATACCATTCAATCGTATACAGTTGAAGTCAGAATTATTAGCCCCCCTTTGAATTTTTTTTCTTTTTTAAATATTTCTCAAATGATGTTTAACAGAGCAAGGAAATTTTCACAGTGTGTCTGATAATATTCTTTCTTCTGGAGAAAGTGTTATTTGTTTTATTTCAGCTAGAATAAAAGCAGTTTTTAATTTTTTTAAACACTATTTTAAGAACAACATTTTTATCCCCTTTAAGCTATATATTTTTTCGATAGTCTACAGAACAAACCATCGTTATACAATAACTTGCCTAATTACCCTAGCCTGCCGAGTTCACCTAATAAACCTTACTTAAGCCTTTGAATGTCACTTTAAGCTGTATAGAAGTGTCTTGAAAAATATCTAGTCAAAAATTATTTACTGTCATCATGGCAAAGATAAAATAAATCAGTTATTAAAAATTAGTTATTAAAACTATTATGTTTAGAATTGTGTAGAAAAAATCTTCTCTCTGTTAAACTGAAATTAGATGGAAAAGGGGGGGCTAATAATTCATAATATTCAGACTTCAACTGTATAATGCATGCACATATAACAGTATACAGGCATGTAATATTATTTCAAATCAAATAAATGCTCAATGCCCAGCTAAACACTGCACTTTCTGTCTTGTGGACATTAGATGTGGTGGTCTGTTGCACTGCAATACACTTTTTGCTTCCATTCATATGCATGCAAATGACCGAGTCCGAAAATACAAGCTAGTGCCATTGACTTAAAAAGATAGTTTTTCAACTCCGGTAAATTCAAAAAAGCACTGTTCACTTAGGCAAGGACGTTCCGAAGTTTTTCAAAAAAAAAAAAAAAACAATCACACATCCATTCCAAACTACTGATAAATTATGGCATTATTAACCAGAAATTAGCTCTAAATGAGTTGCTTTGTTTCAAAGACATGCAACGGCAGAAGCACAAACTGCAGCATTCACACATTTGACTACATTACAAATTCGAATGGATAAGTGAATGGATGAGTATTGTAAACAACTTCGATCCAAACATATTGAGGAACACTTCTACATGTCGAGATGTACATAATATGTGTGTGTGTGTGTACTGGCGCTCACTGGAGCATTGCTCGACGTGCACGTGTCAAGCAACTGAAGCAGAGCTCGAAGGTAAACAAACAGCGGTTTATCATAAGCATTTCATCAATATTTTTTTACACTGTTGACATTAAAAAGGAACATAGAAACGTTATCTGACTAACATCTAACAGATAAATGTGTCTCGAAAAATATTCAAAGGCTTTTATTTTTATAAACAGAACATATGTGAATGTGTCTGAGAGTTCTTATTGGCTGGAATACACATCTTACGTCAGCGTGCGCTAACTATGAACAAATTTAAAATTTCTGGCAAATTTCCTTCTGCGTTCACACAGTGCAGCTTTCTGACCAATTACCGGTAATGTTGCACCTTCTCTTTCTGGAATACCTGAATACCTGAATTTTACCGAGTTTACCAATATTTTCAAAAAGGGTTCGTTCACACATGATCCCTTTCAAGAAAATTGTCGGTAATTTTCCGAAAAGGTATGTATGTGTGAAAGGGGCTAATGACAGAATTTTCATTTTTTGGGTGAACTACCATTTCATTAGCTGCAAGTTGACAAGTGTAAAGAGAATAAAATTGTGCTAAAAACGCCTAACCTAAGCAATAAGAAACAACTGAAAAAAAGCACAAATATACATAATAAATAAACTTTTTTTTAAAGAAACTACTACTGATATAGCATGACTTTAATGTCTGGAAGACATGTAGACCTTTCAAAATGCCATGATATTCCACAAATTCCATGAAAATAAACACATTCTCAAAACCTTAACATCATCACAAGATACAGAAAAGCTTCCTGAAGATCAGTGTGTGCCACCACAGCAGTCCTCATCAGTGGAGGGAGTGTCTTCCTTAATCTCATTAGTAAATGAGGCCAAGTGGTGTGTCATCATGCTAACACTACCATCTGCTTCAACCTAACCCTGGCTGAACTTTACAGGTACATTGAGAGAGAGAGAGAGAGAGAGAGAGAGAGAGAGAGAGAGAGAGACAGACTAAGAAAGAGAAAGCTGATAAGTAGTCGTTTCAGCAGTGGTATTCATAGGCCTCCTAAAATCTAACAACAGGTAAGTAGGTCTGGCTCATGATCCACATTCTCAGTTTAGTGCGACACCTGCGAACACTTGAAGTGTTTAGAGCAGCTTTCCTATAATTCCAGAGCGTGTGACACGTCATGTGACATCCACACAGCTTCTGTGTACTGCAATCTATATTTAACATTGACTTGTAAATTTCTGTTGATTCTCAGCTAAATATTTTCAAACTGTTTAAAATGTTGAAATTTCTCTAAAACTAAACATGCTAAATCAGGCAAACAGAGTCAGTATAAAGTCAGAAGCTCTTTGCGGAGACCAGATAAGAAATCTTTGGGATCTGGTTATTGTTTAGAGTTACTTGTTTGGTGTGCACCAAAGATTGCACCGTTCGCTCTTATTTAAAGAAAAAACCTTCCACGTGTAAACACAGTGTAAACATTAGTGTAAAATTACATTAAAAGTGCATGTACAGTAAAAGAGTGATGACTCACCAGTCGGAAGAGCTTGAAGAAGTCTATGTTGGCGTAGAGCACATCTTCGATCCTCTGCAGCCTGTGTTGTGAAAGCGCACACATGGCATTTTGGACTCCATACATCCCTCCACGACTGGGGAAAATAAGAAACTGCTCCAGAAGAGCCTGACTGCAGGCAATCTCCTTCAGTGTCAGGTCTGGGACTCCATACGCAAACTGGAAATAGAGATTTTTAGACACATTTCAGCATGTATTGCAGAAATCAAAGCTTTATTGTTAATTTATAATATTGCTTAGGGGTTTTACCTTTTTTCAACATAATAATATTAATAACTAATTCCTAATGACTCATTGATTTCATGATGACAATACAAAACATGTTGCTAGTTATTTAGCAAATTTCGTTTCGTCTTATATTGCAATGTAAAGGCTTAACTAGCTTACTTAGGTTAACTAGGCAAGTTAGGGTAATCAAACAAGTCTTTGGACAAAAAGTGGTTTGTTCTCTAGTCAATCAAAAAAAACCTTCTTAAAGGAGGCTAATAATAATGACCCTAAACGGAATGTAAAAAGCCTTTATTCGAGCCAAAATAAAAGAAACCAGAATTCCTGAGGAGGAAATAGGAAATACTGTGGAAAATGACCCTGCTCTGTAAAACAACACTTGGGAAACATTTGAAAAAGAATTGAAAAATTTCATAGGAGCGTAATAATCAATTATTTTGCCCTCAACTATATGAGATTGTGTTTTTTTTTTTTTTTTTTAAAGAAAAGAAGAATTTGAAAAGGATAAAACCTAAGAAAACAATTATATTTGTGCCTCAAGAAAAGAAAAAAATATCTAATTTGTTATTTTTGCTTCTTAGGATCAAGTAATCTTGCTACAAGAATAAGCAACACAATTGTACTGATATGCCTTTGAAGAAATATCTTCAGCCGAATTATATTTTAGCTAAATGAACTTTATTCCTTTTTATTATTTATATTCTTTACTTAATAATCTTGTCAGGCATATTTATAACAACAATCATTTGATGACATATTTAATTAATTTTTAGAAAAAAGGTTAAAATAGATTATATATATATATATATATATATATATATATATATATATATATATATATATATATATATATATACATACTTTTTGGTTGGGCTAATAATTCTGACTTCAACTGTATATACAGTATATATAGTATATATATATATATATATATATATATATAGAGAGAGAGAGAGAGAGAGAGAGAGAGAGAGAGAGAGAGAGAGAGAGAGATATCATGGTATGGCTGCAAAGTTCTTTTGATTATCACACTAGATTGAGAGTATAGTTTCTAGCCATATTGACCTAGAAATTAGCAACTTGTCTTTATCCATCAGTCTTAGTACATGATGAGACAAGATTTAAATAGAAAAATTATCAAAACTCAAATTTTTTTTTTTAGCATTTTTGGAGTTATGCTGGCGACCCAAAGGTGCAGTAGGTAGTGCTGTTGCCTCACAGCAAGAAAGTCGCTGGTTCGAGCCTTAGCTGGGTCAGTTGGCGTTTCTGTGTGGAGTTTGCATGTTCTGTGTGAAGTTTCCGTGAGATTCCTCCAGGTGCTCTTTTTTTCCCCCACAGTCCAAAGACATGCGGTACAGGTGAATTGGGTAGGCTAAATTGTCCATAGTGTATGAGTGTGGGTGAGTGTGTATGGATGTTTCCCAGAGATGGCTTGCGGCTGGAAGGGCATCCGCTGTCTAAAAATGTGCTGTATAAGTTGGCGGTTCGTTCCGCTGTGGCGACCCCGGATTAATAAAGGGACTAGGCCGAAAAGAAAATGAATGAATGAGTTAATGGTCTAATCGGATTCAAGGATTTATGCTAAGCTAAGCTAAAAATGCTCACGCCAAAACCAGAGATTGGCTGAATGATTTAAAAATGGTAAACTTCAACTGTTTAACTCAAGGTGACTCGTAAAAATTAGCCTTTTTGCCCCAAAAAGTAGAGTGTTCCTTAAATTAATTTTCAAAGTAAGATATCTGTCTTTGACCTCCTATTTTACAATGTATCTCTACACATAGAGGTGCCCTTAGTAAAGTACAGGATCAAAAGCAGCCTACATAAGAGTGCTTGAACCCCTGAGACAATGGGCCCTGTCATAAATCAAGTGGTGTGTGAAAGGCCAGCGTGAAACAAAAGAAAACCGACGTCACGAAGACACTAACATACAACCTCAGGAAGGGCTCTCAGTGACTGTTAAACACCATAAAACACATCACAAACCCACTCGTTTTTGCTGGAAACATCTAGTGAGCTCCCATAGGAGTGTATGAGGATGTGACTGTGTGACAGGATTCTTGTGACAGTGGAAGCTGTTAAACTATTGACAAAAACAACAAGAAGCAGCTATTGTGCTTTAAATGAAAAAACGTACCTGCTCCACCCGAATCTGTGCATTAGTGAGATCGTGCACAACACCTTCTGAAAGCCTCGCGTCTCGCAGTAGGAATGCTGTTAAAGTCTCATCGTCTTTCAGTATGTCCTCCACCTTCAGCCCTTTACCTGACAGAACGAAGAAAAATGACATGAAGGGCAAAATATGATTATTAAGCAATAATAAAAAAATGTTTTTTAACGCATATGTGTTGTTAATTTTAACTCAATTAACTTATGTTTACCAGTGAGTTAACCTTAGGTTAATTGTGCTTTCTAAGTAAAAAACTACTAATGACACAACTTTGTATCACCAATTTAATGGCCTGCTGTCTATTGATCCTACTTAAAAATCTTTTGAGGCATATTTGAAAGAGGGATCATTTGATGATTTAAAAAATTCTAATTCATCTGTTGAATTACAGTGCATCCAGAAAGTATTCCTAATGCTTCACCTTTTCCACATTTTTTATGTTACAGCCTTATTTCAAAATGGAATTAATTAATTTATTTCCTCAAAATTCTACACACATTAGCCCATAATGACAATGTGAAAAAGGGTTTTTGAAGTTGTTGCAAATGTATTCAAAATAAAATCACATGTACATCAGTATTCACATCCTTTGCTCAATACATTGTTGATGCACCTTTGTCAGCAATTACAGCCTCAAGTCTTTTTGAATATGATGCCACAAGCTTGGCACACCTGTCTTTAGAAATTTTTGCCCAGTCTTCTTTGCAGTACCTCTCAAGCTCTATCAGGTTGGATGGAAAGTGACAGTGTACATTCATTTTCATATCTCTCCAGAGATGTTCAAAAGGATTTAGGTCTGGGCTCTGGCTGGGTCACTCCAAGGACATGCACTGAGTTGTTGTGAAGGCACTCCATTGATATTTTGGCGGTTTGCTTTGGGTCATTGTCCTGCTAGAAGATGAACCGGCACTCTCAAGCAGGTTTTCATTCAGGATGTCTCTGTAGATTGCTGCATTCATCTTTCCCTCTATCCTGACAAGTCTTCCAGGTCCTCCTGCTTAAAAACATCACCACAGCATGATGCTGCCACCACCATGCTTCACTGCAGGGATGGTATTAGCCTGGTGATGAGCGGTGCCTGGTTTTCTCCAAACGTGACGCCTAGCATTCACTCCAAAGAGTTCAATTTTATTCTTATCAGACCAGAGAATTTTGTTTCTTATAGTCTGAGAGTCCTTCAGATGCCTTTTGGCAAATTCCAGGCAGGGAGTGGCTTCTGTTTGGCCACTCTACCAAACAGGCCTGATTGGTGGATTGCTGCACAGATGGTTGTCTTTCTGTAAGGTCCTCCTCCCTCCACAGAAGAATGCTAAAGCTCAGACATATTGACCATCGGGTTATTGATTACCTCCCTGACTAAGGCCCTACTCCCTGATCACTCTAGAAAGAGTCCTGGTGGTTCGAAACATCTTCCACTTATGGATGGTTGAGACCACTGTGCTCATTGGAACTTTCAGAGCGGCAGACATTTTTTTGTAACCTTCCCCAGCCTTATGCCTTGAGAAAATCCTGTCTCGGAGGTCTACAGACAATTCCTTTGTCTTCATGCTTGGTTTGTGCTTTGACATGCTCTGTCAACTCTGGGACCTTATATAAACAGGTTTATTGCTCTTCAAATCATGTCCAATCAACTGAATTTATCACAGGTCACCTCAAATGAAGCTGCTGAAACATCAAGCATGATCAGTGGAAACAGAATGTACCTGAGCTCAATTTAGAGCTTTACTGTAAAGGCTGTGAATACTTAAGTACATGTGATTTTTCAGTTTTTTTTTTATTTTTGATTAATTTGTAACATTTATTAATTTTCTTTTCAGCTTAGTTCTTTTACTGATCTGGGGTCGCCGAAATAAACCGCCAACTAATGCAGCATATGTTTTATGCAGCGGATGCCCTTCCAGCTGCAACCCATCTCTGGGAAACATCTATACACACTCATTCACACTCAGACATTACGGACAATTTAGCCTACCCAATTCACCTGTATTGCATGTCTTTGGACTGCAGGGGAAACCAGAACACTCGAAGGAAACCCACGCCAGCGTGGGGAGAACATGCAAACTCTACACAGAAACACCAACTGACCCAGCCAAGGCTCGAACCAGCGACCTTCTTGCTGTGAAGCGACAGCACTACCTACTGCACCACCGTATTGCCGTAATTTGTAACAAATTCAAAAATCTTTTTTCACATTGTCATTATGGGGTATTGTGTGTAGAATTTTGAGAATATAAATTATTTAATCCATTTCAGAATAAGGCTGCAACATAAAAAATGTTAAAAAAGTGAAACGCTGTGTCACGATCACCAGCTATCTGTTGAGATGAGTCAGAAGGCATTGAATCCATTTGCAAGCTTTATTAAAAGCACACATACATACAAACACAAAGGGGCAATCCAGGAGACAGAACGTGGGACAGGCAAAAGTTCAAAGGCAGGCAGATATCTTACTGGTCAGAATAACAGGCTGGAGATCAGGGGCAGGCAGATGTCTTTCGTAATCGTAGAACAAGCACAGGGTCAGAAACACAGATCAGTCCGAAGCAGGGAGTATGGAACGCTCAGAAATGACAGCCAGGCAAATCAAGACTTCGCAATGAACCAGAGCGTGAGTGCGGTATATATACACGGGAGTTGATGAGCTGCACCTGGACCGCAATCAGTGCCAGGTAGCAGGGCTTGTGGGATTTTGAGTCCGTGAGTCGAATTAGAATTCGGACAATGGCTCCCTCTGGTGATGCACAAGAGGATCGGCATCGCCCTCATTTACAACACTATCTAACCACCAAAGATTGCTGGAAAACAATGACACTCACACAAACTACAATCCTGCCTCATAATGGACTACAAATCCAGTCAGGCACCACACACACTACCGGTTCCAGATTGTGACTGATTACACTCTCACAGCTAATGATGCATAATGACTGATTACATACATATATTCGGCTCACTTTGAGATACTCATTGCTGAGTCTTGTTATCTGTTTAGTGACATGACAATGCGTTACCTTTGTCTTGCTTTGCCATGTTTTTGACCCTTGCTTTGTTTGTTTTAAGTGGTCTGCTGCCTGCTGCCTGCCTTGACTAAGACTCTGGATTTCTTTTATACAACTGTTTGCTCTTGCTGATCATTGCTTGCTTGACTATCCTGTTAATAAAACTCTGCGTTTGGATTCTCAACTCCACTGTCAGCGTCACATCACCATTACAGACTGCAGAGAGAGAATTTAAATTGACAACTCTCAAAGGGTTTTAACAGTTTACCAAATAGATAATTATTGATTTGTAAGAATCAGGTTATAATTATGTGAAGCATATTATAATTACTTTATGCACTGTAAAAAATCCACACAATTACTTTATGTTGTCTCAACTCAAATCAATTAAGTTCACTTGATTGTTTTTTTTTTTAGTGGATTGAACATAAAACAATTAAGCTTCCCCCTAAAAAATCATTTTAAATATGTATTTTGAACAAGAAGCAAAAGTAATTTTTTGAGTGTACTTCAAGGCTGTACTTTTGTATTTTTACTCAAATGTAATTGCATATACAACAGGGGAAATAAGTATTGAACACGTTACCAATCTTAAGAAACATATTTCTAAAGGTGACATGAAGATTTTCTCAGATGTGTAATAAAATGAAGTAAAGCAGGGACAAAGGATTGAACACATGAAGAAAGAGGTGTAAAAAGACAGTGAAAGCCCAGAGAGCAGCTGAAATCTCTCAGTAGCTCTTCAGCAACCCTCTGCCATTGGTCATTGTAAATTAATATCAGCTTCTTTAGTCCAACATCTCCATTAGAAGGAGGATAAAGATGAAACCAGAGTGGACATTTCAGCAAGACAATGATCCAAAACACAGCCAAGGAAACTCTTAAATGGTTTCAGAGAAAGAAAATCAAGCCATGGAATGGCCCAGCCAATCACCTGACTCAAATTCAATAAAAATTACAAATCAAAAACCAGATTTGATAAAAGACACTCTGTTGAAGTCTGTGAAAAACCCACAACTGAGCAATTCAGGTTACTTCATTCTCCATATGAGCTTAAAGCTTCCATCACCAAAAAACAGGTTTTATATATAAGTATTTCAGTACTTTCTTCCTGTGTCATTCCATTGTTATCCCACATAACATTGTTTAGATTTTTATTTTTATTTATTTTTATTTTTTTTTTGCTTTCTTTACTTTTTATGTTTGTCTGTTTATGTATTGTTTAGGTTTTTACCAAAATCTGGTCCAATTCTATGTCAACAGCTGATTTTCTTTTGAGTATTGTATACACTCCTGCATGTGAGACTATATTTTGAATTAATACATTAACACACTACAGTATAGAATAGCTTGCACACAGAAAAAAATCACATGCTTTTTATTTCCCCATTCACTTAAAAATATTTTAATTAACAACTTAGAATGTCAGAGGTCTAGTTTACTTTTTTTACGTTTCACACAAGCTGGTCTCACTCACACTGCCAATAAAAATGTGATTGATCCATCCAATTCTTATATTAAATCTTACTAAAACTTCCAAAAACAAACATTCCTCTTTCTGTGGCCCACATTCATGTGAAATGGGAAGAATGCATTCCACATCTTCTTCATTGAAGCCCTCTTAATGCTGCAGCAGTGTGTTGATCAGCGTGCATAATGACTTTGACATATATTCACTCAGAGGACAAACAGTGCTGACAACGTGCTTCAATGGATCACTTGATTACTGAATTCTTTGCTGAAAGCTTTGTCGCTTAACAGGTCTTTTTCAGTGCTGAGAGGTCAAGACATGAGAGACGTGTGTGGAGAAAGTGCTGAAAGATCCAACTGGCCCACTTTAGATACAAGCCGACCAACTTAAATATATAATAACATGTTTTATGAAAAATTAGGATAAGTAATACTGCAATGAATAATAATGAGTAACAGGTCCTGTCTGATTGGGAATTGTTTTAGAACATTTACCATGCTTTACTAGTGCTTTTATTGTTTTTAAAGATGTCATTATTTATGTTAAATACCTATAAACACTAATTAAGATTTCTTTTTATTATTTTACTAAATATATATACTTTTATTTAAAAAAAAAGAATACATTGAAAATATTTCCTTTTTTTAAATGCCTTTTGTTACTAGTCAAATAATTATCATCAAATAAATCCATAATCTCCAAATCTTATAAAGAGATTCATCCCTTCGGGAGAACCGGAGAAATCCCATGTGTAAATGGGGATAATATGCAAACTCCACACAGAAATTCCAACTGACCCAGCCGAGGCTCGAATCTTGCTGTTAGGCGACAGAGCTACCAACTGTGCCACCACGCTGCCCCAGTAGAGTAAATATATTAACTAAATTACAAACCAAAACAATAGCTCTGGTTTCACAGCAGAAAGAGAGGACTACATTTTAACTGGACGGTTTAAACTCAGGACGGTATTTTTCTTTGCTCACGCATTCAGTGGGGCCCGATCAGAATTGCAATAGGTGTAAAACATTGTAATCAAACATATGAAAAACTTTTTTGTTTGTGGTGTCCATTTTATTTTTAAGACAACAAATACAGTGTGTTAGTTAGGTGAAACTGGGGTCCTAATACACTCTGTATAATGACAAAATCTGCCATTTAAACAATTATCTTGGAATCAAAAGGAACAGGAAAAACATTTCAAAACCTTCCATATTTTGTAATATAGCTGTTGTTGTAGTGTTCTGTTTTTAACATAATGCTACTTAAAGTACAATCCAGACTTCTCATCTCTTAAAATTGGTGCTTGACCTGAATCACCTCTAATCACATCTAAATCAATGACTTCAATTAGGGAAAAACCCCAACTCAAGAAGATCCAATAAAATCCGATAAGTCCAAACAAACCCAGCAGAATTTCCAACCCAACTGGACCGGACTGCAAACAGCACTTATGTGTGTGTGACCTGCAGCCTCCAATTTTCAGTTGATCACAACCTGACTCCTGTATGAGTTTTGAACTCAAACCCACTTGGGTGTTCTGATTCAAGTGGACCCTCTACCTAGGCCCTTTACTGATGCACTTTTATCAAACAAAACGATGTTGTCTGAACAGCTGTGGGCATATTATAAACATAAATATACATGTTAAAAAATCTTTAGCACAAAAGCCCAGGGGCTGGTAAAAATTCAACTACATGAAGCTAAATGCAGACTTCTGCTGATCAATAAAGATTAAGTCAAGGTAACAAGGAGAAAGAATGAACTTTGTTCATTTTCACACACAGTACAACTGTATCAACATTTTAACAATACATGTTTAAAAAATTACATTTTAAGGTATAATTTACACTAAAATAGAATTTTCCTCACCAATTACTCACTTTGACTCACTTTGTTTATATTAAGGGCATTCTGTCAGTTTATTTTCTTTTGGATATTTACAGATAATGTAGTTTAATGTAGATAATGTATTTATTAGGAATCTAACACCCTAATCTATTGTTTATTATTTCATTTTGTAATTAGTTTTCCCTTAGACTTAGGGGCCATAAAAGTGGGGGCTCGTCCGGGATCTTTATTTGTGTTTAACACAAGAAATATAAACTCAGGTTTGGAAACAGTGGAGGATGAATACATTTTGACAGAATTTTCGTTTTTGCTTGAACTGTCCTCTTAAGAGAGACTTGGGTTTATCCTCATACTAAGGACTAGTCATCATCAGCCCATTAGACTGAACAGGAAAAGGAAAGAGGTATGAGGGGAGTGGAAGTACGACAGGAAATGCCCACTCTCTCCATCCATCACTTAGTTCCATTAAAGATGTCCATCAGTTCATCTGAGAGCTGGGTTAATTACCTGCCACACGCTCAGGACTGGTGCGTAGAGTCTCCATGAAGTTGCTCATGATGGAGGCTTCACGCCACAGACGGCCGAGCTGAAGGAACTCAGTGTCGTTAAACAGCAGCTCTTGAGAGTCCAGGTAAAACCGAGCCAGTCTGAGTAGGAGAGAAATAGTTAGTTACAGCAACTGATGAACTTGAAATGGAACTAAGTATATAAAAAACAAGGATATACCCATTAATTTTTGGTATAAGGAAAAAACAGCTTTCTACACTCTTTAAAACAAAGGTTCATTATAGGCCTTACATGGAATCTTGGTGTGACTCTGGAGTCAGATCTGAGTTTCAATAGTCATGTCAAAGCAGTAAGTAAATCAGCATACTATCATCTCAGAAACATTGCAAGTATCAGATGCTTTGTTTCCAGTGAAGACTTAGAGAAACTTGTCCATGCTTTTATCAGCAGCAGGGTGGATTACTGTAACGGCCTCCTCACTGGCCTTCCCAAAAAGACAGTCAGACAGTTAAAGCTCATCCAGAATGCTGAGGCCAGGATTCTGACTAGAACAAGGAAATCAGAGCACATCACACCTGTCCTCAGGCCTTTACACTGGCTCCCAGTTACATTCAGAATAGAGTTTAAAGTATTATTACTGGTCTATAAATCACTAAATGGATTAAGACCTAAATACATTTCAGATATGCTGACTGAATACAAACCTAACAGATCACTCAGATCTTTAGGATCATATAAACTAGAAGTTCCAAGAGTTCAGTCAAAGCAGGGTGAATCAGCTTTCAGCAACTATGTCCCTCGCTGTTGGAATCAGCTTCCAGAAATGGTCAGATGTACTCCAACATTAGGCACGTTCAAATCAAGACTGAACAATGTGTAGACGTCTCAAGTCAGTGAGTTCAAATTTCCTTCTGCGTTCACACAGCGCAGTATGCCGGCAAATTACTGCTACAACTTCTCTTTCCAGAAAATTGCCAGAGTGAATTTACCAATATTTTCAAAAAAGGCCTGATCACACATACAGATCTTTCTGGAATAATTACCGGTAATTTTCATCATTTGCCATATTTCCAGTGAAATTCTAAAACAGCTGTTTATATTGCACAATTAAAAGTATTATAGAACAGCGGTTAACATTTAGCTGGTCTAGTATCACTTTTGCGCTGTTTCGTAGTATCAAATGTGGAGTGTAAATAATGATGCAGTGGTGGAATGTTGTGTCTAGATGCCTAGCACCTGGCAAACAATTGAATGCCTTCATATTTAGATGCTTTTGCATCTATAAACATTCTATAAACATTCTATAAACTGTGTTGAAAATGAAGTTTATAGAACTAAAATCATTCCCACATCCTGCAGTGCACACAAAAAAAATGCCTACTTCCTCCAACAGTTCTAGGAACTGCGAAAAAGCACCTGTTATGGCAGAGATGCACAATCCTGTTGCTGGAGGGCCACCTTACTCCAGAATTCTACCATAACTAAACAAGGGCTGTATCCAAAATAAGCCCCCTATACCCTTAAATAGTGCATTTTTTATATTGATGTCCAAAACCATACAAGACATTCTCAAGGGAACTTAACCACAGTGCTCGTAATGCTCTGTGAGAGATTGCACACCAAATGAATTTCCGCATCTGATCACAAGATGGTATCCATTGCGGAATCTTATCAGTGTACGTTTTTAAATAGTTAATTATTATTTAATTGTTAAACTAATGTTTGCATTCATGAAGTAGAACAAAATACATCATTACTTATTGACAGCTTAATAATTGTTAAAAAAAAAAGATCACAGTTTTGACCAGCAAAACAGCAAAGCACAAACAAAATGGCATCCCTTCCATGGCACTCTCTTGTTTTTGTTTACTCTTTTATGTGGACTATAATTATGGACTAATGTAGGGAATGTATTTACGTAGTAAGTGAAGCAAGTAGTCTTTTAGACAAGTTTGTTGGAGCTGGTTGGATATTGGCCATCAGGAGCAGCACTAGGGCTGGGCAATGTGAACATATATATTGTATGTATAATATAAAAGGTCTATCGTTTCATATTACGCTCTTTTCTTTATATTGTGGTGTCGTAAAAAAACAGTTTATTGAAATGCTTCTTCATAATTACTATGAGGGGAACATTACACATCATTATGGGTTAGTTTACAGAACAATAAGAAAATTTTGAGACCGTTGCAATCTTGAAAATACAATGTTTACATTTTTGATTTTATTTAGTGATATTTTATGTTGGGCATGTAATCATTCAAAAGTTTTATATTTCATTTAATTTCTACATTCTTAGTCAAACTAGTGCCTTGAAGTTCTAAATAAAGTGAGAAATATGATCGCACATAAATTTCTGAGTTGCAAAATGTTAAACAAAAATGGAAAAGTTATTTCCATGTGGTCAATTAAATTTACAGAAAAGATACCACAGATCTGGCTACTGAGATTGCATGAGTGATTAAAAGTGACCACACACAATGCTGCAGTACTGCATGTTACAGCACGAAATGGTCTAACACAAGAAAGACATGACCAGCAGGGGGCAGTTATGTAACATAGTGAGCAGGCTGAACTAATATATTGTAGCAGCGCACACGGAGAGGCAAAGGAAATTAAGAAGGCTAATCATGATTGTCTCATCAATAGTATCAATAGAGTTTTTATAATGGTTTGCTCTGACTATAAAATGTATATAAAAATCTGTATATGAGATGACTTATATTGTGATTTTATGGCAAGCAGGAATATGGCATCACTGCAAAAAGAAAAAAAAAACAGAACTTATTTTTTTTTAGAAAATATTAAGATAAGACTAAACTTACAATCCTGAAAGTTTGTTATCAAGCCTTTGGATGCCGAGCAAACCTCCTCTGCATGGGAAAACCCATTTTTCCTTAAAACTTTATTGTGTCAGGACTATCTCTGGAAGCCCACAAGACAAATGTGCTAGATAGGAAATTCTCCCAGATTTGAGCTGCGGAGGAGAGTCTGACTCACATGGAGTTGTGGTAGTTGGAAACGACCCCAGGCGATTCTCCTCGAGTTTGATGGCGAAAACACGGGTTATTAGCGTTGCAGAAAATCCCTTGGATCCAAGGCAGGATTCCTGCTGAGGGCATAGCCTTGCTGGGAAAATGACCTGCATTTACAGAAATGATGAGCAAATTTTAGGCAACACAGATAGATGGTAATAGAAACGTTCGTTGAGTTTCATTCATAATTAAAATCTAGCTAAGCATGAAATCGATGAACTGTAAATAGATAAATGATGCTATGCATTCTTACATTCATGCTGGCGGTACAGGGGATTGGCTCTTCGCAGCCAGACAAGTCCAATGAATAAAAACACAGGCCACAAAATCTCAACAAAAAAGCGAATCTGTAAACGTGACAAGACAGTGATGTGTTATATTTGTGTAGCAATGTTGGTAAAATACAGTACATACCAATTACAACAATATGCCTTTGCATATATTAATATAGTTTCATTATAATTTCTTTATTTATTATGATGTTAATACATTTTTGACATGTCAAATGTTTAAAATAAAAACCCGTGTAAAAAAGAATTCTGGCCCAGATTTGGCATAAAGCTGGCACAGCAAGCATTCATCCAGCATTGGCATAAAGCAATTGGACCATAGACCGGGTTTGGCAGAGGTGGCACCATCTTTAAGGCAGCTCACAAGACTTGGGCCAGAGGTCAAATATATTTGGCCCAAGATGTTAAAAATTGTGTGGACCACATAAGTGTGGCTTATCTTGACCCACTTTAAAAAGATATTTAAGCCTCTACAGCACACATTATGATAGATCTATAAAAAAATATTTGACTGTTTTTCTTTTCTTAAAATGGCTGAACTTAAAGCGCTGTTAAAAAGAATGTTGCCATAGGAACAACGTCCAACAGTGGATCTAACTTGGACATTTTACATGTAGAAATTTCCTTATAATTCAAATTTATAATATTCAAACCGGTTTCGTTTATTCCATTCTTTTTTTCTGAATATTATAGAAAACAATCATAATATTGTATTATCATGTATACAAATACAATAAATATAAATATTTTCTCCAGTAAATATTATAACAAATAAATAACAAGTTTAATATATCTGGATGCATCAGAATAATGTAACATTAGCTACTAGCTAACAATGTTTATATATTATACTATATACACTTTACAACGCCTATCTTATAACGTTATGCCTCTAAGCTAACTTGCCTGAACTGTCTCCATGACTGCTCTTATCAAATGTCCAATCTGCATCATTTTCATGGTCACTAAAACCCATCTCATCCTCACTTTCATCTGCAGGAAGAGCCAGTTCTCTCCTTTTTTTCTTTCCCTTACCACAGAACATGGTGGTGCTCAATAATACACTGTTTTCTGTATTCATATATTTAAAAGTAGTATTGCCATTAAAATGAGATTTTATCAATAAATTAAATTCCATTAACATACAACTAATCAACATTATACTACTAGCATTCATGTTGTTATTGTTACAAATAAAAAGATCACAGCTGACCTTGCTAATTAGCTAACCCATTGCAATATTGCATGTTCCACTATTGGACAGTGTTGCCATTTGGGGACACATACATTTGATCGATTTACAAAAAATAAAAAAATAAAAATAAAAAGCGTTTATGAGTTGTGAATCATCATAACTTAATGGAGGTGATGTTTCAGAGTTTTAGTGCATCTGACATAAGTTGATCCTTTGTTTTTATTGACGTTTACATTTGTCAGTCTGTCAGAAATCGCGCCACATAAAAACACTGCAGGTCATGTGACTTACCCAAAGCACATCATTGGGTAAGCTAAGGTATTTTCTTTGAACATTGTCTTAAAGAAACAGTGGCCACAGATAAATACATCTATGAACAGTGGCAAGGAAATTAACATAAATATCATGTTACCATGAGGCAATACTATGCGGTAGAGGGTTAAATTATTTCTGAGTAAAAAAAGTCTACCAAAGACTTTTAGAGATAAGATTCAAAGTTTACCTTCATATACTTATTATTCACCTGTTTCTAAATGGTCTGTCTCTAAAAGTGAGGGGTACATAACTTAGGCCTATCTGCTACTCCCCTGCCAGATGGTCTATGTTTGGCCCTTGTCTGGAAGCCAGACTTTGGTCCACTCCATAGATATCCACTCATGCACTAATTCACTCATGTGGGCCAGGCAAAATCTGATTGTGTGGGCCAGAGCTGGGCCAGAGAAATATGCTATGTGGGAATATATTAAAACAATCTAATGTTAATCATAGTTAATGTTACTCTTTATTAATTTAATTGATCTAAGTTTTAACTTTAACATAAATAAAATTTAAATGATATATTTTTTCCACGAACATTCTTGAATTACAAAACAAGCCATAGATCGCTAATTCATCGCATTTTACATTACCTATTTATCAGTACTAGGTTTTTGTTAATGGAAAAGTTTTAAACAAGCTGAATTTGTGATGATAACTACCTCAGAAAATAACTAGACTAGACTCCTTCAGTTACAGGTATGCACATTTTAGAGAACAACATGAACCATGTTGCATGTATTACTCTGTAAATATACATTTCATGAAATTTTGTCTTTTATCATTGCTTATGATTTTAGCCGGGGAGTCGGGGGCCCCTTTGACTCGTTACAGAATGCCCTTTTATTTAGTTTTTAACAATGTAATAAAATGTTTTACTTTAAATGAGCATTGGATGATGTCATGCCTGTCTAAAAATATTGGGATAAAGTATTCAAATAAACGAATAATTCTGAAAAAAAGTTTAGTTGGAAAATTAATAGGACCATTTCACTAATATACCATCTTACAGAGCGCACTGTTTTACAAAGTATAACCCTCATACTATAAACAAAAAACAACATAACAAGATTGTAAATAGTTGATTTAACAAAAAACTGAACATTTTAAAGCACATCAAAGGCTCTCTTTTTCAAAACATCCGGCCTGCGGGTCTCATATTTTGGTTGTGTGTGGTGTCACACCTCATTGCCTGAATTCTGCACTTGGAACCACATTTCTGAGGTTTGTATTACGTGATATAAACAGAGCGCTCTAAATATAAGCTTTCCAAAGACTTTGGAGACTCCAGGCCAGGATGATGAGTGCTTTTGTGTTCCAGCGAGTGGGTTAATTGTACCTTTTGTCTCTTGCGGAGTGTCCAGTTCTTCCAGAGCAGCAGACGGATCTGACGGCCCGTGCTCATGGCTCCAGATTAACCCCACGCAGGGGCCACCAATCAACAACAAACCTGGGAAAACATCATGTCAAACTCAAAATTGACCAGAAAAGGCATTAGCGGGACATTTAAAAAGGGTAACACTTTACAACAAAGTACTACTAGTTAATGTGAGGTAAGAAACAATAAAAAAACCACCTTCAGAACAATATTTATTTATGCTTATTAATGTTACTTAATGTAAATGCAGTCATTCTCTGAAATTTCTTGTTAACTTTAAGCACATTATTATCTCATTTTATTAACTGATTTGTGTTCTGTTGAAATTCTTGATTTTGACTGGATTTTCATCATGCATTTAAAATCTTTTACCGCATGGCAAGCAGTTGTTAAACCCTTACTTATACGGAGCTGTTGGTTGCCTAATAATTCTAATTGGCTGATGAACTCTGGAAGGTTTGCAATTATTTTAAGATAAATGTACCTAAAGTAGTTTAAGGAAGCTTTTGAACCATGTTCTGACCACATTACACTTCTATATGTAGTAGGTGACATTTCAAAATGACCATTACCGCCGAGTGTGGCACGCCGCGGGACAAACAGCAGCTTGAGATCATGCCACGAGTTGGCACAAAGGGATGCAAACGATTAGAAATATACTGTACAGTAGCTGCAAATAACCTGCTACTTGTAAGTGAAGATGAAACAGTGAAACAAAGCATTATAACTCCTTCATTAATCATTAAAAAAGCTTCATTATCATTGTAAACTTGTTAGGTGCAATAAGGATTCATTTTGGAAAATAAAATTAAAGAATTAAAAGACAACTAAAAGGAAAGTACAAACATACATACACAAATAAATAAATAAATAAATAAATAAATAAATAAATAAATAAATAAATAAATAAATAAATAAAGCAGTGTTTTAACCTAAATATAGAAAGATGTGCAGTGTTTGTTATTTTAAAATGATAGGACTAAGACAGTCAATAAATAAGCTTTTTCATTTACGTTTTCATTTACATTTTCTTTGTTGATTATATTTTACTATCTCATTTTATGTTTTAATTATTGCACATAAATAATAAAAGAGTAATTAAATAGGCCTAAATAATTATTTATTTAAAGACATTACCAGCGGAACATGGAGAAACGATTTGGTGCCTGGTTTAAGGAGTTCTTAAATTGAATGCTACTTAATCAAAATACGTCAACCTCAAGCAGATCACTAAAATAAAATAAAAATAATTTTGCCGCAGGACGTATATTAAGTCCCGCAAGTTGATTTTTAAGAATTAATTTCCAGAGCCATATTTTACAGGAAAAAAACTCATCCTGCAGGGTCCGCAGGTGACATTCTATCTTGGCTCGCCATCGAACAGTGTTACAAACTACTCTCTTTCCTCTCTACATTTTGCAGCGACTTCACCATTGATAAAAGTAGTCAACACAATCTTTATACTTAGCAGCTTTCTGAAAATATGGTGTCAGATCCAGAAAGCAAAAAGTTTAAGTTGCCATCTACAACATTGTCCACCTCTACAGCTTATAACCACACCTTTAGGCCATCACTCAATGACTCTACATTTTCAATCTGGTCCAGTAAAGGAATGGTCACTGTAAAAGACTTGTACATGGATGGTAAATTTGCTACATTCCCTAAATTGCTGGTTTAGGTTGGTCTGACTCACTTCGTGGGTTCAGTCATTAATTTAAAAAAGCTATCCATTATGGAATGGTGTTAGCTAAGAAAAATATTCTTTATTTATGGAAAAAGGCATCAAAGCCACTTTTTAAATCCTGGCTTTCAGTTTCTCTACCACTTTACTTTTTTGTCTTTATAGTTGTTGCTTTTTGTATTTCACTGTGTTGCTTTAGGAAAATAAAAATATAATATTAAAAAAAATAATTTAGTTTCAGTTCAGTTCAGTTTTCAAAATGTCAATGTTCTCATTCAAATAATAATTGTTCGCTTTTTTAAACTATTTATGGCCCAGTATCTTTTGTGTTTTAATTTAAAATTTTTAACTACACCAACATTTTATTCATTTTACAGCAACTATAAAAAAAAAAATAAAAAAAAAACTAATCTAGTCCTATACACAGGAGCAGTCTTGAATGTCTTGAAATACAATCTGAACAGTATCTAACTTTAGATGAGGTAACCATAGTATAAATTAAATAATTTACTATTGAATTATTATTATTATTATTATGGGGCAGAGCTGTCAACTGATCCCCACCTGGTAGTGAGTTGTATCCGCTGGCAGGGGTGAAAGCTGGACAGACCTGGTAGGCCAAAGCGTATTGGTCCTCTAGGAATGTGTGGCTGAACCTCAAGTCAGAGGGATTTTCTACTCTCACCTCTGGAAGAGCTTTGACCAGATCCCGAGGGAGGCTGGAGACATGGAGACTGAGTGGTCCATGTTCTCCAACTCCATAGTTAACACGGCCGTGAGGAGCTGTGGCCATAAGGTCTGTAGTGCCTGTCGGGGCGGCAATGCACAAACCCGGTGGTGGACACCAGAAGTAAGGGTTGCCGTCAAGCTGACGAAGGAGTTCTACCGGTCTTGGTTGGTTTGCAGGACTCCCGAGACAGCTGATGCGTATCGATGGGCCAAGCGTGCTGCAGCCTGGGCGGTTGTGGAAACAAAAACACGGTCCAGGGAAAAGTTTGGGGAGTCCATGAAGGAAGACTATTGGTCGGCCCCAAAAAGATTCTGGCAAACTGTCCGTCGCCTCAGAAGGGGAAAGCAGCTCCACATCGACGCTGTTTACAGCGGAAGTGGGGAGCTGTTGACCTTAACTGGGTATGTGGTCAGGCGATGGAAAGAATACTTTGAGGATCTCCTTAACCTTACCGACATGTCTTTCATTGAGAAGCCGAGACTGGGTATGCAGGGGTGGACTCACCCATCACCCAAGCTGAGGTCACTAAGGTAGTTTCCAAGCTCTGCAGTGGCAAAGCAGCAGGGGTGCATGAGATGCACCCTATGCATCTTAGGTCTCTGGATGTTGTCACGCTCTCATGGCTGACACATCTTTACAACATCGCATGGAGGTCGGGGACAGTACCTCTGGACTGGGCAACTTGGGTGGTGGTTCCCATTTTTAAGAAGGGGGACCTGAGGGTGTTCTCCAACTATAGGAGGATCACACTCCTCAGCCTCCCGGGGAAAGTCTATTTCAGGGTACTGGAGAAGAGGATCGGGCCAATAGTTGAACCTAGGATCCGGGAGGAACAATGCATTTTTTGTCCGGACCGTGGCACACTGGACCAGCTCTATACCCTCACCAGGGTGCTCGAGGGTTCATGGGAGTATGCCCAACCAGTCCACATGTGTTTTCTGGACTTGGAGAAGGCATTTGATCGTGTCCCTTGTGGCATTCTGTGGAGGGTACACAGGGAGTATGGGGTCAGAGGTGATCTGTTGAGGGCCGTCTCGTCCCTGTATGAACAGAGTAGGAGTCTGGTTCGCACTGCTGGCAATAAGTCAGATTTGTTTCCAGTGCATGTTGGAGTCCGGTAGGGCTGCCCCTTATCACTAATTCTAGTGATAATTTTTATGGACAGAACTTCAAGGCGCAGCCTTGGGCTAGAGGGGGTCCGGTTCAGGTACCACAAGATTTCATCTCTGTTATTCGCAGACGATGTTGTTCTGTTTGCTTCATCGAACATGGACCTTCAGCATGCACTGGGGTGGTTTGCTGCCGAGTGTGACGTGGCTGGGATGAGAATCAGCACCTCAAAGTCTGAGGCCATGGTGCTCCACCGGGAAAAGGTGGTTTGCTATCTCCAGGTTGGAGGAAAGTCCTTACCCCAGGTGGAGAAGTTTAAGTGAGGGAAGGATGGAGCGTGAGATTGACAGGAGCATTGGTGCAGCAGCAGCAGTAATGCGGCCGATGTAACGGTCCGTTGTGGTGAAGAAGGAGCTGTGCCGAAAGGCAAAGCTCTCGATTTACCGGTCAATCTACGTTCCTACTCTCACCTATGGTCATGAGCTTTGAGTCATGACTGAAAGGACAAGATCTCGGATCCTCCACATCGAGAGAAAGTCAGCTGAGGTTGCTCGGGCATCTGTTTCGGATGCCTCCTGGACGCCTAACTAGGGAGGTGTTCCAGGCATGTTCCTCCGGGAGGAGGCCTCAGGGAAGACCACTGGAGGGACTATGTCTCTCTGCTGGCCTGAGAACGCCTCGGGATCCCCCCGAGGAGCTGGAGAAACTGTCTGGGGAGAGGGCAGTCTTGGGTTCTTTCCTAAGACTGCTGCCCCCGCGACCCGGCCCTGGAAAAGTGGCAGAAAATGAATGAATGAATAAGTCGTTGAAAAATAATGCACACCCAAGGTGGTAATGGTGTAAAACCTTGGGTGTGCATTATTTTTTCAATATTCAACGACATTTATTCATTCATTTTCTTTTCGGCTTGGTCCCTTTATTAAACTGGGGTCGCCACAGCGAAATGAACCACCAACTTATCCAGCATATGTTTTACGCTGTGGATGCTCTTTCAGCTGCAACCCATCACTGTGGAATAATTGAATGTCATGTCTTCTATTATTGCTTATTAACAAGCTTTTTACAATGACACATTAGTAAATGATGAAATTAACATTAACTATAATTAATTAATGCCATAGAAGTTGGTTCATTCAGAGTTCTTGTTAGTAACAGTAAGCTTATTGCAAAATAATACATTCAAGAGCAATATAAATGTTGTTAGCAATGTAGCGCTTTACATATGTGGTCATGTAATCAGATTTCCAGCAGTCTTTCTTCATAAACACAGCTGTTTTAGACTTTGTTTGTTAGTCATGTGAACATGGGTCGCAAATCTTCAAAGGAAAACATGGGTCTAGTTTTGAACCACTGAACTATTTTAAGCAACAGCAATGACTGTTACAGCAAAAGCAAAACAGCACAGCAGTCACCGACAGAGCTGTTATTATGTGTGTTAGACGTCTAATTTTCCACAGTAATCTTTTAACACAAACACTGATTAAAGCACTTTGAGTTCAGGTTCAGAAATGTCTCATCGTGGAGAGATTCTTTTAACAGATGTACAAGCTCTGAAAAAATAGATCATTTGAAATAATTAAATGGTGATTCTTTAGATTAAAATTTTCATTTTATACTACTGATAATGTACAGGGTATGTTTAGAACTTCAAATAAGGATATTATCATTAGAGCATTTATTTGTAGGAAATGATGATAGACCTTAAATTTTATGGGAAATGGGCATATTAATGTTTTCGGTTTGATGAATTGATTTAAATAATTTGTCATTGAACAATATAATGGCTTAAAAATGTACATTTGGCTAGGAACATGATGAAATATTCACAACTCAAAATTCAAGAAACTGAACAAATCAGCTTGTATGAGTCTCATATTAGTAGTTATGCAATATAATTGGACCAATGAGTGCAATTGTTTTGCAGCTCAAATGTAATTAAGTAGATATTTTGTTTAGTTAATATTGTAAGACACAAATATCGCAAATCAGAACATTACCTATAAAGCGAACAGATCATTTATTCCTCAAGGAATCCAGAATTTGGAAAAAAAATCTGTTATTCTGTGGGGTATGCATAGTTAATTACTTCATTTTCTTTTTGGCTTAGTCCCTTTATTAATCAGGGGTCGCCACAGCGGAATAAACCGCCTATTTATACAGCTAATGTTTTATGCAGCGGGTACAATTCCAGCTGCAACCCAGCACTGGGAAACACCCATACACTCTTGCATTCACTAACATGTACGCTACAATTTAGGATTTAATAGTTAAGTCAGTAATATTTTAAAAATGTTTTTGAAAGAAGTCCCTTATGCTCACTAAAGCTGCATTTATTTTATTGAATATACACATAATGAGGTTGTTTACTGTTTTATTAAAATTTAAACAATTTATTCCAGATTCATAGCTAATTTGCTTTCATCAGCCATGGTATATCAGAACTCATTATAATCAAATTATTTGCATTATTACTGATGTTAAAAATATTAGTGCTGCTTAATATTTTAGTGTAAACAATTCAACATTTTGATCATAAAACATTAAACGAAAAGCATGTCTCTGAAATAGACATTAGTGTAACATTTTTAATTAAAATTTCCTTGTTGAATAAAACTATTAATCCTACTCTGTTCCAAAAAAAATATATATATATGCTTATTTATGTAATAATCTAAACTAAACTCCTATTGATCCCAAACCTTCATATGGTAGTGAAAATCCTTCCAAAAAGCTACACTTACCTCAGTGTCCAAAAGATTTTATTCCTTCAATGTTCATAGGTAAAAGTAAACAATTGGAGTCCATTATAGTGATCGAAACACAACAGCCGAGCCTGCTGCTTCTGACTGACTAAACTGATACAACTAATCTGATTGCCTTAATCTGCAGGGTTAAAATGGCCATCAGCAAAGCCCTCTATTTCAATCTGACCACTACTGACTTCCACGATTAATCTGGGAAATGTTGAAGTGTATTGAGTGTTTTTTTTAAGTGTTTTATTATGTTATGTGGATATTTGGAGAATGTGTGCGCTTTTTTTGACATGTTTATACGTTTGTTTCTGTTGGATGAGTCAGATCTGAGCAGCTCAATGCTGGAGCACAGCTGACATGACTAATTCAGGATGAGGAGAGTTCGGACAATAGGCAGGAACGCCCTCTTCAATCAGGACACTGGATAAAGAGAGAAGTACTGCAGCTAAATGAAGCTTGCACAGCAAATACTGGACTTGCTCAGTTTGATTGGATAACCATTTAAGTGGTATTTAAATACACTTGTTTGAATATTTAGCAGTTGGCAGTATTTATTGTTTATCAGCTATTTTTACACAAATCAACTTAAAATGCCTTTGATTACATTTTGCTGTTGGTCCAAACCAGTATTTATACACGGTTAATGATTTCCGGAAGAGTGTACAGTAACTTACTGTAAATCAATTAAAGAAAAATACCGTATTTACATTAACAGCACCATTTATCTTGCTGTATGTGTATTTACAGCATTATATGTACTTTACTGTAAAATATAGATTAATTTTCCCAACAAACTTTAAAATAAATAACACTGTATAATTGTTGTACACTAAAACCTCACATTATAGTTAAATTATGTGTAATTTACTAAATAAATGTTAATGTTAATGTCAATAACTTTCTGTAAATCTATTTTAAACAAAAAAGCTGTATTTACATTTACAGCACATTTACCTTGCTGTATATGCATTTATGTATTATTATGTAATTTTACAATGCAACTTTAAAATACAGCAACATACTAAATAACTGACAGTAAAATTTGGTTAATATTGCAGTTAAATATGGTGTAATTTACAAAACATGATAACAGTGTAGCTGTAGTGCAGCCGTCTGCCGGTAATTTGATTTCTGATAGAATCTACAGTAACTTACTGTAAATCAATTACAGCAAAAATACATTTACAGCACCATTTATCTTGCTATATATGTAATTGGAGAATTGTATGCCTTTACTGTAAAATATATGGTGTTTTTCACAATGCAACTTTAAACAGTAACATACCACATAATTGCCATACACTAAAATTCTGTTTATACTACAGTAAAATACTGTGTAATTTACAATCGATGTCAACAGTGTAATTTGTAGTGCAGCTGTCTGCCAGTAACTTACTGTCAAATAAGTTACAGCAAAAATACTGTATTTACATTTACATCACCATTTATCATGCAGTATATTTATTTACAGTATTTGATACCTTTACTGTAAAATATAAGGTAATTTTCACAATGCAACTTTAAAATACAGTAACATACTGCATAACTGTCCTACAGTAAAATTCAGTTCATATTAAATACAGTGTAATTTACCAAGATTGTTAACGGTGTAGATCAGCCGTCTGTCAGTAACTTTCTGTAAATCAATTACCGCAAACATACTGTATTTACATTTACAGCACCAATAACTTTGCTGTTAAATGCATTTACAATATTGTGTCTTTACTGTATTTTATAGTTGTATTGTGAGAATTGTTGATTCTTAAAATACAGTAAAATACTGCATAAATGTCCTAGGGTAAAATGCGGTTCATTTTACAGTACATTCCTGTGTAATTTACAAAGTTTGTTAACATGTAGTTATAGTTTGTAGTGCAGCTGTTCGCCAGTAACTAACTGTAAATTAATTACACCAGAAATGCTGTATTTACATTTACAGCACATTTATCTTGCTGTATATGTATTTACAGCATTGTATGTCTACTTTACTGTAAAATACAGTAATTTTTTACAATGCAATTTCAAAATACAGCAACATAATTTTCCGACAGTAATTTTTTCAACTGCATTATTTTCCGACAGTAATATTCAGTTCACATTAGGTAAATACTGTGTAATTTACAAAAATCGTTAACAGTGTAGTTTGTAGTGCAGCTGTTTGTCAGCAACTTACTGTAAACTAATTACACCACAAATACTGTTTACATTTACAGCACCATTTAACTTGTTGTACATGCATCTACATTATTAAATGTCTTTACTGTAAAATAAACAGTAATTTTTACAACGCAACTTTAAAATACAGTAACTTACTGCATAACTGTCCTACAGTAAAGTACAAAAATCTTTAACAGTGTAGTTTGTAGTGCAGCCGTCTGCCAGTCACTTATTGTAAATTAATTACAGCAATTATACTGTACATCACATTTATGTATTGTATGTCTTTATGTATTGTATGTCTTCTTTACTGTGAAACATAACGCTAATTTTCACAATACAACTTGAAAATACAGCAACATACTGCATCACTGTCCTACAGTAAAATAATTCAGTTAAATTTACAGTAACAGTAAATATGGTGTAATTTACAAAAATTGTTAACAGTGTAGTTTGTAGTGCAGCCGTCCGCCATTAACTTACTTTAAATCAATTACAGCAAAAATACTGTATTTATCTATATTTATATACTATTTATGTTGCTGTATATTTATCTAGAGCATTGTCTTTACTGTAAAATAGAGTAATTTTCACAGCGCAACTTTGAAATACAGTAACATACTGCATTATTGTCGTACTCTAAAATTCAATATACATTACAGTTAAATACTATGTAATTTATTAAAAAAGTTAACATTGGAGCTGTAGTGCATCCATCTGCCAGTAACTTAGTATAAATTACTTACAGCAAAAATACTGTATTTACATTTACAGCACCATTTATCTTGATGTATATTTACAACATTGTTTGTCTTTACTGTAAAATATATGGTATTTTTCACAATGCAACTTTAAAATACAGTAACATACTGCATAATTGTCCTACAGTAAAATTCGGTTCATATTAGTTAAATTTTGTGTAATTTACAAAAAAATGTTAACAGTGTAGTTTGTAGTGCAGCTGTTCGTCAGTAACTTACTGTACATCAATTATAGCAAAATTACTGTATTTACATTTACAGCACCATTTACCTTGCAGTATATGGATTTAGAGCATTGTATGTCTTTACTTTAAAATAGAGTAATTTTCACAATGCAACTTTAAAATACAGTAACATACTGGGTTATTTTTGTACTCTAAAATTCAGTTCATATTACAGTTAAATACTGTGTAATTTATAAAAAAAATTGTTAACATTGGAGATGTAGTGCAGCTGTCTGCCAGTAACTTAGTATAAATTACTTACAGCAAAAATACTGTATTTACATTTCCAGCACCATTTATCTTGATGTATATTTACAACATTGTATGTCTTTAATGTAAAATATATGATAATTTTTACAATGCAACTTTAAAATACAGTAACATACTGCATAACTGTCCTACAGTAAAATTTGGGTCATATTAGTTAAATTTTGTGTAATTTTCAAAGATTTTTAACAGTGTAGTTTGTAGTGCAGCTGTCCGTCAGTAACTTACTGTAAATCGATTACAGCAAAATTACTGTATTTACATTTACAGCACCATTTATCATGCAGTATCTGTGTTTATAGTAGGGCTGTGCAATTAATCAAAAATCCGATTTTGATTTTAGCTTCTAACGATTATGAAAAAACATTAATCGAGATCAATGATTATTAACTTAGCAGCGCAAAAGGCCGCATGCTTATGTGTGTGTGTGTGTGTGTGTGTGGCGCGCACTTACAGAAGCATGCGGTCTTATTTGCACACTGAGACGAGCAGAGCACAGTCAGCGCACACATCTAAAGTCATCTTAATGTGAGCGTTTTAATGGTCAAATAGGTGTCAAAATGCGGTGTTTAGTGATTATTCATATTAAACCTCATTTGTGTGATAAAAGAATCAAAAGACGTGAAAGAGAAACCATTAAAGTAAAAGTGCGCAATGTTCCTGCTGCTGCCTGTTTTTAGGATTATTAATCAAACAACAAAACGAGAAAATCTCTCAGTGCTCTTGACTAAAGGACTTTTGTAGCTAAAGTGTTTTTCTTACAGTGAAGATGTTTAAAGCACAGTTTGTTTCATATTTTTATTCGATTGTATTTATTTCTCTTTTCTTTTGCAGGGTGGAAAATAACTGTATTAAAGTCAGAATTATTAGCCCTCCTGAATATTAGCAACCCTTTTCCTCCCCAATTTCTGTTTCATGGAAAGAAGATTTTTTTCAACTTAATTCTGAAGATAATAGTTTTAATATCTTATTTCTAATAACTGATTTCTTTCATCTTTGCAATGATGACAGCTCATAATATTGGACTATTTTCAAAATACAAGCATTTAGATTCAAAGTGCGATTCAAAGACTTAATTAGGGTAATTAGGCAAGTCATTGTATAACAGTAGATTCTTCTGCAGACAATCAAAATTTTTATTACTTAAGGGGGCTAATAATATTGACCTTAAAATGGGTTTCAAAATATTTAAAACTGCTTTTATTCTAGCTGAAATAAAACAAATGAGCCTTTCTACAGAAGAAAAAAATATCATAGGAAGCACTGTGAAAATTCCTTGCTCTGTTAAACATGTTTTGGGATATATTTATTTAAAAAAAAAAATTCTCAGGAGCGTTAATAATTTTGACTTTAACTGATAATCGTTTTGAATAATCGTGATTACAAGTATGACCAAAATAACCATGATTATGATTTTTCCCAAAATCGAGCAGCCCTAATTCATAGTATTAAAAGTCTTTACTGTACAATATAGTCACTTTCACAATTCAACTTTAAAACACAGTAACATACTGCATAACAGTAAATTACAGTTTACTTTACAGTTAAATACTGTGTAATTTACAAAAATTGTTAACAGTGTAGCTGCTTACTCTGCCCTATGAAGGGATTGGTACATTTATATTCTACTAAATTTATTGCTACTTATTGTTACTATAAATATCATTTTAATTAACATTTTGGGATTTATCCTTTTTATTAGTTTCAGTCTTTTTAAAGAGAAGGTTCACTCACTATTTACTCAAGTGGATCCAACCCTTTATGATTTATCTTTTCTGTTGAACACAAAATAAGATATTTTGTCAATGGTTACCATTTCTGGCTTCAGAATAATGCCCAAAGAAACCCAAATAGGATTATGAAAAGTGAAAGATGAGTACATGATGAGAGAGTTAAGTTTTGTGTGAACTTTGTTTTATTTAGACTTTAGTTTTGTTTTTGATCATTTAGCTTCTCAATTTAACTGTTTTAATTCAGTTTGTTGCCGAGTCAGCCTTTTTTGACTCACTAGCTTCTTATGCTAATTAAGGCTGCTTTTATTTGCAGCTTTCATGTCTAATTCACTCATGAACAAAAGAAAAACCCAGAAAATGTATATATTTTTTTCTAAATATTTAATCCGCAAACATGTTGCAAGTCTTCAAGGATATGTTTATGGCAGCAGGTTATGTGTACAAAATGTAAACGAATGCATATATAACTGTGAATAAAACAGAAACAGATGCACTCACTCAGCCTAAACACAAGAGCAGAAGTGTTTTCAAAATATATATATATATATATATATATATATTTATACTGTAACTGATTTATTATGTGTGATGGCAGTGATGATGCAGTGGCACAGCATTAAATGCAGATTAAAAAGTTAGGCTTAGCAAGTGCATCCCAATGAGCAGGTTGGCATGAATATACAGACAATACTGTACACAATTCTGTTGAGTTTATACAATTATTACACAGAAGATCTGAAACGTCGATTATTTACTGATATAGAAGTGTCTCTTAAAACCTCTGGATGGCCAACATACAGTATCACAGTCAATGAGATAATGAGAATGAGACACATTTGGCATAAGCATTCAGAAACAATAATAAAAAATAAGGAAAAACTGCTCACTTGTGGATAAGTGAATGTCACAAATGATTTGGACCTTTGCTGATACTTCTGGCTCAAACAGTAGCTTAAAGGGACTTTAACAAAAAATTCATTGAGACGTTTCACCCCTCATAATAGTCTTACCCTTTCTCAAAGGGATATTAAAACAATTTCATATATACAATATGGCACAAATGTTGACAAAAAAATACATACAATAGCAGACAAATCTACAAGACTATTATAAAATGACATTTTGAGGGCCGTGTATTAAGCCAATAAGGGGCTTTCACACCAGATAGTTAAAGAAACTAAACAACATGCCCAGTTCTCCCAAAGCTATATTCTCTAGTTGCCCTCAGCAACTCTAAAGTACTGTAATCCAGTTGATATGGAGCACTAGATGATGGAGGACAGTGTGATTAAAGCTGTGCTTTCATTGTGTGTTTTCGTGATAATGAAGATGGAACACAAAGCACAAAGTAAGACTAAATCACTTGTCAGCTGTTAGCTCAGCAGCTCTTCGATGCGTACACCCACACCCACACACACACACACACACACACACACACACACACACACACACACACACTCTAACTGATTCTAATTGGGAACCATTTTATTGAGTTAGTTTGTGTTGTGTAGTATACAAACGGCACATTATTTTTACTTTGTGACACATAATCAATCAATGTATTAGTGGGACAGTACAGGCTACGTGTGTGTGTGTGTGTCAAACATTTTGTTGAATTACATTTGTTTGGGTTGGTTATATGTTTGAAAGAAAGAGAAAATGTTGACTTTAGCGATGACGAGACTCCATTTAAACAACACAAGATGCTGTCTGACAACAAGGGGAAAATGCCTTACAGCAGTTGTTTTCCATCCCATACACTCACGTTTTTTAAAATAATCAATCCAGGAGGTGGCGCTGATCGTCAACAGTAATAGTTCAAAGATGATAAAAGCAGGTAAAACAGATTAAAACTATGGTCTCAAAGCTGGCCAAATGTGACTGTTTATAAACATCAGCTGCCGACGGGAAGTTCTTAGCATTCTCCTTGCGCATACACGCAAAGCATAATGGTTAGTTTTGCTTTCTAAGAAAAAGGTCTATACTTAACCTTTTTAAACTTCTGTTTTCTTCTCAAACAAAGAAAGATAAAGAATCTTGTTTGAAGTGTAACAGAGCCTTTAGACTAGGCATGGGACGATGACCGTTTTCACTGTATACTGCGGTTTGGAAAAGTCAAGGTTTTAAAACTGCCAAAATTTTCTGTAATATCGTTCCTAAGGTATGTGTGAGACTTTTTAGTAACATTTTTTTTTTTTTTGAACAAGAGTATCTCCAGCAGAAAAAAATATTAAAAGATGCCATTTTTAATTGTAAACAAATCAATTAAAAATGGAAACTAATAAAGACAGCAGAAGTCAATTCATTGAATTACTTAGCCTGACATGTTTACTGCTCCAAAATATTTTAAAAGTTTCTCAAAATAAAATATATTGTGTTCAAAAAGGAACAAAGTTTTTATTTTTTACCCAGAAATTTAAAAAGAGCATATTTTAGAAGAGGAATTACAATACCGTGAACCCATGATATTTTTATCCAAGGTTATCATACCATCAGAATCTTATACCAGCCCATGCCTACTTTGGACCCTGCACCAACCTGGGAAACAATTTAGTTCCTGCGGTGCAAACAAGCCAAAAAGTTGGTAGTTCTGCTAATAGTTCTAGGAACAGTAAAATAGTTCCACTGATGTGAAAGCCCCTATGCTGTACCATGCAGAAGAGTTTACACAAAATGAGCCTCTCGATGCTCCAGCTCCTGCATGCGGCGACTGCGTCTCTGATAGAGGGGTTTGGCATCTGTCGGGCTGAGCTCCTCAGTGCTGGAGACTGGAGACTGAGGTGGAGAGAGTGTAACTGGGCTGAGCAAGTCGCTCTCTGACAGTCCTTCCCCTGCTCCTCCTGACACACTTCTGCTCACTGTTGTAAAAGTGGGCTTGGATGTCAGAGCGACAGTCACTGATGTTGTTGGCGTGGTGGGGGGAGTCGTGACCGCTGTAGAGATCGTCATGACTGATGACGTGCTGGCTGTTGTTAATACAGTAATGGCTGTTGTGTAAATTGCTCCTGTGGTAGTGGTTGGCGCTCTTGAAACTGATTTTGCCAGCAAGTCAGATGGCTTCAACTGGCCTCCAGAGGGAGGTCTATAGAACGTTCCAGGAGAAGAGGGTTTTAGTGTCCGTGCTGCTCTGAACGATATTGGAGCCACACCAGACTGGCTTGTACCATCTTTTCTAGAGGTGCTGCTTTGGGATCCCATACTAATTTCAGGCTGTTTCTGCACACCGGAAGGTGGCAGGTTGGCCACTATCATTGCAGTCCTGGGCGTGACGTCATAATGTCTGTACTGCCTGTCCCAGGTCCTCCTCAGCGTCTGAGTGTCAATGAAGGGGTTCCTGTAAAAGTTGGTGTGCCGTGGTGTTGTCGGTTTCTCTGGTTCAGTGGTCTCCTCAATGGCGGCGGGTGAGTGATCATGCTCCACTGTGTTGCGGCTGTTGCGTTCGTTGAGTAGGCGGTCTATGGGCATGCTGATTGGTCGAGACACCGGCTTGGCACGCTGAGGTCTCAGCTGCACCATTCGGCTGCTGGCACCAGGCCGGTTGAACACAGATGTGGAGTCAACAGAAGTCAAACCAACCCCGTTGACATCTGAGCCCTCACCTGCTTGAGAAAAAAAATACTTTTTTATACAATTACATACACATCAAAACAAACATCTGAATAGAGTTAAAATGTTATATTACACTTTTTTTTAAACCTTAGGTGCTCAAGATTGTCGATCTTTAAAATTTTAGCCTACTTAAGGGGCAGCAGTTTTCATTATAAAGTGAACTATCCCTTTAAATTGACAAATACAGGTTCTGTTCAAGGTTATTATTGTTAACGAAAATTAACGAAAAAACAAAACTAGAATTGAAAAATCCTTTTCGTTAACTGAAATAAAAATAAAAAAAAGAGTTTTTAAAAATAAAAAAAAACTAGAAATAACTGAAAATGTATTGTGTACATACAAAACTAACTGAAACTAACTAAAATTATAGCAAAAACGTCCTTCTTTTTTGCCTTTGTAAATGTATTTAATATATAAGCCTTTTAGAAGGAAATCTATTAACTCCACAATGCCAGTTTTACGCCAGGTGTTTGAGCTGTATGGCACGTCAGAGTCTAGTCCTGCTGCCAGCATTAAATAGGACCTGAGCAGACACTTAAAAGTATAAATTTAACACATTTGTGTCCAATTTTGGGTTTTATATCCATATTAGTGAGCCTGATCCCAAAACAAAGCATTCTATTTAACTGGATCTTCTAAGTGAACCGGTTGAACTAGTTCAACAAATCGAACTGAATCATTTGAAACGATTGGCATCTCCAGTAAGCACTTTTCCACAAACTACTTACTTTTTAACATGCTTGTTAAAAATGCTAATTAATGCTAATTTCCAGAGTTATTTAGTTATTAGAACACTAAACAAAGATCGAATTTGAGAACGGGTAAACACATAATACAGCGCATGTGTGATTCAGTGAAACAAACACAAACAGTACATGACAGCCTGCTGTGACTGAACTAAACTTGAACAACTGCAGCGCGGGTAAACCGAGGGCTTAAATGAGAGGATCTGGCGAAACGCATGTTTATTTCACAACAAAAAAATTGTAATGGAATTTAAATAAGTAAATCATGCTTTATTTGGGTTGCAAAACTTAATTTTAAGAAACTTTTTTTTAGATCATGTTAATGTTTTAACTGACTGAAATTATGATTGCTGATTACATATTTTTTGATATGTTGAGTCCTAACAAGAGGGGATTGTCACGAAAGTTCACTTAAACGATCTGAACTTTCCATCACTACTGTGCATCTAACCTCAGATACAGCCTTGCACACATATTGAACAGTACCTAGGCCTGCTACTGTATCTTGTGGGCTGTTATATTTGAATTTGAGGATGGGTACTGTAGATGGTAGTGTTCATGTGTCCTCTGAATACAGGTTCATCTTTGGTTGAGTTATTATAGTATATTCTGATGATTTTGTATCTTGCACCTAACAAATACTCTAATTTATAAAACTAATACTGAAACTAATCAAAACTAAACTAAAACCAAGCGATTTCAAAATATAGAAACTAATAAAAATTTGTAAATCTGCCCCTAAAAACTAATTAGAACTAACTGGATTTGAAAACAAAAACTCAAAACAAAATAACAACTAAAACTAATTAAAAAAAAACTATTATAATCGTGGTACAATCAGTATCTAAAACTCTTTGAGCTTGGCTACTTTTGGTCACTTCAAAAACGAAAGCAAGGACAAAAGCATTTTCTGTCATTTCAGTGTGTGGGTGACCAATTTTAGTGGAAAAGAATGATTGTGTACATGCAGACTGCTATTAGACCAAAGAGTCATTTTCAGATTTATCTGGATTAGTGTAAATGTAGTCTCATACTAACCAGATGTTTGTACTCTGTGGTCTCCAGTCTTCATTTCCTTCCCTTCCTCCATGAGCTGAGCTGGGATGATCACAGACGAGTGTCTCTTGTAGAGTTTTGCACTCTGAATGAGGAGAAAAAACAAATCAAAAACTTTAATATCTCCTTAAATTAATCCTACCGAGTCTGGTTTCTATTCTCTAGGCCATCCTACCTCTTTGATGTCCATCAGGGATCTAGAGTGACGGCTGAGTTTGGACTCTTTGTCCTGGATGCTGGACCCAAAGGAAGCCTGTGATACAGTTGGACTGGTTGGAGACATGGGGCTGAGGGGCACGTCAAAGATCATCTGATGGTGTTTGATGAGCAGCTCCACCATGCGGGCCTGGTGAGGATAGTCAACCAGGGAGGAAAGCGACACTTCTGCCTCCAAATGTCTGGGCTTAATGAGCGTGGGGCCAAAGATGATGCCCAGGTTACTAGCGGTCATCTTGTTCTCCTCAGCTTGCTCTGAAACTCTGCAGAACAATTAACAAAAATGTGATTAAGTGCTGGGTTATATTTCACTAAACACATTCCAAACACTCATTTTAAAAGCATACTGGTAAACTTCAGACGCAATAGAAGAACAAACTCAAATGACGTCATTTCAAACAAATTCCAGCTGAAACCAAGTTCTTTTTCAGTTTGTTTTAGCTGTTCTACAAAACAAACCACAGCAAACTTTTGAGGGAGTTCGTTTTGGCTTCTAAACACCTTCGTCGTACCATTGGTCCATGGTGATTACATAATCAATAGGTGTGTTCTGAAACTGAACTCGTCTGACCCCCCAATTTATCTCTAATATTAGGGATTAGACAAGAAAACAGCATCCAAAACAACACTAGCCAAATAAATACACAGGAGTGTAAAGTAGCAGAGCTGGTACAGATATATCTGTAAACTTCTAGTTGTGGCGCGATGTTGAGTAGACTCGAAACAGAGCCCTGCATCAAATACTGATCTAAAACTACTTCTTTAGCTCAACTAACACTAATAGACTGATTCCATTTAAACACAGAAACATCCTAAGATGCCACTAAAACAAATTAAAATGACAGAGAAACAAGGCAAATCGAAAAAAGCAGATGTTAAATCAAATGAAGCTAATGGCGAAGAGGGATCACCACGTGCTAGCCAAGAGTCTGCGATTCTTGAGGCTGAAACCGGACTTTGATGTGTGACTTGACGGTTTACTCGAGTCAATTAACAGAGTGCAGTGCAAGCTTAAAGCTCAAACAAAGAGAGTAACAGAAACTGAAGATCATATCGGCAAGAAGATACTCAAGAAGACAACGTCTCTGAGCTGCAAATGCAAAATTGCAACATGGCACAGAAATCCTCTCATTAACTGTACAATTGCTCATAGAGAGATTTTGAAGGCTCTGATGGAGTCAGACACCAGACAAAAAAAAACACATCATTACACTATTACACATATCATGCACTAGAAAAAGATGTGATGCGCCACCATGGCTGTTAGCTAGATGTTTATGAAACTCTTCTCTCTCTTAGCCACCATTGGTGTTTTTATCAGGTGTTAACATCTTTTTACCCTTAAACGAAGAACGAAAATAAAGTTAGTCTAAGGGTTTTTAGGTTCTGGTTTTGTGCTATTGTACCTGTGCAGATGTGTGACGAGGAACTGCAGGGTTTTGTAGTGGGGCGCAGGAAGCTGTCGAAGGAGATCTCTGACTTTGAAGAGCACTCTTTTCAGCTCAGTGCTGAGGCCCAGCTGCTCTCCTGCTGATTTCTCTTTAGCTGAGTCTGTCTTGTCCATGTTCTGAGTTTCTTTCGCCAGCCCAATGACATCGTTATAATAACGATACAGAATCAACGGCTCTGGCAACTGAAAAACAAATAATTCTTATTTATTTTTCCTGTTAGACAATGTCAATCAAGGTAGGTTTAATAAATGTATTATTTTTTCCCTTAATGAGCTATCAAACTCTCCAATTTACAACAAATACCATTTATTTGCTCAACGACTAACAGATTTTTTAAAAAACCCTTTAAATTCTGATTGCATATGCTTTTTTGTTGTTGTTGTTGTTTTTTAGTTTTAACCCTCATAATGCATTTGGATTCATTTTGACAATGAAGAAATATACATACACATTCCTAAAAAAGTGAATAGGGAGCAACACAAAAAAAAATCCAATTTATTTCTTTTATATTAATTATTTAAAAACATTTAAAAAAATATATAACCATTTAAATTATGGTAAACAGACAATGTTTCGCGTTTGGTTAATTTTGCACTATATTTGAAGTATTAATCTGTGTCAAAAAACATATTTCAGTTGGGGCAATAGCCTAGTGGTTACAGCGCTGCAATCTAGTCCGAGTTCGAATGCCTGCATGAGGACATTTCCCAACCTTACCCCCCTCTCTCTCTCTACCACTTCGTTTCCTGTTTCATTACTGTCCTATCTAATAAAGACAAAAAGGCCAAAATTAATAAATAAATCTTTTAAAAAACAATAATATATGGCTACATAGGTGAAAGCAACCAATCTCCTGTGCCATGTAGTTAATGACTGTATTTTCTACGAAGGTTATGGTTTTATGGTGTTGATAAGAAAATCATGTACTTATTTTATCAAGCTTTGTTTGTCAAGTGTTTTTAGGGATGATCTATCAACATGGTATGGCAATCTTTCTGTAAATCTGAAATTAAAATATTTTTAATATTATCAGAACTGCTACAAAACTAATAGGATCTGAAACTTTTACTAGTATACAAATATTACGAGCAATGCACTCAGAATGAAGTGAAAAGAATTTTAAGTAACCCATCTCATGTACTCTTTCCATTTTTCCTTTTACCTTCTGGTAGAAGATACAGAACTTTTTGCTGGAAGCGCAACAGACTTAAGAACTCTTTTATTCCAGTGCCAATCATTCTGTTGACCACTGATCGATAATGTATGTAATTCTTTTGCATGTTGGCTTATTTTTAATTGTCATTGTGTCAGAACCTGCTGAAGTGCATTTTTTTTAAGTATCCGAAACCAAAACTGCTTAAAAAATGGGTGAGAACTATAATGTCAAGTTTCATAAAGATGATGAATCTAGGATTGTTTGTTTGACCACACCTGTCTCAGGTAAAGCTTCAGCACGTTGCTTATGTCATGCGGGTGGAGGTCAGAAAGCTCCACTAAGTCCTTTCCATTCTCAAAGGCCTGGCACAGCTTTTCCACACGAGACTTCGCCCCATTCACCCGATAAATGCCCTTAAAATACATTAAAAAAAAGACGTGACTTAAAAAATGACTCAACACATTGAATAAAATCTACTCCATTCAGTTGCATCGCGGCTTTTAATAATAAGCCAATGTTTACCTTAATGGTCAGGGCACGACTCTCGATTTCTGAGGTGCATTTTTTGATGATGAAAGGGATGCCGTCAGGACTGTTCTTTACTACTTGGGCAAAGTCAATCCCGAAGAGGTGCAGTCTGCCCTGGAGCTTCTTATGACCACACTGAATGGCAAGAGTCTCCAGACATTTCTTATGACAGGCCAGGGAGCACTACAGAATATCAGATCATAGAATGGGTACCAGCTCTAATAAAGCCTGAACACAGTCTATTTAACTGTTGATTATGATGATGATTGTACCTCCTCACACTCTGCCCCATGGAAGACCACCAGACTGTCACACTCTCTGCATTTGGAAGGCGCTCGCAGTTTTCGTAGTTTGTGTGTGTGAGCTGCTTTTGACATTTGGGCATTGCGGAAAGGGCCTGGAGAACTGGCTGTTTCCATCACCATTTCAGAGAGGCCTTAGACGAGAGAAGACAAGATACGTTTGAAAAACTGATTTACAAATAGTTTTAAAAACACTGAGCTGGTGCACCAATGAATAAAGCTTTGGTATGGCCATTGTATCATCAATAATCTTAAAACAATAGTTCACCCCAAAAAAGAAAATGTTGTCATACAGTAATTTCCTCACCCTTCATTTCACATAAAAATAAAATATAGATACATAAAAAGGTCTAAAAACTGCAAAGAATTAGTAATGGAGCATCAGAATTTGCAGTTTTCTTATTATTATACAGATATTTAACCCTTTCAAATATATATATATAATGTTATAAAATTTAGTTTTAGGGTCATTTTGGATTATATTCAGGGTTCTTACACTTTTTCAAAGTTCAGACTGTTAGCACTTTTTTAGCACTTTCCAGGTCCATTTTCAAACTTTTGAACTTTTTTTTCAAACAAAAATATTTGTACAGTACTTCTTCATCACATGACATCTGATCCTAATTGTTTTTTTATTCTATAGTATAGTATACTGCAGCATTCTAAGGATAATTTTGATAGCATGTTTACTCCAGGCCCAACACTGAGCTGCTTTCATTTACTTTCTTAAATGTAATTTACTTGTATCTTAAATGTGTAACATTCCATCTTAAATGTATATTTGTTTTAATTTCAAAGAGAAAAAAGCAGATCATGCTACAGGCACATGTGCAGACTTCAGCATTTTTTCATTTAATGCAAAAGCAAAGAGATTCATTTTAGAGATTTTGGTGCGTCAGAACGAGGACGACCAGACTCAAGAAAAGCTTTTTCCTAAAAGCAATTACCATCCTCAACTCACACATACCATCTAACATTTACATATTGTAAATATCTCCTGTCTCCAGAATTGTTTATTCCCCTCACCCTAGTGCTTGTCATCCCCTATTTTGCACTACTGTTTATCGTCTAGAGTTATTTGACTGTAACTTGTTGTTTAGTGTGATTTGTACTTACATGTTTGCACTGAGTAATGATATTCACTAAATCTCATCACACATGTATGTAATAAATAAAATGACAATAAAAGACATTCTATTCTATTCATTTTTTTTTTATTTGAATAGCTAACTATTATTACCTATTTTGTAAGATATATTGAAAATTACATTTTCAAGCAATTTCATGCACTTTCAATTTTTTTTGAAAACACTAAAATAAAATTCAAGCTTTTTTAAGGATTTTCGGCACCTGTAAAATCCCGTATTTTTTCTAGACTTTGTATATAAAATGTACTTATTTTAAAATTTACTAATTTATTTTTTTGCCCACAACACAGAATTTTGGAACAGTACATTGTTGTTAACATAAATAGAAATGCACATTTGTAAGTTCATTCTTTTTTACCTGACAGTGAATACAAATGAAATTAGTACACTGTACAACCCAAAAAGTTAAGGTAACTCAAACCATTTGAGGAAACCGATTGCAACAAACCATTTAAGCTCAAAAACTAATCCTAATGAGTACTGTGAACTTAATCAAATAGAGTAAATGAAGCAATTTGAGCACAGTAAAACCCAATAAATGAAGAGAACTCAAACCAACTGAGTACTGTAAAACCCAATAAGTTAAGGCAACTCAAACAGTTTGAGGAAACTGATTGCAACAAACCACTTCAGTTAAAAAACGAATCTATATGAGTACTGTGCACTTACTTCATTAAGTTGAAGTAATGAGGTATTGAATTAACTCATTATCTTCAACACTGAGTTTAAAACTCTTTTCAAATGAGAAGAATTAACTTTCAGTCAATTTTGAGTTCACTTCACTTATTTCATTTTAAAAAGTTGACTGTTAAGTTTTACAGTGTAAGTGTAAAGGTTATGTATACTGATCTGATGTTGTTTTGTTAGAAATAAATATGTATATTGGACATTTTTCGCTTACTATGGAAGCAAATGGGGACAATCAATTTTTTTCTTAATTAATCAAAATGTCTCCTTTCTGTATTTATTAAAAAAAATAAACATTATCTTTACATTTTAGGGGGAAATAAAAAGACATTGAATGATTCCGGGTTTTATTTCCATGAAATTAATGACTAAGTATTTTTGGAGGAACTGTAATCTTTCTGCTTCCTCAACTGTATTTCCCTACTTTTAAGATCTGTTTACATTCATCAATTATGACTGAAAAGCAACACTTTTGTTGGACAGGAACTGTTAACTGTGGCATTTTGCCAACATCAACATCAAGCCCATCTGCGCAGCTGCACTAAAAGCAAAAACATGGGCGCGAGCAATTCAGCACTTGTGTAACAAACACAAACTTGTGGTGTGTCATCACACATCTATGAACACAGACGCTCACAATCACGCTATTCACTTTGGACTACAAACCAGTATCGGATGGGGAAGGTGGCTCCCTCTCATCCAGGTCATCCGCAGAAGACATGGTACCAGTGGAGGGAGTTCTGGGAAGCCTGCGTTTGAAATCTCCTGTAAAATGAACACACACACACACACATATGTTAGATATTTCCGTCCTGCAGAGTACTTCTCCATCCTGTCCACTGAGAACTAGGTCAGCCGCTTTACAAGCAAAACTTACAAACATGCCTAAACCAGCAATATTTTTAGAGGAACTTCTTTTAAATTTGAACACATATGTAGAGCTCAACAATTAAAATGGAAGATTCAATTAGCTAGAGTGAAAGCCTTTTAGTATGTGACAATAACTGAATTGTAACTTTTCTGATCAGGCCGGTGTTTCATTACATTTGTTGATGTTGTTTGCTAGTTTTTCTGTGATTGAATGTTGTTGTATTGAAAATAGTTACTTGAAAATGTGCATATGTATATCTGGCTAAACTACATGATGTATCAGTTTATAACACATTATATCCCATAACATCAGATGTCAAATTATCAGCTGTGAATCTGAATATCGCCATCAAATTCAAAACATATACTCAGGAGATGTGTGGCTTTTGACCTATTACATTTCTGTATTGCTCCAGGACTAAATTCATATATTTGTTTCTGAAATAATCAAATGTTCTGTGCGGTGCATTTTTTTTTTTTTTACATTACTAAAGCATCTATAACTTTTTTTTTCATTTTGAGCATTATAAACTCTAGATCAGGGGTGCATAAAATTTTTGCATGAAGGTTCAAAAACCAATTATCATTGAGAGCCGTGAGCCGAAGATAAAAATACTAAACTATTTTACATTAAAGTTGCCATGGTTAATTTCCTTATTTATTTAGAAAACATTGCTTTTAATTGTGTTAACTAATGCGATATAATCATTTTTTTTTTATTATAACCTATTGCAATAAAAACATAAATAATCACATTTATAACACAGTGGAGTTAAATGCTGAATACAGTAGTCAAGCAGAATATGCCTTTGCCTTGATTTGCTCATCAAAGTCTCTGCATTGTTCTCTGTTTGTCGGTTGACGGTATTTAGGTTTTAAACTAAATTACAGCATTTAAACTGAAATATTTCATTTATCATTTCATATAACAATAAAACAAACTATTAAAAGTGTAATATCTCAGCACTTTATCACGTCCTCCAACTCACCAGGGGGTGCAGCGATATTGCCCTATACTCCTCAACATTTGATGGCGGTAGTGACTCTTGTTCCTTTAAACTCCCCTGTAATCAGCCTATTCACCGCCACCTGTTCTTTGCTCTATATTCACCTTATTCTTCGCAGACGAGCGAGCGCTGCCATTTGAATCTTTTTGGCTCGAGACTTCCGGTCTCATTCACTTCCATTCATTTTTTAACATTAAAAACTGCTCGTTTTACTGCTTGATGCTGCAAACTGATATTTCCTTATTATATTATTCTACTTGGTCTATATAGTCATGCACACTTTTGTTTGTAGAGCGAGTAGTCTTACTGCTTTCTGCCGTTTAATATTCCTAGTCATTTCTCCCATAGGCGACTGAATCGGAAGTTCTAAAACAATCGTGAAAACAGGCGCATTTTAGAATAAGGTCAATAAGACTGCTTTGTATCTTGCTCTGTGTTCAGTTCTGAACCCTACCTCATAGTTGCCTCGGCAGTGTTCAGTTAAGTTATTCTCAAGATTTTTTTGCTTGCATTTTATTGTTCTGAGACCCTTTTGTCTATATTATTTTGCATGTATATTAGGAAGCTCGGATTTCCTATTTTTGTTTTACTTTATTAACCCTGGCGGTAGAGAGATATTGTCTCTCCTTTTTGTCATATTCTCTTCAGTAAACTGTATTATTTTTTAAATTTATCTGCTGTGGACTAACTTTGTTTCTCCTTTGCTCTTGGGCCACCAGTCGCTGACTTATGCCTAGTTCAGACTGCGTGATTTTATCCCCGATTTTGGCTCGACGACAGGTCTTGAGAAATCACAGACAAATGCCTAAAATCGCAGGCAAATCGGTGCTCATGCACGTGAGTAACAATCACACAATGTGAACTATCAAAGACGCGATCTGAGATAATTGCCGATGAGTCGCTGATGTCTGCGAGATATTTGGCATGCTAAATATCTGGAGCTGTCGGCGATTTAAACCATGCTGTGTGAAAGGAGTTTTGACTGATAATTACATCGGCGATTGCCTACAACCAATGAAAGAGCAGCATTCACTTGTGTGTGTGTGTGTATACCTGCTGCAGGCCAGCGGGAGGCAGGGGGAGAAGTTAAAAGCACTCATTTTCGGTTTATTTAGTCCCACGAAATTGAGGAAAAACTAGTGGAGTTTTGACAGAACTCAGGAGCAACCGTGTCTGTTTGACGTTTCATACAGAAAAAAATTAGTTATTACCAACTTAAGTTGAGGAGAAATGGCTAATTCCCTTTAAACCAAGGTGAGCAAATATGTTATTTTTTACCCTATTAAAGGCTTCTTTCTCATTATGTAGTTAATAACAAAAGATACAAAAGTTTTTGTCTCTGAGACGTGGTTTGGACGAAGTTGTCTGCGATTCTTTCTTTTGTAAAGTCATGCAATGTGAAGGTCCCAGTCGCCGATCCATCTTGCAGTGTAAACAAAGCAGCGACGAAATGTTAGCCCAGATAGTCATGCAGTGTGAAAACATCTGTGACACGACTACTTTGAAAATCATGCAGTCTGAACTCGGCATTAGCTCTTGTAGTAAGAACTACTGCTAACCACACCTTAGACCCGGGTTCGATCCCCACTCAGACCATTACAAAAAGGTTACATTAAATTTGATATGACATTACCTAAACCATCCCCATCATTCTCTCTTTCTTAGATGGGGTGGTGGGCTAAATCAAAGGTTACCATGGGCCAACTTTGGCCTGCGGACCCTAATTTGGGCATCTCTGCTCCAGATGATGGATAGTAAATCCCAAAATGTCTTCTTTCCAAAGATTTCTAAACTGAAAATGTAGACCAAATTATTCAGCAACTGTTACTGTTTTAATTCGGGAAGGTCATTTTTGAGAAAGTGCCTCTGACAGTGAGGGTGAAAAGAACACCAATTTAGTAAAAATCTACTTTTGCATGCTTTCTTCGTTAAATTTGAATATAAACTCATAAAACACTTGGCTTTCAAAATATTTGTTCTAGGTTATTACCAGACTGATTTCATGTGTTTGTATTTTAAGTAAATATTTAACACAGTACAATTTTTCTTTCTCATTACTTCATAATCTATAACTTTTTATATCTTTTAGCATGAAAATATTCAAGATGGACCATAGTAAGGCCCAAAGTGTTGTCTTTCCATTGATGCCTAATTTCTGTTTGTTGCTCTCTAGGGTCAAGAACTGTAACTATTTTAAGTTAGGTAGGTGTAAATGCACATGAGTTGGTGCTGGCTAACTTAAGTATTTGTAAGACATTTATTGTTTAAAAATCTGGTAAACTATAAACAAAAAGTTGTAATGAATCAAGCAAGTTATCAATCAATCGAAAAAAGAATTTAAAGAATGAACAAATAAACAAATTAGTAAATAGGTAAATTTGAAGTGCACTCAATCAACTGAAGCACTGAGAGAACTGAATAGTGATTTTTGGGATAGTGGAATGAATGAATGAATGGATGAATGAATGAAAATAATAAGAAGGAAAAAGGGATACACAATTAAATTATTATATAGATAACCCCGCAAATAATAACAAACCATTTTGGGTGTAATTTTGATGTTGAGTCAAGCCTAAAGGGGTATGGATAATTTTTTGCTTGACTGTACAATTGACTGTCTCCACAGATCAGTATGGTACGGTTTGATACAGTACTATACCCATTTATTTCCATTTCCATTGTCAATAGTACCAAAACAGCAAGCTCCACTGTAGCACTTTTTTTGTCACCCTTTTGTAAGGGTACCAAACTAGGCTCGCTGCAAAACACTATTGGTTTACAGAGAATCATCACTCACTATCACATGCAACAAGACAAGGAAACAACGTCACAGGATTTGAAATACACAATTGAAACACAAAACCATAATCATACAATGGCGTCATATGAAATACAATGACAATGTGAAAAAACAGAAGCATGCCAAGAAGCAAGAAGAGGATCTGCTGTATGTCCTCTATTTTGGTAAACGGGGCTGTTCAAGTCACGTCTAAATTTGTGAAAAGCGAGAGAGATGGCTCTTCCTCCATCTATTTGCATGCATTTGCCACTTGTGTACATTTGATATAATGAACTTGAGCACACAAAGAACGTGATATGTGCACACATGGCTTTCTTGTTTGAGCGAGAATGATGCAGATCACAACTTTTAGCCATGGGCAGTGGCAAAGTAAGCCAAATTAAGGTAAAAGCTACTGAATCATACAGTACTGTACTGTACTATTAAGCTTATTCTGCAATTTGAAAGTGTGCTCATTTTAGAACTTCCGATACAGTTGCTCATGGGAAAAGATGGGAAAATGGTCAAGTACTTTGCTTTACACACAAGTGTGTTCATGACTATACTTAAAAGTAAAATTATATACAATAAGAAGAAAATATGGATAACAAGCTCATTTTAATGATTAAAAATCAATGTAAGTGAATAAGACCCGAAGCCCCGAGCCAAAAAGATTCTAATGGCTGCACCCACTCGTATGTAAGGAATAAAGCTAATAATGAACAGTGGTGCTTAGTGGAAATGAGGTACAAAATACTTTAAAAGATGTATACTATTTTGTAGAAAAGCATGCATCGGAAAAAGCACCTGGACTGGCTGTGGGGGAGTCCATGGAGCGAGACTCGCTGCTTCCTCCAGCGCTCTCTGAGTCACTGCACATCCCTCCTCCACCGGCACTGCCTGAGCTCCAGGCCCGCTGAGAGCCCTGCGTCCTCGGCACTACAACACACAACATCCACCTCACAATCAACTTACACCTCAGAAATCTCTATCCTAAATTTGATATCCTTGATTTGATTGATTTTGAGGAGGAGAGAATCAAATAATATACAATAAATGACAAGCATAGGTAAATACAATAATGCAAAGATACAAATAACATGAACAGTGCTTTATTGCTTTCAGTGTAGTCAAATAGTATTTGAAATTGAATAATTAAATGAAAACTTATACTACAGTAATCATTATTTAAATAATTAAATCAAATTAATCTTGATTAAAGCCTAAAACAGTGCAATTTATTATGCTTTGATGCTTTAAACCTGCTTGAAATGCTCAAACAGGCCTTTAAAACACACGCAAGTAATTCAAATTCACTCTATTATGGTTAAACTTTGCACACATCTGAAATCTGTTGTGCCTGATAGTCTACTAATCCTAACTGGACATTAAAGATCCTGTTGTGTGACTATTATTTATGAGCACATTGCCTTATCCATTCTGAAACTAAATATTGTGCAGGTCTAGTGCCAGTCTGGGTGCTGCAGTAAATGTGCGCTCAGGCTTATGATGTCACAGCATCATGGGTTTTTTGGAAGCTGTGGGCTAATCTGAGTTTGAGTAATAATGCAGACTGTTGGAAGCTGTAAACAGCCAAAACTGGGTGAAAAACCAAGTGGACACGTCAAGCCATTAAACTAATAAGCTGTAAAAGATTTTGAAGCTTGGCAAACAAAAGCACCTAATACTGCCAAACATTTAAGGATCTTGATTAAGTTGGAAGAAAATAAATGTCTTGCCGCTTTAGAGTCTAACAAACAAAAGTTGAGTAGATTGAGTTCCCCTGAAGAGTGTAAAAATTAGCTCTTTTTTTTTAATTAACCCTTGTGTCTAGTTCAGGATTTTTGCATCCACTTTGAGGTGATTTTAAGGTTTAATTTGACCAGAACATTCCCTTTGTGTCAGCAAATGGAATGATTTTTGGAGACAAATCTTATTTCGACACATATAATGGGAAAATGCATTGAAAGTAAAAAACAAAACAACTCCACAATACACTGAGCAAATTTACTACCCTTTTGTTGTTTGTGGTTGTTTTTGCCCCATTGACCCATCGAAAATCGAAAACCACAAACAATTAAGAATGCATGATTATTTGATGTTATGGCTTTGCAATCAAAAATTGTTGCTATAACAGAAGTCAATGGGGCAAAAACAGGCACAAACATAATGAAAGGGTAGTCAATTTAAACAATAACCAAGGGTTAAGTGGGGAAACTTTGGCTCATTGGTCTACCACTCTTCACCAGGTGCAAACACAGATACATGGACACGTTTCAAAGCCACGTCAATCACCTGGGGCCTCATGTACGAAGACTTGCGTGGAAATCTTACTAAAACATTGCGTACGCACAAAGCTGTAAATGTGCGTACGCAGAAAAAAATTCAGATGTATGAAACACTGCGTACGCCGAATCTCACGCATATTCTTTTGTACATCTGAATGAACGTGAAACTGAGCGCAACATGCACGAGCACAAAACCCCTCCCTGCCTCCTCCCCCGTATGAATATGCTAATGACTATGCTAATGTCAAAACCCAACGAAAAAGCAATGGCAAAAGCAAGCAAAAAGAGAAACTTTGAACAGAATGTGAAATGGAGGTGCTGCTTTCGGAGGTAGACCGGAGAAAAGCGGTGTTATTTGCAAGTTTGTTCGGCGGAATTAACAACAAAAGAAAAAAAAAAGAGTGGGAGAGTTTAGCTGATACGGTTAACACAGTTGGGTCTGAACATCGTACTGAGTGCATTTAAAAAAGAAATAGTGTGGTTTATATCTGTAAAATGTTGCAGTACCCTTCGCAGTCTCAGTGGCGCACCTCATAAGAAGCTCATGCACTGACACGTTCGAGCATAAACTCGGCTCGAATCCAGCGTCTGATGAATTCATTCTTCTTTTTTTCTCCCGCTACATATCAGATTTTGCCAACTATTTATCACGAGAAAGACAAGTAGGAATCATCAATAAATTTGTGCATCATATTTTATTTGCACATTTATTGAATGGAAATGTTTCTGATTCACGCATGCAAATTTATCTTCAGATAGTGTCTTTATAGCAATGTGCGTGCAGTAGATAGCTCAGATTACATTGGGAAAACAGGCGACCGCTGCAAATTGTGCTTTAATGTTTAGCTGGTCAACTGTATGGTATGGAAATCTTACATACCTACTATATGAACCCGTCTCATACAGACGCCATTGCAAGGATCAGACACTTTGTAGAGAAGAATTTAACACAACTGCCTCTAGGAGTCGCCAATGGAAATAAAACAGACACGCACAAAAAATGTGCGTACGCCTGCCAGAAAGCTGCCGTGAACCTGCGCAAATTCCCACGTTCAGTTCATTGTTAGTAAATCCAAACGTGAGCGATTCTGAGCGTGAAACCTGGCGTACGCAAAGTTTTTGTGCGTACGCAGCGTTGATACATGAGGCCCCTGATCTGTCTATGAGCTGACATATGAGCAATCTGCTGATGGATCAACTGATCGACGTGGCTTTCGAAATGCTCAAATGACCTAGTATCTGTGTTTGCACTTGGTGAACAGCGATGAAGAGTGGTAAAGCGATGATCCTTTACGGCCAATTTTCAGTACCAAAATCTACCAACCCCAGCCCTAACTACTGTTTTCTCACCATATTTTTTGTTGTTTTATTTTCAGACTACCTTGCCTATGTGAGATATGCTAGTTGAACATTTGTACATCAGGGTCATAAAAGACTTTCATACATTTAAGTGGTCTCTTTTAAGTGGTCTGAGCAAAGTTTGACCCTCCAAATAATAATAATAAAAAAAAAACATAAACACTAAGAGAACTCAGAACTTCAGGAGATCTGGGTTTGTTTCTTTTAAAAGAGAGTTAAGGGTGAAACACCCTAAGCTACAGCATGTCTTACCTTGCATGTCTATACTGCTGTTGGAGCGCCTCTCTGCAATCTTGGCCTTGCATGGCTGCATGTTACCCTCCACCTCGTCTGCGCTGTGATTATCCATAGATGTAGCAGAGCCCTGCGACAGGTTCCCATGAGACGAGCGGGTGCTGTTCTGAGACCTCTTATGAAGAGACATTCTGGAAAGGAAAGACAGGTGTTAAATCACACATTTTTACACATTTTCCAAAATGAAAATTAATTACTATTTCAAGCATTTTGCATTTTAAAAAGCGTCTAAAATGACAGGCTTATGTGTTATTGTATTCTATAGTATAGTATAGAATTCACATAAAAAAACTCATGGTATGCTTGCCCTAGGGCTGTGCGTTTAACCAAAATTAAATTGCAATCGCTATTTACTTTGTATATATATATATATATATATATATATATATATATATATATATAGAATACAATAACACATAACATCTGATAACAATAATACATTTTATTTATAATGTGCTCTTTTATAGCCAATTGAGTGAGCACACTTTGTCTGCCCAATCAGATTTGTGCAACCAAACTATCCAAGATGCCCACAATAAAACAAACAAAAAAAAAGCATGGACAAGTGGGATAATGACGTCTGCCGCTTCAGAATAATTAATAGATGAATTCATATCAAAGAAAAACAAGACATCAGTATTATGGGAATATTTTGTTTCAAAGTCGCAGACACTAAACAAAAACAGGTCATTTTTAAGAGTTGTCACAGAGTTATTGCCACAGCATAAGGAAATACAACAACCAGCACCTAAAAAGCACCACAGGCAGCTATATGAGGAATGTCTTGGTAAAAAGTTAACTAAAAGTATTGCCACTGACACTCAATCTAGTAGCTAGCAACAGCAAGGTACAATTTCAGAATTGTTTGCAGCTTTTACAGCCTATGAAAAAACATCACGAAGGCTTAAATTATTGCAATAATTAAATGGCAAGTCAAATAGAATCAAATCAAATCGCAATACCTGGTAAAAAAATAAATAAATACAGGGCTCAACAATAAAGACTGGCCCAGGGCCACTGTGTGAGGCACTTGGGGCAGTAAACAGGATTGTTTCTGGCCTCATCGGAGCTGCTTTGTCACTAAAGTTTTATTTGTTTGCGACTATTTGTCAATTGCGTATGAATACATTCTTAGAATCAAGAAACAGTTTGTGCTTTTAAATGCTACCTTCTCTGTATTGTCATGAACACTATATTGCTTTTCGATTCCTCTTCTCTGATTGGATGTTGTGAGTATGTTTTTTTTTTTTTTTTGGTAACCTGGTAAAAACCAGTACAGCGAAGTTATGGCAACATCAAACTATGAGGCTAAAAGAATGTCTTGGAAGCAGACATTTACGTGGCTTAGAAATAGCTATTAATTTTTCTTTTTTTGGTGGGACCAGTAAAAATATTTGCAGGGCAAGTACAAATCTGAACCACTGGTAAAAAAAAAAAAAATCCTTACCACTGAACCCTGAAATAAATTATAATTTTTTTTTTTTTAAACATTCTCATTTAGATATTTTCCCCAAATCGCACAGCCCTAGCTTGCCCCAAGCTAAACATTGAATTACTGCCGCTTACTCTCCTAAAAGTCCTTTACTTACTTTTTAAATTTGTCATCTTTCATCTTTAATGTATATTCATTTTAATTGCATGGGTTAATGGTTGTAATCTCCTTGCATTTTGTCTTCTCCCACTACTTAAGCAAAGGTTGTAGATAAATAAAAGACAGTCAGATCATGCTACAGACTACAGAGTTTTCATTTCATGCAAAAGCAAAACAAGTGTTAATTATAGATAATTATAAATATTAATAAACCAATTTAGTTTCAAATTCATTCGCAAAAAGCAACGTAAATAAATTTTCAAGCAGTTTCAAGCACCTTATCCAAAATCGAAACACTTAAAAGTCATTAAATGTCAAGCATTTTCAAGAAATTCCAACAGACCTACAAATCCTGCATATTATAAAAATACAGGCAAAACAGGCAGCACGAAATCTCTGTTGATTGTGAAATGGGTTACTCAACTGGCAAGCTTAAGATTGAATAGACTGTAAAGGGATGTGATAGCACTGGCCAGTCTGTTTGACGTGGGTGTGATTCAGAGGTCAAGCAGAAAAGCAGAGTTTACACTGGGCAGCGATTACAGAGAGCAGAACTCTTGGGTAAACAACACGCTATTACCGACCGTTGTTTCGTTCGTCGTTCTTCCTGAGGAAGATGCAAACAATGCTTGCCTTTCTCTGGTCTACACGGAAACTTGAGTGTGGACTTACCCCGTTTTTGAGGAAGCGGTGATGTCCTGAGACAGAGACTCCAGCCACACACGCTCTTTAGGGAGACTGCGCACAAATTCAGAGTAGCGCTGACCTGGTTCGTACTTCTTGGCTTGTTCGCTTAGAGCTTGGTAGTTGACGGACAGGGGCATAGTCTGAGCCTGCTGCATCTGGAACCAGTTCACTGTCACCTACAAGAGGGTGTGAGAAAATTCAGTGTGCAGTAATAGGGGGAATAACAAATACATGTTGAACATACATATACTATTGTTCAAAATATTCAATACGATAAAAAAACAGCAAAGAATGCATTCAATTCATCCAATTTAGCATTTACAGAAGTTATAAAATATTACAAAAATTATGCAACATACAGTTGAAGTCAAAATGATCAGCCCTTCTGTGAAGTTTGTTTTTCTGTAAAATATATGATGTTTAAGAGAGGCAGGAATTGTTCACAGTATATCCTATAATATTTTTTCTTCTGGACAAAATTTTGTTTTATTTCGGCTAGAATAAAAGCAGTGTTTAATTTTTAAGAACTATTTTAACGTCAATATTATTAGCCTCCTTAAGCAATATTTGTTTTTGATTCAGAATCAGAAAGAGCTTTATTGCCAGGTATGTTCACACATACAAGGAATTTGTTTTCTTGACAGAGCTTCTACAGTGCAACAGAACGACAGAGACAGGACAAAAAAACAGATAATAAATATATTTTAAAAATAGAAGTAAGTAGTGAATGCAAATATACAACTGGACAAGTGTACATACAGATATATTACTATATACAACGTTATATGTGCAGCAGTTGTGTGCAAACTGGCATGTAAAGTATGTTGTTAAATAAGTAAGTGTATATGTGTTTAAAATAGTGATGTTGTTTCACAATTACTATAATAAGGTGTCCATGAAATAGAAGAAACTGTTTCTGTGGCGATCTGTTCTGGTGCACAGTGCCCCGTAGCGTCGACCACAAGGTAAAAGTTTAGAGAGGCAGTGTGCTGGGTGTGAGGGGTCCAAAGTGATAAAACTATTATGTTGGTTACAATGTGTTATTGGTAATCCTGCTATAATGTGGTACTAAAACTATTAGAAATGTGTTGAATGAATCTTCTTTCCGAACTGAAACAGAAATTGAGGGAAAATATATACAGGAGACTAATAATAATGAATTCAACTGTATTTAAAATATGTTACAATATGGTAAATTTTTATGGAACAGACATGTGGTTGAAAAGATTTTTAAAAAGTACTTTTTTCATTACTACTTAATAAGAAGTAGTAAAAAACAAAAAAAAAAACAAATATATGTTGCACAAGCAGTTAAGCTGCACACAACTGTTAACAACACTGATCTTGAGCACCAAATGTGCAAATTAGAATGACTGGAATGATGACTGCTGGAAATTAAGCTATGTTGCCGCATGAATAAATTACATCATAGAATATACAGTAAATTATTTTATTAGTTTATGTATTTTGTAGTTTTAGTGTATTTAGATTGTGTTGCTTGAGGTGTATTTAAATTAGATCTTTTTGAATGCAGCTTTGGTAAATATAAATATGTAAATACAAATAAAAATGTAAATATATACAGTTGAATTATTAGTCCCCCTGAATTATTAGCACTACTGTATATTTTTTCCCCAATTTCTGTTTAATGGTGAGAAGTTATTTTTTCTTCACATTTCTAAACATAATAGTTTTAATAACTCATTTCTGATTTATTTTATTTTGGCCATGAGAACAGTACACAATAAATATAAAAATAAATAATAATAAATAAATAAATAAATAAAGACTAGGTTAAATTGTTAAATTAAATAGTTCTGCAGACAATAGGTTAAATTGTTAAATTTGTTCTGTAGACAATTAAAAAAAATATTGCTTTAGGGATTTAATAATATTGATTAAAAAAGGGTTTCAAAACATTTAAATTGTGTTTATTCTAGCCAAAATAAATCAAATAAGACTTTCTCCAGAAGAATTTTTTTTTATAGGAAATACTGTGGAAAAACTCCTTGCTGTTTAACGTCGTTTGAAAAAAAAAAAAAAAAGGCTAATAATTCTGACTTCAACTGTACATATAAAATTATTATTAAAAACCGAAGCTTCTTATATAAGAATTAAATGAAGAAGAATTAAACAAAGAAGAAGAAGAAGAAAACCGCTGCGCATTTTTCAACAGTAGTGTGTAATAGTGTTGTGACAGGGATACAGACCGCTTTGAGGGTCAGGTCACATTGGAAGACCAGCTTCCGAATCTGTGCGAGGATCTCACTCTTAGCGTTTGACAGGCTGACCTTCTTGGCCTCCAGATCGGCCACACAGGCTTTATACTGCTCCTGCGCTTCCTCTGCCTGGAGTTACCACAAAAACAGACCATCAGCCAAGCAAAACACGAGTACAGTCATTTTACTAGCCTGTTTTATGTCATTTCTGTGCCATCAAGCCATTCAAAATACATTTTAGAAAGAAAAATCCTGCTCATTTGTTTTTTTTCAAATGGTATGTGAGGTAATTTCTTTTAGTTGTTAGAGGTTTACAGAATGATACAGCAACAATAATGTATAGTTTAATGTCCATCAGGGTTTATACACCTTTCCCAACATCAAATTTAAGCGCTTTTCAAACACTTTTAAGGTCAAACTTTTCCAGCACTATACAAGTTGGGCAAATTGCAAATTTTATATACCTACTTCAACACACTATATCAGATGCTATTTCTAATAATTTTATTAACAGCAATGAACATTCGAAGTGAATCAAATATTTTTTTTCAAAACTGCCCAAGGAGAAGAATGGCTGTTGTCATGTAATGTAATGTGTATTTATATAACGCATTTATTGTGTATGGCCATACACCCTAAGCGCTAAACAATCTTGCACTTCCACAGGACAACGCCAGTGCGCTCAACACAACATTTATTGGTGGAGTGGAGAGACTGAGGTTACATCCCTACACTTTTTGAGAAGTCCCAAAGGATTTTTAAAGACCACAAAGAGTAAGAAACCTCGGTTTAACGTCTCATCCGAAAGACAATGCTCACTGACAGTATAGTGTCCCCGTTACTTTACTGGGGTATTAGGACTCACAGAGACCACAGGTTGAGGGCCCCCTCCTGGCCTCACTAACACCACTTCCAAGAGCATCCTAGTTTTCTCATGTGGTCTCCCATCTGGGTATTGACCAGGTTCAGCCCTGCTTAACTTTAGTGAGTAACTGGTCTTGGGCTGCAGGATTATATGGCTGTGGCTGTGTTGTTCAATAGGTTTTGGACAATTTTATTGAAAGTTAACGATCCACTTCAGATTTTGACTACTGTAGTATAGTATAGTATAGTATAGTATAGTATAGTATAGTATAGTATAGTATAGTATAGTATTCTAAGGAAAATATTTGATGGCATGTTTGCTCCAAGCCCAACATTAATTTACTGTCATTTACTCTCTTAAATGTCATTTATTCACATCTTAAATGTGTCATCTTTCACCTAAGAGTTATAATTATTTTAATGAGATGTATTGTTCACTTATGTACTGCTAATCACATTTTTATATATGTTTAAAAGTGCAGTAGGGGATTGTCTTCAGAAACATTTTTGTTGTGCTGGTTAAAGGCTCTTCCCATTCTGATAGCAATGATTAAAGTAAATTATCTAAATGCATTTAAATGTATTTGTATATTCTGGGTAAGGCATAAAACTAAAAAATGTTCATCCAATGAAATATTGTTGGGCAGACAATTCCCATAATTCTGATAAGTAGCTCAAACTGTCTGTCAGCAAATGTAGATTTGTACATCGGCAGGTTTGGGACTGTGTTTTAAAGATATTATGCTAACCGGTTAGCATTTTGGAAGATCACCTATTGCACATTTAATCAAAGCAGGCTCCAGAGTTTATAGTTCATACAAAAAAAGTTTTATTTTAAATTCTTATTTTATTAATTACATTTTATTATTATTAATATTTAATCTTATTCTATTATAACTATTTAGAGAAAAATAAATTATTAAGAGCAACACATTAGATTTTCAAGCATTTCATCCAAAACCTAAGCACTTTTCAAACCTTAAAATGACTGGTAACACTTTACAATAAGGTTGTATTATTTAATGTTAGATAATGTATTTACTAACAATAGACCATTTTGAGGGATTTAAAAACAACCAATGGTCCCAACGTATTTCCTGTTTTACGTTTTTCATTTTTATAGATTACGAGAATCCAAAAAAGCCACATATTGATAAATAATGTTATGATAGCTGTTTTGACATTAAGCAATGATTGAATTGCCTCTTGATACAGTTATGAAGTAGTTTGATAACAATCTGGATTAAAATGGTCTATACAATTATTACAGTATTTATTCTTCTTTGTTCATGTTAGTTAATGGAGTTAAAGGGCTAAAACTTTAGAATAGTGGTTCAATAGTTAGTCTATGAATAGTCTTTTAAAGCCTTTATTACTCATGATTGAACACATAGTAATACATTATTAAAAATCCAAAGTTGTGCTTGTTAACATTAGTTAATGCACAGTCAGTTAACATGAACTAATGTTATTTAACTTAAGTAATATAACTAGCTTGAACAACGATGAATGAATAGAGTAATAAATGTATTACTAATAGTGTGTTCATGTTAGTAAACACATAATGGACCATTATTTTAAAGTGTTACCATTAAACCTCTTCGCTGTTAATTTAAGTTAACCATCAAAGCATTAACTAATATTAAAACCATGAATTTTAATCATGTATTAGTAGATGTTCAACTGTTCAAGTGTGAGCAAAACACTAGAACAACATTCAAGCATTTGCTAGGTTTTCTAGCACTCGTATTTTTACACATAACATCGTTGTTAAGGAAAGTCTCACAAGCTCTGTGTTTCTTATTGCTGCTTTGATGCATAGTAAACGCGGACAATAAACTCAAGGGTGTGTCTGTGTGTGTGTGTTGAATTAAAAGCTTTAAAAGTTTTTATAGTGTAATTTCTACAGTACCTTCTGTAGGGCCTCTTCCTCAACTCTGCGTTTCTTCTCCAGTGTCCTGCCTCCAGCTGCTGGCTGCTCCTCCTCGGTACGGCTGGTCGAGCTCCGGGCCTTCTCGTATTCCTCCCTCTTCTGCATTTTCAACAGCCGAGCCTTCTTTAAAGCACTTTCTGACTCGTTCTGAAAACACACGTAGGTTATGTGCTATCATTTTGAAGAAATGTTGAGTTAGTGATGAAATTCCAATTCAAATAGGCATTAGTACCATTTTCTTCAGCTCTCTTTGCCATTGTTCTTTAATCTCTTTCCTCTGCTTGTCCAGGTCATTCTTGCGGGCCAGCAGTGGCTGTTGGAATAAGGGGAAAATGTGTGGAATTTAAGGAATTGATTTGTTGAATAGTTGGCTAAAAGCGTTCGGAGGAATCAATAGAGGTTACCTGTGTGAATTTGTTGGTCTGAAGAGCTGCAGCCGTTTGGAGCAGTACATGATTGTACTCGATTTCATTTTTAAAGGCAGAGACATAGATATCCCGGAAAGGCATGAAATCCTTAAGATAAAAACAGAAAATTTTAAAATACTGTCACTTTATCACTGAAATTGACTATTAAAAATATTTTAGAAAGGGTTCAAAACACAATAAAAATATAAATAGTGTGAAAAAAGATTTTATATGTCTAAACATGTAATATGTAATCTTGTAATTTGTGATATACAAGATTACAAACTCATATTAAAATCTGAAATGACCTTTATTGTACTTTAAAATAGTAATTTAAGGTCATTAATTCCTGTAACTCCTTTAGGCATTCGAGGGAGGAGGGTAGGTTATGGTATTTAATTAAAGATTATGAGGGCAAAATATTTTAGCTAAACATTATATTGCACAGATACATTGTTTATCAGGTGAAGTTTTTTTTCTCTCTCCGCTGTCGCCACTGCCTCGCATGGTTCAGGATTGGTAGAGCTACGCATCGATGAATTGGCTCTTCAGTGTTTGAACTCTCAGTAATGATTAAATCACACTGAATCTGAGCTAAACTGAACTGAACTTAAACACTAAAACCTGAACCACACTGTTCCAGTTACTGAACCACACTGTTCCAGTTACTATGACCATTTATGTGAAGCTGCCTTGACACAATCTACATTGTAAAAGCGCTATACAAATAAAGCTGAATTGAATTGAATTGAATTGTTTATGACAAACCTTACAAACATAAAGAAATAAGAAGAGTGCATTTTCATTTATGCTGACTTAAACAAAACATTGTACTAAACAAGACCATTACCTGTTGACTTGCTACAGCCTTTGCGGATTCTGCCATCTTGGCAAAGCTTTTGGCACATTCCATGTCTGTTAAAAAAAAAAAAAAAAAATCAAACATTAAAAATCAATGTTTAGAAACAAAATTCAAGATAAAGCTTTAAGAATGACTGACCCAGGCTTAGGCGTTTCTCCACCCAGGCCAGAACGTCTTTGGTGTATTTGGACCAGGCCTTGGCATAGAGCAGAGCCGACTCTACACCGCTGTCATTCTTCAGGAGAAGAAGGTCCACCTGCTCCACTGTGGACAGTTCTGGAGACAGAGAATGGTCTGAAAACACCCAGAACACCACACATGAGCACACACATACGAAAAAAAAAAACAGACAAGTGCTCCACAATGTTTAAAACAATTGCTGAAACTACACAGAGGTTCCCTTTGAAGACATTTTTATTTCCCCAACCTCGTCTCTGCTTTTTAAAACTATCATTTAAAATCTACTATTAAATGTCACCACCTTATACAGTTTACAAGACAAAAGTTACAAGGCAAATTTTACAAGTCAGCCTTATTAAAGGCAGCAATTGAGGGCAGGCTTGCTTGTAAGAGGTCTAAATATTCCACAGCCTCCCACTTGATGGTGATGAAGTGCTTCTAAAACTGACACTAATGTGCGGTAGCATTAGATGCATGTACGATATATTGCGTGGCATGAATGTGTAAGTTCGTCTCATAAAATCTGTGCTTAACCTTCGTCAAATGCACTGACACGCAGTTCAGCTGTACCGAATCCAAGCACCCGCCCAATAAGCCACATGTGGTTCCCATTCCTCACACAAACGTCCAAAAAAGCCCAAAGAATGTCAACCATTTGGCAAACAAGAAGAACGTTAGACTATATGAAAAACAACACAAGTGTGAAGGTACAGGGTGTGTGGAGTTCATGTCGATGATGACCCGGTGCTAACGCAGTTCATCTGTCTCTCGTCTAGAACACCTTTCATCTGTAGTTTGTTTAAACTTTGTTGAAGTTTGTGTTTCTGTTGCTTAAGGGTATATAAAATTGGTGATGAGGGCTAGCAATTTGGCCTAATATCAAAATCATAAATAATTTAACATTTTAACTTGATAACGATTAATGAACGATTATTAAATTTATTAACAAGTTTTGTAAAGTAAATATGCTCATATTACAAGTGAGACATTTTTGAATGAAGGGTGCATTACTTGATTGTAAAATAATTGAAGGAAACACACACTATCTACTGTCTATGTCTATTTTCAATGTTAATTTTTTAATATTAAAAGTAGAAAATAAGCTATAGCTATAAAATAATCTCTTCTAAAATAATATTTTAAACAGTGCATTTCTTGAATCTTCTGTTAACAAATACTTTATGCAAGTATTCATTTTATTGTAATGGAAAATATCCTTTTTCTGGCTCCGCTTCCAATTACCGTCAATGAAGTGCAAACTTGTGACTTGTAATTACATTTTTTGAAAGATACCCATGTGTTCGACGCAGAAGTATAAAGTAGCCTTAACAAAGCGGGATTTGTGACTCTACAGGTGATAGGGAAAGTAGTTGAAAAAATTAACCTGGAAAAATTAGATCCATTATAGGTTCTGAATGTCAATTTTGATTACTTTTCGATATACTGCCGGGCCCTGCATATGCTGATATTCAATAATTCAACATATCGTAATAAGGACATGAGCTATATTGAAATAGTGGACACAAAACAGTGTGAACAATTATTTTATTATTTAAACTTTTACAGTATCTTTTAACAATATTCAGATTGTTGTTCATCACAGTATCAAATGCTTAGGCACCAATTACACAAAAAAAATTTTTGGCATTGAGAAGCAGATTTTTTAATTGTTTTCTTTATGGCCATGAGATTATGTAATTGTGCTCTGTGCACCTGCATTTGAAAAAAAAAAAAAAAAACTTTGTGGAGAGAAAGCTTGAGATGTTATACAAACCAGCACCAAGACCATCGATAGGCTGGCTGCCTAGTAACAAAAAAGGCGCAGCACACTGCTCTTCTCTAAAAGACCAAAAAGGCAGTCAGGTGTGCCTCGTGTTTTCATAACAAAAAAGTGCGTTTGCTGTGATTGGTGTGAACTCCTTTTTTGTTTACTAAGACAGTAACTGTGTTTTTTCACTACAGTGTCCAATCTGCGCTCTGTGCTGCTGGCAAAGCTACAACTAGGCATGGGACGATAACTGTTTTTAAGGTATGCTGCAGTTTGAAAAAGTCTAGGTTTTAAAACCGCTCAATTATTCTGCCATAATTTCCCTACGGTACATTTAACAGTTTTTTTTAATGTTTTTTTTGTTTGTTTTGTTTGTTTTTCAGGACAACAGTATCTCCAGGAAAAAAGATATATCCAAAAATATAATTTTAAATTGTAATAAAACCCGTTTTTGAAACTAATGAAGACAGCAGAAGTCTATTATTCGTTTAAATTAACTAGCCTGACATGTTTACTGTTCCTGAATATTATAAATGTTTCTCAAAATAAAATAGATTGTGTTCAATGGAATGGGTTTTTCTGTTCCGCAAACACTCAGAAACGTCCGTCAACATCTTGCCTTGCCTACTTTTCACAGCGATTGGTTGCAGCCCAGCATTTTTCTCTTGCCATTTACTTACAGTTGAGAAATGCCTAACATTTCTGATGCTTACATCTACTATAAACACTTTCTCCTTGTTGCCTTCACTTCCATAATTCCTACGTAACCACTTATGTTCAACATTTATATAAATTAACTAAAAACGCTTGCTGGGTTTTCAGTTCTCCCAACCTGCCAGTAGAAACATGCCATAAGGTGGCATTTATTTAGTTATTAACTTAACTAAAGTCAACCTAATAACAATTACTAAAGCATTTATGTATCTTAAGTGATCTTAATTTCTTAGTCAATTCCTGATAACACATTCAAATCAAAGGTAGTTTATTAACAGGAGTTAAACTATTAAAATCCATTTTTTTTTTTTGTCTATTAACTTTAACATATAACTATAACATGCCTATTTCTGTTTCTATAACTGTTGATTGTAATGCATTAATCAATGTTTACTATGGAGAATGCAACTTATTGTACTTCGCAATCCTTTTGCAAAAGTAATTTGATTAAAATTTAAATATATACATTTATCTACAAAATATAGGCATACCCTAAGTATTTTGTGGTTATTATACAAGTTAAAGTAATGTATTTTGGAGCTTGGGTCAATATTGTAATGATTCATTTTACAGTGATAAAACATTCAGCAATTAAATCGCAACAAGAACATTTGATACCAGCAGAAACATATTCACTGTAACACTTCACCTGCTATCTTTGCGATAAAAAATGTGATGGAGGGATGCAAGACGTAAAAGAGATGAAAAGAAAATCCATTTACCTGCCAGATCGTTTTGACTGCAGCCTCGTGAATCTTCAGAGAGGTTTTCAAAAGACTGGAAGAGATAAAGGGAAAGATGTTTCACACGGGATGAGGAGTTTGATTACAGAGGTGAAGGATGAAAAAGAAGCTGCTTCTTTTGAGGGTTCGTCTTTTATCTCATCTTTCAACACCTCGGTGGATCAAAGCTTGAAACGCCTTGCTCTTTAAATCACAGAGGCCAGCCATGGTTTCATTATTTTCAAAGCAGACAAATAAACATAAATGAAGAGTTTACTGAACAGAAAAATGATCATTATTCACTCACATCTGTTCTTAAAATATAATAAAACAAAAACAAAACGTATGTACAATCTTGACAGAGCTTTTGTTGCCATGCAATTTATCATACTACATTGCCTGACAAAAAAATCTTGTTGTTGATCACAGCTGTAAGAGCAACAAATAATAACTTGACTTCAAGTTGATCATTTGGAGAAGTGGCAGAAGGTAGAATTTACTGATGAATCATCTGTTGGACTGCATCCCAATCATCACTCATACTGCAGAAGAGTTATTTGAACCCACATGGACCCATGATTCTTACAGAAATCTGTCAAGTTTGGTGAAAGAAAAATCATGGTTTTGGTGCTACATTCAGTGTGCAGGCGTGTGAGAGATCTGCAGAGAGGATGGCAACGTCAACAGCCTGAGGCATCATGACATTTGTGCTGCCCATTACATTACAAACCACAGAAGAGGGCAAATTTCCAGCAGTGTGCTCCAGGACTGGCCAGCCCAGTCACCAGACATAAACATTATTAAGCAAGTCTGGAGTAAGATGAAGAATGAATGCAAAGAATCTTGATGAACTTAGGGAGGATATCTATCCTGTACATTATTTTTGTTAAGTGACAAGGCGTTGTCTGAATAAAGTCAGCACTTGCTGTCCTAATTAAATAATTAAAAATCAAGGCATAATCATATTTTACTTTAGTAAAATAAGCGTAATCTAGAGACTTTTGCCTTATATTTAAGGAACTTCTGATACCAAATGATTAACTAGAAATCAAGTTATTATTTGTTTTCCCTAAAATTTGGATCGGAGACAAGTCTTTTGTCAGGAAGTGTATATATCTCAAGTACCAAAATGGACAAAGAAATCACATGATACTTCTGTTTACGTTTATAAATATTGAACAGCTTAAATTTCAGTCTGCCTCTCAAAAGCTATCGTTTGGCTCCGGAAGACACAAAATTCAGCACGCAAGTCATAAGGACTACTTTTATTGTGCCTCATATTGGCAGATCTGATCACTATAAAGTCTTGTTGTATCGAAATCAGCTGACAGCAAAATGTGTGTGACACTAAATAATGTTTTTTTTTTTTTGGGTCAACTATTTGTAAAGGCTTTTGAAGAGCCAACATATGACCTATATTAAAAAAGGCAATGGAGGTAACAACTTACACGACTTCTTCTGGCTTGGGGATACCCCAACCTGGAGCCACCGTCCACATCTCCCATAAGGAAGTCAGACACTCTGAGGTGGAAAAGAAAGACATTTTACTGCTGGTACACATAAACTAGCCTTACATAAACTGCTATAACACAATGTTTTTAGTTTTTTAAATTAGAGGAAGGGTCTTGATGGAATCTAAAGACAAGTGGTCACATTGGATGTATCCGAACAAATGTTAATACCAGATTTTAGGGCTGCACGATACTGGAAAAAAACTGACAATACAAAAATTAGTTTTTTGCTATATTGCAATATGAACACAATTCTACCAGATGAATTGATTAGCTTGATTTGGAAATAATTCATACATTAATATTGAGGATGATTTTGTAGGAGAGTGTATCCGCATAATATACAATAGACAAACACTATAGAGCCAAAACACAGATTAATAAAACAAAGATTTCTGGGCAATCTAATAGTTTTGAGGTATAAACTGAATAAACAAATGTAAAATTACACCATACCCCTGACGTCTAAATAATTAAATAAATACAATTAATCTTTGTTAAAGCTTCAAACCTTTGTAAAATTCTCACAGTCACGGGTCCTAAAACACATGCAAATGATAAACTTTGTCTTTGTTAAACTTTCCAATGATTCTACAAATGTAATTCTGCTGAAATCATAATCCTGACTCGACACTGACTTTTGCAAATGTGCATATTGGGATATCAATGCTAAAATATTATACTGTGCATCCCTACCAGATGGTATTAACTGTTTTGATTGGATCACTGAAAATGGCAGGTGAAAACGGGGAGAAATATGGTAAGCAGTGCCCAAAATCTTAAGTTTAAAAGAGTTTCTATGCCAATAAAAGACACGATTAAACCTGTTTATCACATAAAGCATCTGTTACTCTTCAGAATTTGGAGTTAGAACTGCTCAACTTATTTAATTACTTTTATAATAAATGTATTAACTTTGTCAGTTGTGTGCACAGTCAAAGGAGGAACAGAAATCCTTCAGATCATTCAGATTAGCTCACTCAAAAATGTTGTCATTAATTAATCACCTTCATGACTCACCCTCATTCCAAACCCCTAAAACCTTTGTTCATCTTCTAAACCCAAATGAATATATTTGAGCTAAAATCCGAGTCATTGTTTTTTTAAGGGGGTTGTGCACAAAAGTAATATTGTTGCTTCATAATATTATGTTTGTAATATTAAGACATATGGAATGTTTTCACAATGTTTTTGGTACCCTTCTGGAATGTTGCCGTCAATGGAGGATGAGGGAGCTCTCGGATTTCATCAAATGTATCTTACTTTGTAAAACGTCTTTGAAGATTGGAGAGACTTGAGATGTGTAATTGATAATAGAGTTTTCATTTTTCATTTAACTAACCCTAATAAATATCTTATGGGTTTGAAAGGACATGACAACAGACTTTTTTTTTTAATGTTTGAGTGAACTAACTCTAATGCTGCAACATGGCAACATTTCATCAGTAGTTAGACAGTAAAGGATACACAGCTTACATGTGCTGTTAAATCAAGCCATAGAAACTGAAAGTAACTGCAAAGAAAGAGGGAGCCTTTAAAGTACACAGTTGATTTCAAATGACAGTGATACAATACTCACACATTGCCAAAGGTGAATGCCAAAGTGTCAATCGACGTGTGTATCTCGCCAAATATTGTGCTTTTATTTTCGTTATTAACTTCCTTGAAGTTCACGCCTGTGGGAAGTGATAAACCACCATGAGAAGTGCAGCCAAAAGCCATCAAAAGCACAAATCTTATTAGATGACGATGATGATGAGCAATGGGGCGTAAACACAGATCTCAATGCATCTGTGGAAATATAAATCAATCAACAGCTAGAAAGCTCAGCATAGATATTAAGAACAGACAAGTGATACAACACATACATATAATCCATTCATTCATTAATATGCAGACTTGTTCTCCACAAAATAGCACACAAAGAAAAGGAACTTCTACAGTTTCTTCCTTATTTAAATGCTGCTTTGTACTCAGGATGTGCTTCTCTAGAGTACAAAACAAACGCTGAACAGTTTGCATGTAAATAAATCACAGGTTGCTTTACTTCCTAAGCCGAATTCATTGTTTTGAGAAAACGATGACCAGCAAGTTCCATGTTTTTAGCAGCCAGAAAGAAAGTGGACATCTTAATAAATCTTCATTTTAAAACTCAGATTTGCACAACCTTACAGCGGCTATGAAACTTGAATACACCAAGAGCTTCCTGTCTGCTAGCTGCGTCTCTCCTTTACAGGAAACACTGACAAAACATTCAAAAAGCCGTTCGAACAACTTTCACCGCAACTTACCAACTCCTTTGACTTGCACTTGCAGTGATATCCAAGCTCGATAAGGTAAGGCACAGATTGATGATAGTCAAAACTCCCCTACAATTTCAGGAACTAACAGCGCAGCCTAGTTTGCAATGATTCAATGGAGCTTGACTTCCACTTTTTTCCCTGAAATACAAGAAAAAGTGACGAGGCCACAAAAAGCAACATCTTCAGCTATAGTTTCCAGTTCCGCATGGACTTCTTTTTTTCTTTTGGTTGGTTGGATGTCACGCAAAATGCTCCGACTGACTCAACTGACATCCATACTGTTACGAGCTGGTGCTGAAAAAGAGGTGCGTGGCTCCTGGTGCATGTCTCTCTGCTTCTGAATTCAGCCGTGCGACTCAATCGCCCCTGCAATGGAACGCTGACTTCTTCCTCAGGACATCCTGCAGCTCCACAACAATGCTTCCACTTCTGCCCCCTTCACAGCTCAGATACGGGAATGGCTACTTTTGGAAAGCAGGTTCTCTCAATAAAAACAAAAAAAAACCTTGAAAGCATGTTCTGCGTCGTTGTGAAGAATTCGGCAACGAAAATGCATCAAATATATGGTCGTTTTGAATTTTTTTTTTTCAAATCAGCGTACAAGTACCTTGTAAACAGTTTCTAAAGATTTTATTACAGAATTATGGTATTATCATGATACTGACCTAAGCTGCAAAAAGAGTTACTTTAAAAGGAATGAATGATAGTGCTTTATTGTAGATAAATACTCAGCGTAAACAAATGTATCAACCAAATAAATGTAATGTGTGTATTCATAGAGCACATTTAAATGTGTATGGCTATACACCCAAAGAGCTTCACAATCATGAGTTGGGTCTCACCACACCACCACCAGTATGCAGCATCCACTTGGATGACGTGACAGCAGCCAAAGGACAATGGCACCAGTGCGCTCACCACACACTAGCTATTGGTGGAGTGGAAAGACAGTGATAGAGGCAAATCGGTGAATAGGGATGATTGGTAGGCCATGATGGAGAGAATTTGACCAGGATGCCTGGGTCACACCCCTTCTTTTTACGAGAAGTACATGGGATTTTTTTTTTATACTATATTTTTATTTATTTTTTAAGGAAAAAATACAAATAATATATTTAAAATAAAATAAAATAAAATAAAATAAAATAAAATAAAATAAAATAAAATAAAATAAAATAAAATAAAATAAAATAAAATAAAATAAAATAATAAAACACCGGAACTTAAATGAAGAGTTGACTGGTCACATATTTCCTTACAGGTCACATTAACAAATACATAAAGAAATCAGATTACACTGTGTAAAGGTATAAGTACAATCAATTTCTTCCAATATTGCAGGTATTTGTCCATTTGTCGTTTTTAAGGAAAAAGTCATCCTCTCCATATTTTGAACATTAGATATGATATCCAACCATCCAGATTTTGTAGGGGGTTCCAGTTGTAGCCACTTTCAAGTCACAGTTTTCTTACTCGTACCATGGGATTTTTAATGACCACAGAGAGACAGGACCTCAATTTCACGTCTCATCCAAAAGTGCAAGTTAAACTGCATAATGAATTATAAAGTTTACAAAATAATGAAATCCCATCATTAGTAAATATCAGTTAATGGATTCAAATCATTATTACAGCTACTATTTTAATGGTAAATAAAAAAAAAACTGAATTATATTAGTTGATAGTAGTGTTGGGGTAACACATTACATGTATGTCATAATATTACTTTTCGAAGTAACGAGTAAAGTAGTGCATTAAATTTAAAAATTAAGTAGTAATATTAGAGTTACTTTTTTAAAAAAAAATGTAATATGAGTTTTTTTTTAATTATTAATTAGCTTTTAAAATATAAATTGCTTAATTAAAATGAACAAAATGAACATGTTGAATCACACACTTAATGAGATAATGCTCTTGCTCTCCTGTGGTAACAGACACACTGTAAAAAATGAGGAGTAGGGTTAACTTTGCCATGTAAAAGACTAACTATATCTACTAGTAGAAATATTTAGTTTACTCTGAAATTCCACTTAAATTTCATTTACTTTTTTTTTTTGTAAAATTTACTAAACTAGTACATTTTTATATATTATAATTTATTGAGTCCTGGTTATCTTTTTTAGTTATCTTGAGTGAACTTTGCTTTAAATTGTTAAATAAAATATTATTTAAACCATGATGGCAGAGCCTTACATTTCTGCACTGAAAGTATTCTTATTATTCTGGACGCATCGAAGAAAAGTAGACAGTGATTTTATGTAACTTATAAGACAAAAAGTACAAAAGTTGCATTAATCATTCATTAAACTTTCATTAATCTGTACATAAGACATGTATAGCCATCAGGAGGTTCCTCAAAGATACCAATACCCTAATTTATTAATATTATTTTTTTATGTGTGTTTTTTTTTTAAGTAAATATAGATATAGGTTATACAGTGTGTTGATAATTGCAGAGCTCCTCTATTAACAAAAAGAGAAAAAAACCCTGCAAGTTCTGAAATAAATCCATAGATCTGTAAACTAGATATCGCATGCAGACCCTCAGCAAGCTCAGTACCCCCGCCACATTTATACAGTGCTCCGAGGACAAAAGTCATTCAAACCCACTTGGTGAAACCAAAGCGAATCTGAAGATGTTGGAGTTTGCGCTCTATACACACTGTAAAAAATGCAGCGTGTCACACAATTCATTCATGTTGTCCCAACACAAACTAAGTTAACATAACACATTTAACAAATTTATATGGATTGAACAATAAAAAGTTAGGTTGTCCCAATGAAATCTCAAGAATTGTGTTGTTTCAGCTCATTTTAAAACAGTAGTTTGAACGAGCAAAAAATATATTTTTTGAGTGCAGATGTAGTTAAAAGCATACGAAGAAAACAAAGCATAAAGGCAGAAGATTTCATAGGTAATATTTCGTTATTTTTATGATTTTTTATGCTACAAACTTTTGTGCTCAACAACACTATACGATGCTATTGCACTGACTATAAGACAAAGTAGCAAACTTGCACCAAATTCTAGGCTTAATGCTTGTTTTATTGAATAAAAGCATACAATTAAAATTAAATACGAAAACAAGACGTTGCGCTGCCAGAAACGTGTATTATTGTCAGCTAAGTGAAGTAACAGCTAGTTTTTAAAATAATTTATAAGGGTGCCTGATAACATAACAGTGCCTGAGCCTCAATATGCATACTTTCCACCTTAAATTATTGAATAATACAAATGTTATATACCATTTAGATCAGAAAGGTGGATATGCACATTGAGACGCAGGGATATCAGTGGTTCACACAAGTCGGTAATAATGGAACTTCATTCACAAACAAATTACTCCCTCCGTGAAAGCATGAGAGGGGGTGTGTTTCAGAATATGGATTAAATCAAATTAACCAGGAAGAAGGATAAAACTTTCTATGCACAAAAACACATGCTGTTTGTCAGCAACGCCTGTGCGATCACTTATCCATCAATATAGAACTGTGATGTAAAATGATAATTTTCGTAATTAAAAAAAAATTGTATACTGACCCCCGAACATTCACCGAATTTCTGCCATAAAACTATATGCGTCGCGTTTTTGAAGACCCTCTTCCACCCCAGCTCCACCTGTGTTCTGCTACGAAGGTTACATATTTTATGTTTGCAGCAGCAGCAGAAGTGTGTTATATTCTCAGTCGGCATGCCTGTGTCTATACTGGCAGTAGCTGGTATTGGTTCTTGCTCTGCTATAATAATCGAAGTAGCAACAGCAGCAGCGTAGCAGATCTATACCGTCAAGACCAAATCTACCAACATTGCCGTATAAATATTCATTACCATACTAAATCCCGAAAGTCATGACAGAAAGAGAAAAACGTTTATATATCTAGGGCTCCGGGTTGCCAGTGCTCCACTGCACCTTGGTCCCACATTCATTACGAAGGAGCACTACCCTGTACTAAAATGTCAGCAGTATTGACGCATTCCTTCCAATAGACAGCAACAGCGTAGGCGACATCTAATGTAAATATCTATGAAAGAGATCAAGCCTCAGTCTGGTAAGAAAAACTAACGCAAAAGCAACTTAAAAGCAATGTAAACCATTACTTACCATAAAGAGTAACAAAGTAATGTAGTTAGTTACTTTTTGGGAGCATGCATTACTTTCAAAAGTAACTTTCCTCAACACTGCTTATTAGGCATCAACAATAAGACTACCACAGAATTTCCATTCAGTATTTCAGCATTTAATAGACTACATTAGTGTGATTAACTAACTATTAAGCTTTACTTTTAATACATAAATAAATTGAAGTCTAAAAGAATTTGGTGCTGGTAATGAAAATCCATGTCAATGTTCTTATAAAAGCACTCTAAAATGTATATAATAAATAATTATTTGAGGTATTTTGAAGTGCCGATGATATCAATATTGTGCTTTTTCATTATCATGAAATATTAAATTCTGGAATATTGGCATAGGTCCACAAACAACTATGATTCGTCCCATATATTGGTGGCTTTAAAAAAAACACATGCAGAGTTTGTCAGGTGCAATGAGTCAAAAGATAGGATAAAATACCTGAGATAACAGAGTCTCATCCAGATCAGAAGCAAAGATAATAATACCTCGAGTCGGATGCCACTGACTCGCTCTAGACGTAGGCGGGGGAAGAAAGAATTTCAATAACTTGAGACACTTGACACTTTTATTGCTGCGCCCCTGAGAGATTCCTCAGCAAACTATGCAGCATTTTTCAATGTGACAGAGGAGGGGAGAAATGTGAATCTGATTTCCTGATGTTCACCGCATTCTATCAAAAGAAAGACAGACGGCTGACATGGTTGCAGGGTGTTAAAATGGACGCGCATGGTGGAATGTCAGCCTTGCAGGTAACTTGAGGCAGGCATCTGAGGCGACTGGCCTTTCTACTCCACTTCCCCATTGAAAAAAGGCCTCGAGCGTGTCAGAAAAGACACAACCCACATTATCTTCCACTGTTAAGCTCTTCAGACTTTCCTTTGACAGAAACAATGAAGAATCTGGCCCAGTGCAGGACACATGGGAGCTCAAGAGCGGTCACTGGCCCTCTAGTGGCAAAAGATGATACTCTAGTGACCACTTGAAACTTTTGAAAAAAGCACAAATAGCGTGGATACCCAAAAAGAAACACTTTCAGTATGTCAGTTAAGAGCAGAAGTCATCTGTTCCTGTTTTAAGTCTGCAAATCTGGCTGATGGACACTGATGTGGATATTTCTGTGCTTGAGCCAGACAAATGAGCATGATATTTTAGACCGGCAGTGGGTGGTATGAGCTGAATTAATATCATGCTATGAGTATTATACAGCCATGTAGAAATATTGATTTGTTTTAAATCTTTAGTGTTTAAACGTGTAAAGAATTTGAACTTTTTTTCTGTTGTTGTTTTCAAACTTGATGGGTACAAAAAAAAGGAATATTAAAAACAAATGGATAATACATCTGCTGTCAGAATAAAAACAACTGCTTCGCATTATAAAACCCTTGAGATAAAAAATTATGGATTTATGTAACCGACTGCTTTTGAAGAGGTGGAGAAATAATACTTAATAGATTAAAGGGACAGTTCACACAAAAGTTAAAAAAAAGACAAGAATTTTTTTGAGCAGAACACAAATTTGTAGTCATTGAACAAATTGTAAAAAAAAAAAAAAAAAGGTCTGTTTCTTAGAGAGTTTAAATGTTTTACTTCATAAGATGCATCCCGCAATGTATCCTCAGAAGTCATGGGTATGAATGTTGTTTTGCCTTTATATGATTGTTACGTGTTAAAGTGGGGGCACTCTTTCAGTGCTTGTTCAAACTACTTATTCAAAATGAGCTTGATCAACACAATTTTTGAGGTATTTTTGATAACTGTTTTTGTTGTTGTTTTATATTCAATCCAATTGAATTTGTAAAAACAATTAAATTAACTTAATCGATTTATGTTGGAACAACATGAAGGAATTGTGTGGAACCCAGCATTTTTTACAGTGTTGAGTTTCTTTTTTTATCAATCTCAAAGCATTGCTGGGTCAGCTAACATTTTAATGTTATTAAATAGCCCCTATTATGTAATTAAGAAGTCGTATTTTGGATTTTGGGGTCTCCAAAAGCAGGCCGATATGCATGCGAGGTCAAAAACACGTTCATTGTCGTATAATATGCATTTATTTTTACATAATTATCCAATTGACTCCCATTTGATTTATTTAGCTATTCATTTGTTTCCAAAGCCCTCCTTAGTCAGACATCCCAAGTCTCCCAGAAGTTCAGGGAGTCTCCTGAAAATGCATGGAGACTCCCGGATGCCCGCAAACGAATGATAATCTCCCGGAAATAGTGCGTCTCCTTAAATAGTCTCCAACGCATCCCTCCCAGCTCTTCAGGTACGTCAGGCGCAACTCAACCCCACTCGCTCTTCAGCACGCAACTCACACCCACCACTCTACAAGTACGTTGCACACAACTCACCCCCACCACTCTTCAGGTGTATCGCACACAAAAATGTCTCTACCATAATCTATGCAAAAGTTATTGTATTCCAACTAATGAGAGGTGCTATACAAGCCACAGGGACCGATCATTGTTTTCATATTTCACTATTCTTTTGTTTGATCAAACATAATTCACTGTGTTTGGACCATGTCAGACATATAAAAGGATTACTTATGCACATCACCTCAAAAACGGAGAAATGGCCCTGAAGCGAACAGCATAAGGTAAGAGATGACAGCTGTCTGTGCTACCTGGGGTTGCTCAGTGATCATAAATGTATTGTTTTCACTTCTGCGCCATGGAAACAACATGATTCATTCGGCAACTGTTTGATATGTGAATATAATTCGGTAAAAAGAATGCTTGAACCGTATGAGCACCGGCAAGAGCTTTCATTTGAGCAATAACTTGTACATGTGTCATATGAAAAATATAATAATGAACATTTTGGGTATCCAAAATACTGTGTATTTAAGTGTAAATAACTTTTGTACAGTACAATAAAAAGTGATGCATATGTGCATAAAATATAGATTCTACACTTTCAAACGAAACCACCTAGGGGGGCTGGTGTAATGCCAGCCCTTTAAATCTTAAAGCGAAAGTTGATGATGTCACAGACTTTCATTGACTTTCGCTTTAAGATTGAAAGGGCTAGCATTGCACCAGACCCCTGTAAGTGGTTTTGGGCATTTTTAGATTTAAACCACAGCTGGATATTTTTATTACCTTACTGTACGTCATTGTACATTGTACTGTACTTTAAAATAATATATTTTTTTTTTTTATGAAGAAGAAAGTGACCTATATCTTAAATGACCTTAATGATCTTAACTGAGTGTGGGTAAATTTACAGCAAATGTTAAATTTTGGTGATCTTTCCCTTTAAGTGCATTTTATGCCAACTGTTATATAATGTCTCATTGTTTTTGGTGATTGCAGCAACTGCTGAGGTATTACTGGTATTTGGACCACAAGTGTCCAAAATGTGCAGCTTGATCACATATCTTGGTTTTTGTTCTTTTCAGTGGTGATATTCATGCCAGATGGGAAATTTAAAGAGCTGTGCAGACGTTATGGTTTTTGTACAGAACTTTGAGTAACACTGTACTTGAAAGAGTTGTTAATAAGACTGACATGACGCCTTAATAATCGTAATATGAAACATACAGTATGTCATAAAGAGATTTTTTCATGCTTTTGACAGCAGCTGAAGGGGTTGTCCTTTAAATAAATCGAAATGCATACCATTACAATCAGTCTTTTTCTTTGTAATGACAACTTGACATTACAACATATCTTTTTATAAATCTCTCATAAACATTATTGTAATGAGACCATTATAATTGTGCTGCCGATATTTTTCTGATCACATTTATAGTAGATTAAACTGAATTTATCATTAAAAGAGTCAAATCTCTTTTGAGCTGCTTGATTGTATAAACTGTCATTTTTCATCATATTGTTTCAATATAATCGACTGACAGTTGACAAGCAATAAAAGAAAAGATGGCAATAAAAAAAGGCAGAGACAAATCATAACAATAGTCAAAACACGGAAAACGATATGACGAAAAAACAACATGACAAAAAAATACTGTAAAAAACATTACATTTTAATTAATAAAACTGATAAAAAATCCTTGACATTCCATAACTTGGAAATAAATATATAACATTTCCTGACTTCCAATGTCTGGAATTAAACTTAAAATTTCACGATATTCCAGAACTTTCATAACCCACAGGAACCCTGAAAACTGTAGTTGAGGTCAAGAAAGACTTTAATGACATAAATAAAAACATAAAATGCACAACACAGTTTTAATGGCCTCATGACAATCATGTTTATGACAGATATATCACACGTTATGTTGTCTTGATAATGTCAGGACAAAGACAGATTGTTGTATTACTTCAAGCTGCCATGAAGACATCTAAAACAATGTCACCTTAAAATAACATAACTGAGCAAATGACAGTTGTCTCATTTATATTCATGACGTGTCAACGCCCCTTTAAGTACAGTGTTAACAAACTTTGTTCTAGCAATGTGACTGAAAACTGTAAATGCAAGAGCAATGCAAGAAATTTTCTTAAAAGAGAGGATGAATGCTCACCTTTGACTTTAGCAATAACAGTCCCCGCGGCACCAAGGATTTCGGATGAGTTCAGTGCCTGGTGTTTGCCAATGACGGCCTTCAACACGTGGACCAACTCCCCAAGACGCTCATTCACCACGTGCTGCGAGCACTCTTGACTTTCTGTGGATGAAAAAACACACAGTCAGAGACCACAATCTCATCAGCTCAACTTCCTCATATTTTAGGGGGGATGCACAACTTTAAAACCATAAGGGAGAAACAGCAAAAGTAAAATCTGTTGTGAAGTCAGTTTAAATACACCCCTGTAAACTTCCCCGAATTGCACATGATAAAAAAGTCATCGGAACATCTTAACGATTCTTTTGTTTTCGTTTCGTTTGGAGGCATGTGACAGTACAAGCTAAGAGACTAAGAGATTAAGTGCAGTGGTGTGGCTGAGATGCAGATGATGTTCCGTGTATTCGAGAGACGGTGGATGTTAAGATAAGAAAACAAGTGTGAGACAGACATGACAACAGCTCTGCAGACCGATCTAGACGTGTAATAACAGATTTTATTTTTATTACCGTCCCAGTGTTATTGCAATCACGATAAATGAGTTCGGAGAGATTCAACTTGCTTCTCTCCTTTTGTTTGAAATATCAGAAAAGTTTAGGTCAAGATTGCTTTGGTGAAGAAAACAGATACTTCTATTACTTTGAGATGCGAAGAAATCAAGAGTGACACCAAAGCCATTCTGAATTCACATTCAGTTGAAGACAAAATTATTAGCTGTCCTATAAAATTAATTATTTTTGATGTTTAACAGAGCAAGGTTATTTTTTGCTATTATATTTTTCTTTTGGAGAAAGTGTCATTTATTTTATTTAAACTTAAAAATTCGTTCAACTAAAATCTTTTATTTTATTTTTTTTGTTTGTTTTCATTTTTTTAATTAAAACAAAGCACTGTTGTCCAATGACTTGTCTAATTAACCAATCTTGCCTACACCGTAAAAAAAAAAAATGCTGTAAAATTCACAGTATTACTGGCAATTTTGGTTGCCAGAAATACTGTGGAATTTACAACAAGTGCACTGTAAATCAACAATTACAATAGTGCTGTGGTTTTACAGCACAATTACTATTATTAATTTACAGTGCACTTGAAAATGTTACAGTATTACTGTCAATTTGTACAGTATTACTGGCAGTATTTACATGCACAGTTAACAATTGCAGTTGTGCTGTAATACTGTAAATTTTACAGCAATTTTTACAGTGATCTTACAGCTCTGCACAAGAAGTTTGGCAAGAGAAGAAATGGTCGTACCCAGCCCGGTTTTTCTCATGGTTTTTTTCTTTTACTTCCGTCCATTGGTGAAGTTCGTTTCTCACCACTGTCGCCACTGCCTTGCATGGTTTGGATGGATTTGCTCTTTAGTGTTTGGACTTTCAGCAGTGAAATTTAAACCACGCTGAATTGAACTAAACTAAACTTCAACTCTGAAAACTGGCCAGACACCGTTTCAGTTTACTAGAACGTCTATATTAATCTGCTTTGACAAATTTACATTGTAAACGTGCTATAGAAATAAAAGATGAATTAAGTTGAATTAACCTAGTTTAGTCTTTCAATTGCACTTTAAACTCTACTAGTATCTGGCACAATAAATAAAATTAAAAGTAAAACATTGGTCCTTGGTGCTGGGGGAAATGGAAAAGATCATGCCATTGTATTTTGACCCAGTTTTATTGATTTTGGGTATATCTAATGGACACATTTTTTCATCTGCTAATAAGAAATTGTATAATATATTGACCTTTGCTGCCAGAAAAAAAATATTTTATTTAATTGGGTTAGTGATAATCTCCATCACTTAAAGGTTGGCACAAGATCATTTTTGAGTTGATTCCACTGGAACATCTTACCCATGTTTTACACAAAAAAACAGAACATGTTTTCAAAGTTTGGACTTCATATTTGGACTAATTGGAACCTGGTCTTTGCCCTATTATGCCCTAAGGAATATTGTAACTATTGTTATCTGAAAAACTAGCAATGTTATTATCCTTTTTTCCTGATCTGTTTAATGTGGGGTAGTGCTCTTTTATATGTAATGCGAGCTTTTTATTTTTGTTTTGTTTTGTTTTCTCTCTACATTGTGCTATGTTGTTAATATTTTTGATGTTGTTGTTGCTGTGTGTGTATCTTTTGAAGATGTTTTGTAATGTCTGTATTGTAGTGAAAATCCAATACACAGAATTATTAAAAAAAAAAAAAAAGTAAAACATTAGGTTCTTTCATCAGGGCAAATATTACAAAATTTAGTTATTCAAAATTAGATATTATGCTTAAAACATGATGGAAAACTGTCTTCCATTAAAGAGCACTTTTTTATATTTTAAATATTTGAAAAAGAATAAAAAGAAAAGCTAATAATTTTACCTTTAACTCTATGTGTCAAACTCTCTATTCATCACAGAGTGGTATCAGTCAAAATATTAGCCACTTTTTAACATTCATAAAAAGACAAAATATTTTGATAACCCAAAACAATCTACTACAAAACTCAGTGTTACTATCATAATAGTGACTTACATTTTAATTGTATTAAAACCATAACCTACATTTCAAATATTTTACAAAATTAATGGTTTACTGTAGTTTTGATGTAATAAATGAAATCTTCACACTTTTGAATAGGAGTCTGTTGTGAATGCAGAGTCCAGTGGTGAAGCTAACTAAATGTTTTTGGGAAGTAGCAATCAAATGTGTCTTCCTCTGTTGCTACTAACTTCCATATTTCTAAAACAAGCAGAAGTGCGTACACAACCCTAAAGCTAAATGTAAATCCCCTTTAAACATTAATCTCACAAAAGCCTTGTCATTGCAGAACAACTAATAATAACTTAAGTTCTAGTTGATTATTCGATATCAGAAGTGTCTTATATGAAAGGCCTCTAGATTACGTTTTTTTCCCCAAAATAAAATATGATCATGACTTGGTTTTTAATTATGACGGTAAGGTCTGACTTTGCTTAGACAAAAGTCTTGTCACTTAACAGAAATAATATAAAGTATAGAATATAAAATCATGGTGCAGTTGAAAAAGGATTAATATTGTGTATGACTCCCATGAGCTTGGAGGACTGCATCCATATATCTCTGCAATGACTCAAATAACTTATTAATAAAGTCATCTGGAATGACAAAGAAAGTGTTCTTGCAGGACTTCTAGAGATTCTTTGGATTCATCTTCAATGCCTCCTCCTTTAGCTTACCCGAGACACACTCAATAATGTTCATGACTGGTGACCATGCTGGCCAATTCTGGAGCACATTGACCTCCTTTGCTTTCAGGAACTTTGATGTGAGGCTGAAGTATGAGAAGGAGCACTATCCTGCTGAAGAATTTGCCCTTTACTGTGGTTTGTAATGCAATGAGCAGCACAAACGTCTTGATACCTCAGGCTGTTGATGTTGCCATCCACTCTGCAGATCTCTCACATGTCCGCATACTGAATGTAATGGCTGATTTCTGTGAGAACCTTGGGTTCATGCATACTCTTATAGGTCTTCTGCAGTATTTGTGATGATTGGGATGCAGTTAAACAGATGATTCATCAGAAAAAATCTACCTTCTGTCATTTTTCCAAATGATCAATTAGACGCCAAGTTATTATTTGTTGCTCTTAACTGGGATCAACGACAAGACTTTTATCAGGAAGTGTATATGTGAATCAGACATTTGCAGGGTGAGAACAAATGCAGGGTGAGAACTGCTTTTATCCAGTGTAATTGTTTGAAAAAAGTGGGCTTTTCATACCAAAATGGAGGCAGATTAAATGTTGGCTGTAGCACTGCCTAAAAAAGCTGTTTATCTTTTAACAAATAGCATGATAACAAATGATTAAACATTAGAATCACTTGCAGCCAAAGTAAAGGTCATCTTTTGATTAAATATTTTAAATTTGATGTTTACTTTAAAAGACCACCATGTTTTCTATACTTAAATGACAAAGAACTTTCGCAGACTATTATTTGAAAAAAAGTTGAAATATGTATAACTGTTTGGCATCCAAGCAAACACCAAAAAAATATTAATTTGAAACATAATCAAGATTCATAATATTATTACAAAAGCTTTAAATGTTTAGACTGAACGAACAGGCATTGATGTTAAAAATGTTTGTTTACACCATGAATCCATCAAATGAACACCACAGTCCTCGTTGTTTGCGTCAGTATGTAGTGGACGGTCGTTCGGCTGTGTGCAGCGGAAGACTTCATATCTAGCTGAATGTTGGAGTTTTGATAGCAGGAGCATCTGTTTTTCATCATCTCTGTGCAGATGTACATCATGCCACAGAGATGAGACAGGATTTTTATGAGTGCACAGTTACAATGTGGAAGGTATGTGCGAGTAAAAAAGGGGAAGAAAAAAATAAGAAGCTCAACTGTTCTGAGAGGTCAGCATCTTCAGTTTATCATTCTGTATTTAACACATGGAAATCATACATGAACATCGAGATCAGGAAAACAAAGTTGAGATCTTCAGAGTAGATCCAAAATGCTAAGTAATGGATTGTTGTTAAACGGCTGTTAATCTCTATCATCTTCTGTTTCTCCAAGTCAATTCCACGAATGTGCCATGCATATTTATTACCATGCAATGACCATCCATCCCACGGCTTTAAGACTCAAATCAGTCACTTTTATTTATGTTTAAGTCAAAGTTAGGACCAAGTGGAAAGTGAAGAATTTTGCAGCATTAATTTTGTGGGAACATTTCTGAAACTCTTTAGAAATAAAGTGTCAGAATGAAGTGTCTGTAAACAAACATAAAAAATGAGTAAATGATGGGACAGAGTGCTGCGTTGGGAACGCAATACAATTTGTCTTTAAATTTGATATTCATGTCCATTTTTTGTATATTTAATTAATGTTAAGTGGTTAATGGTAAATACAGATGGGTTCTGAAACACATTTTTTGGGGGGATTTTGCTATTTTATCTACTTAAAAATCATTTAGTTAGTACCTAAACCCTCTCTGCTTACTGGCCTTACTAAGAATGACAAAATCAATTGGTTCGATGAAGTGTCAGGACTTGGTTTAGTAATAGACCATAACCTGTTATAATGTCTGAAGGTTTTCATTTGTTGTGGTAGCATACTAT